GTGTATTCGTAAGCGTTAGGGTCGCTAGTCTCACAAAGAGCTCCGGGAGTTTTGGATTTGTTAGGGCCGTGGTAGTTTATGGCACGACGGGAGGCAGGAGCCGCAAACACATTGGTGGCCGAGACCGCAAGGATAAGAGCAACAGCGAGTGCCTTTAGCTGCATTCTAGGTGATTGATGAGGTTCAAATTGGGGACGAGGGTATCGGGCTGCTGGAGAAGGAATAACAGGTGCTCTCTACCTTTTATTAGAATGCAATGGTAGAGATATTTCTTGGCAATGGAGCCATTGTCGCTGTGCAGGACAACGGTAGCACGTTGATCACAGATGTGTACGTCGTCCATTGCACGCCTGATAGGAATGATCGAACTTTCTTGTTGTCGAAAATGTTGTCGAAATGATCACTGTCATGGAAAGCTTTGTGGGACGCGTGCGTTGACAAGCACAGATTATGGGTACGCACGTTCCTTGTGATTTTGACCGTTGCACATTTGTTCGGCGCCCAAAGGAGGAGGATAGCCAACGTGGGTCAAAACGCGCAGGCCTCGTCTCTGCAGGACGTCATCACCAATAACGTGTGTGTTGCTCCCTACAAGAACGTTGGCTTCCAGTCGTGCGGTTAGCCACAAAGATCAGACAGTTTGATCAAGCGACAATATGCCATCCATCGAAACCACAACTCAGCGTCTCCGCATCGATGATGGGACGAATCTCAGCATTCACAAACCTATACTTAACGTAACATCTCTTTGGACACCCAAAACACCTCTCGTAGCAAAAGTCTCTATCTTTATCGTCAACCCATCGTCCAAATCTTACTCGATCTCAACGCCGTGGACAACAAGTGACGTATGGTCCGTTTATGATAACGATGGTCAAGACTGTCCGTTCAGAGACAAGGTTAGCAGCCAGCAATGGGTGACAATCCCACCGGGGGAGAGTGTGGTAGAGGCTAGCGCAGACTTGGATGAATTATATCGGATCCTCAATCCGGAGGACATAACATTGCCGGAAATATTCTATATAAAAGCAAAGTTTACCGCAGAGGTTAGAAATGAGGACGGAGATCAGGTTGGGGAGGTCGAGTTGGAGACAGATGATGCGATGGTGAGAGTTGAAGGTGCATAAGTAGGTCGGGTTTAGCATTCGGCCAATCATGTGCAGTCTACGTTTTTGCATCTCAAATTGCTTGCGCTATTTGCGACTTTCTTCATTGTGCGTATATTGTTTGTCTACGAACATGATCGGTTTCCACATACTGCACAGCTGAAGCGCCCTGACCGGCGTCGAGTAATTTTGACCATCCTCCTTTGACTTTGGACTGATATGGCAGGACACATGTCTTGGTTTGTTACTGTGGCTACCCAGAGTTAGGCCTTGATATCTTGGGCACGTGTGCAAGCTTATTTTTTCTGGACGCAAAGAGAAGTTGGATATATGTACATCGGAGGAACGGAGCCAACAAGCAAAGGGCACATAGACAAGTAGAGAACAAGACTTCCCAGCAACGCATTGAACGTCAAACTCAAGGTTCTCGTCCCCTGATCTTATCGAGTATCCCAACAAACTCCTCGCATGTCACTAACCTCGCAAACCCATAACCCAAATTCAAAAGAGTAGCATCGTGCATGCTTTGATTCCCGCATGCGGTTCCATCAGCCAAAACCATACATCAAAACCTCGGACAAAAGCAGATCGTGCCGTTGTTTCGCAGCATAGATTGGTCATGGTCCCTTCACCAAAACTTAGGTCTACTGCCTCTTTAATCGGAATAGAAGACGCTCACCAGCGATAACAACTGTGTTCACTCCGTTCTCTGTCAACTTTTGATGGAGAGGTGTGTCGTGAAATGCATCATAGTGTATTGGCAAAAACAAATGTCACACACAATACACCAGGGAATAGACTGGCGACAACCAGCCCGGAAAAGCCAAGTAATTCCCTCCTTACAACCAACTACTGCTACTAGGCCCAATTACACATGCAATACATTACGGTTGTTCTAACCGGGTAACTAAGCCCACCACCACGAGAGAAATCTTACTAAGCCCTTGATTCCGAGATTCTTTGGTCGGAGGATGTTCAGATACTAAGGTAGATCAGAATAATTAGACTGGATAATCCGCGTGGGAAAATACAAAGATAATGCATACCTGCGATCGTTGCAGCATAGTAGTAGCAGCGTTTGCAAGGGGTTCTGATTGCTGTTGCTGTCGGGCGGACGAGGTCCTCGGCACCAGAGCGGCATTCTCATGATGGACTTGAGAGTGTTGCTTGAATGTTGCGCAGATGCTTGCAAGTCGAGGGTAAAGAAACAAGAGGGAAGAGGGAGCAGGTCCCCTTTTATAGTTTTTAAAAAAAAAAAAAAAAAAAGCATTACATGCATGCCACACCAATCTGAGCAATAGATGGGGGTTCTGATTATGCGATATGATTAACCGGATTAATCCGGAAAACAATGGGTCCTAGTGCCATTTTCAATCACCTCCACACCTATGTTGTCTGCTTGTAAGTTATACGGAGCGTAATGCAGATGACAATCGCTCGAGTTTGATAATGCTTGTTTAGATAGCATCGCACCAGTATATACAATCATGTACCAAATTTCTACAAAGAATTTTCTTCATGAGTCCTTTAATCGCTGTCTTGCGCCAGAAAGTCTGATAGTCGCACGGGTCCCGACGCTTCCCTCTTCTTTTTCCGTTGGGACCTGTCACTTTCTCCCTTTGATTTACGTCTTTTCCGCTGTTACAGCAATTGATATGAATGCTAGGGTCAAACGTACATGCGTAGATGTTCAATCGTACCTTTGATCTTTCCTTCCCACCCCCAGAGTCGCTTGTAGAACTGCTACTTTCGCTCAAGCTGTCCTCTTCACTGCTGCTTGTTCTAGAATCTTCGCTGTCTAAAGCACTTCCTTTCCGGCTCCGTCTTCTTGAAGGTTTTGGTCTCCGATCTTTCCGAACTTGTGATTTTTCCGGTTCGCTGCTGGACTCATCGATCTCTCCATCTTCCTTCTCTTCACTATCTGCTTTCTCAACTACTGGCTGCTCAGCTCTATCGGTACTTTCATCAGACACTGCGTCGTGTTTAGGACTTTTTTTCCTGCGCTCTTTGCCTTTTTCTTTGTCCTTTCGCTTGCGCTTTCGTTTCTTTTCTTTCTCTCGATCTTTTCCCTTTTTAGATTTCTTATCTTTTTTGTTCTCGTCGAATCGCGCTTTAAGCTTGCGTTCGCGCTCTTCATCGAGCTGCTTTCGGTACTAATGATCCGAGGGTCATGATCTCGGTTACTTAAAAATACCAGATTCTCTGCGGACCTTTATCATAGACGCCTCAGTAAAAGCCCCGTCCTCTTTCTTTGCTTTCAATGCGCTAAAGTCATCCCTTGATGCGAACCAATTGCGCGAATGTCACTTAAATCGTGTCTCCGTTGGACCAAGCAAACGTGACATACCATGTCATGCCAAACTTCTTTCTGCTCTCTATGTAGTCCCTAGCACACATCGCCTCAGTCTCTACCAGCGCTACATGGGTATTGCTCTAAAAGTGAAACTCACCGAACCGTCCCGGACATGTTGTAGATGGGTGTCGGGCTGGAATGCGAATTCGTCGCGTGAATCTGATAACGCTGATCCTATTAGTACTACTGGCATGCACAGTCATCGGTTACACGTGATCAGACAAGAAGTTATTCGAATCTTTAGAGCAGTACACCTATTACGAAATATATTCACGATTGGCAACGTCCAGTTCAATGTGGCACTCGGAACGCCCTCCTATCTCTAATAATTTAGTTTGGTATCCTAATACGTATTCCTAGCTGATGCAGACCACTGACTAGGCACCATTCTACTAGGTACCTGATAACTCCTCTGGTGGTTCCAGCCAAAATTGTTCGGTCCATATCTGACGCGACAATTGCAAAACAAACTCATCTGATAGCCCGTCGATCCCATTTACTAATAAGGATCTTAATCGCGTGCATCCACTCATTAGTTCCTCCAGTGAAGCTTGGGTGATTGGCTGGGGCACATCATCACCGCCGCAACCTGCAATATCCAGCTCCTGTAGTACCGGGCAATTTTTGGCAACCGCTTGGATGAAGCGATCGGAAACCACCTCGCACCCACACATTCCCAGTGTTTTAAGCCGCGCGCCGCGTCGCTCCACCAGCTCAATCAATGTGTCCTCCGATTCCAACCATAGATCGTTCATAAACAACGTGTGCAGATTCTTACAACTTCGAGCAACAACTTTTAGCGATCGATCGGTACATCGTGAATAGCTGATGCCAAGGGCCTCGAGATTGGGACAGCTCAGGGCAAGTGCTGTTACTCCTTCATCGCCTATTCCAATGCAATTACGCAATTTGACAAACCGCAGTTGAGGACAGGATTCTGCTAATGCCTTTATCGCAACGTCGGTGATTTCCAGGTTCTCTTCTAACACAATGGTCTCAAGCTGCGAACATCGCCGTGCAATTCCGATGACAACATCGTCCAATACCCAAGTACGGCCAAGGTTCAAATGTCTCAGGTTGCTGCCTACCGAATTCATGACAGTGTGGTATATTGTGGCCGTCCGCTCATCCCGCTTCACTAAGCGATAGAAAGGTAAAGGATGTCAGTGAAGGATTCCACATATACTATAGATATGTCCAACTTCTGTAATCGTCAACATGTCAACATACTGTTATGCAAATCCAAGGCCTTCAGCTTTCCAAGTCCTGCAACAAAGTGCACGACATTCGACGGAGCCCAGTCCTCCTCTTTACCATATCTGCCAGTATGTGCGTTAGGATCCCCGCGGAGAGCAAAAGTATGTAGGTGTCTGCAACACTCGAACAGATAGTTTATTGTTCTGGCGGTGAACTGTCGAATGTCTAGCCGGAGAACTCTCAGCTCTGGAAAGCTGCGTGCAATCACATGAAGCATCGAAGTGGCGGCAGGTTCTCTTAAACGCAAGCGAAACAGATCCAGTCTGTAGACCTTGTTCCCTAAGGAGGTCCGCTTGTTGAGGGAGCTAAGCCGGGTACAGAAGACGAGCCGAAGGAGGACAGCCAGTGATGGCAAATATGGATTTCTCCATAGTCGGGCCGAGGCGACACTGTACCAGTGTCGATTTACCAAGAGACAAGACAATAGAGTTGATTGCTTTCCTGCCCGTTCTTGTGCGGCGGTGGGGGAGTGATGTGGAGAGCGGGATGAATCAACGTAGCTGAAGATGGTCCTAATGAGTTCGGGGGGAAGGACAGCTGCTCGCGAGTTTGATTTGCGCCGTAGCGGGTGAGCCTTCTGGTCTGTATTAAGATGTGCTTTTTCAATCGCGGGGGTGACTGGTCGTCCCGCAGCTGGGGCCTCTGAGGGCCACAAGTCGTTGCACAGGTCTGCAGCACATAGAGCGGCAGACCATTCTCCATCACTTACTCTTCGTCCATCGCGAATCTGTTGCAAAACGTCCGACGATAGTTGAAGAGCCCACCGCACTGTGGTTCGCTCAAGGTCGCAGCTGTCAATTTTATCTGGAGGCAGAGCGGGTGAGCGAGGAGAATAGGATGGCGTGTAGTAATTGGAATCTGTCGAGACAGAGTCCATTACTATTGGCGGCGAGTCACACATGGGGGGAGCAGCTGGAAACCAAGGGTAAAAATAATGGAAATGATGCAAACGCAAGCACAAACGACAGCAACACGATGCAAGACAAAAACCTACAGGCATGGGAGATTATCGATCACGTGACGACCCAATCGTTCCCAAATAAAATTACCGCGCAAATTTGCAGTTATCGCTTGGTAACACTGACGGAGACGAGGCTTTGGCTGCTCACGTAAAATTTCCCCATCCAGCAAATGGGCGAGAAATGGAGAGGACGAGTTATTGTTGACGACTGCCGGCTTTACGTCCACGGCCGAGTGTTACGGCGGCAATGCAGAAGGATGGGGTTGCGCCCCAAGGGTCTTGACTATTTGTGTTGACATGGAGCTGGTTCTTCCACGGGCAGCAATGCAAAAAAAGTGAATCTGCCGGTTTGGCGCATGATTCGTTTGAAGTTTGCAAGATTCCCTTTTAACATACGACCACGGCGTATCAAACAATATCCCGCAAACGATCTAAAGGATAGGAACTTTATGCCCCATCTTTGCCTGTCGCAACTTGGCTGACCTAACTGACGCAACCTTGTGAGTGCTACCCGCAACGAACCGTGGGTGCTTATGGGCGTGACCCTCAATTGGGGGGCGCATGGAAACAGCTCACATGAGATTTAGAACCTAAGCATCGACCGATTTACTTGCATTGATTTTGTTCCATCTGGCATAGTTGTTACTTCTTCCATTGTCTGCTGACGTAATGATGTAAGCAATTGCTTACGATTTGGCTTATGTCAGCACAATCATTCTGGTTGGCTGAAAAGTAATTTAATGCTTTAATGGGACTACTTGTAGTTCTTGGGCATTTTGAGATCTTTGACCAGTTTTGTGCAATGTTTGCAGGGAACACTGATGATGTGTTTGACCTCTTTGACGAGGATGAAGTAGCGGATACAGCAGTGGTCCCCGCCATCCCCACGAAACGTATACGCGAGAGTGATCAGACTGACCATCGGAAAAAGGATGACAAGTTCAGAGATCATCATGGGAAAAAGGCCAAAACTTCGACTGCAGGTACTCTGCGTTCCATAAACGCCGAGTATAGGCCCGTAGTAGCGGATGAAGTAGAGCAGCAAGTGGAACACGAGTTTGCTGTCTCTGGAGAAGGTCTCGCGGATAGTGGCAAAGGCGCACTTGACGGCACGTCAGCACCTGCAACGAACGGACCTACCGCAACCGCTTCGACAAAGGAAAACCATCTTGTCATTAGCCATCAAGTACGACATCAAGTGGCTCTTCCGCCAAATTATCCATATGTTCCTATATCACAGCATGTACCACCTGCCGACCCTGCTCGGACTTATCCCTTCACATTGGACCCGTTCCAGCGGACTGCGATCTATAGCATCCAGCGAAATGAGTCGGTATTAGTCAGTGCTCATACCAGTGCTGGTAAAACTGTGGTTGCAGAGTACGCAATTGCGCAGAGTTTGCGGAACAAGCAACGGGTTATATATACAAGTCCCATAAAGGTAGGCGTCCCACAGTTGAAATACCTGTTTTGGGCTAAGCGGTGAGCTAATTTTGATATGTTGTTCAGGCCTTGTCAAACCAAAAATACAGAGAACTGCTACAGGAGTTTGGGGACGTTGGGTTGATGACGGGAGATGTCACCATAAATTCGGGTGCTGGGTGTCTCGTCATGACCACGGAGATTTTGCGCTCCATGCTGTACAGAGGAAGCGAGATCATTCGGGAGGTTGCATGGATCGTATTCGATGAAGTGCATTACATGAGAGATAAAGGTAATTGTCGGCTATAACTTACCACAATCTCAGGCAGCATTCAGAACCTTGTTCCTAATCGCTTGTATCTATTTTAGCGCGTGGTGTCGTGTGGGAAGAGACTATCATCCTATTACCTGACAAGGTGCATTTTGTATTTCTTTCCGCCACCATCCCAAACGCCATGCAATTTGCAGAGTGGATTTGCAAGATCCACAGTCAACCATGTCATGTAGTGTATACCGACTTCCGTCCGACACCTCTGCAACATTATCTCTTTCCGGCAGGTGGAGACGGGATACATCTAGCTGTTGATGAGAAGAGTGTATTTAGAGAAGATAACTTTCAAAGAGCCATTGCCTCGCTTGGTGGCGATAAGGACGACAAGGGAAGCAAGGGCGCCAAAGGGAAGGGTGGAAAGCGTGACAAGAGTACTAAGGGTAAGCATCTTGTGTTCAATGTCCATCTGCTGCTCATGTCTGATTCCAAATCAAATGTAGGCCCATCGGATCTGTACAAGATCATTAAGATGATCATGGTCAAGAATTACCATCCAGTAATTGTCTTCTCTTTCTCAAAGCGAGAATGTGAAGGAAATGCACTGGTACTATCCAAGCTAGACTTTACTAGCTCCGAAGAGAAGGGCATGGTAGACACGATTTTTAAGAACGCGGTAGCTTCCCTGAGCGAGGATGACCGTAGTCTACCTCAAATAGAACATCTATTGCCGCTGTTGAAGCGCGGTATCGGCATTCACCACTCTGGCCTTCTCCCCATCCTTAAAGAAGTGATCGAAATCCTCTTCCAAGAGGGATTGTTGAAGGTATTGTTCGCCACCGAGACATTCTCTATCGGGCTCAACATGCCGGCAAAAACGGTGGTATTTACCGCTGTACGAAAGTGGGACGGAAAAGAAACTCGATGGCTCGGCGGTGGTGAATATATTCAAATGAGTGGTCGTGCTGGGCGACGTGGGCTTGATGATCGTGGTATTGTTATTTTGATGATAGACGAAAAGATGGAACCCGCGGTGGCCAAAGGAATGCTCAAGGGAGTGGCGGATCCACTGAACTCTGCGTTTCATCTCACCTACTCGATGATCATTAACCTAATGAGGATCGAAGGTATTAGTCCCGAGTACATATTGGAGAGAAGTTTCATTCAATTTCAGGCCAGCTCTAAAATACCCGAGCTTCAAAAAGGTAAGAGTCCTCATCCGTTTTCAGGAATCTTAACGCATAACCAACGTACATGAATTATGTAGAGATGCACGTGTATGAGAGAAGACTCGAAGAACTCACGATCCCTAACGAGCAGCAAATTCAAGAGTACTACACGATCCGCACGCAACTAGACCAGTTCAACCGGGACATCCGTGATGTCCTCAATCACCCACAACATTCCCTTCCCTTCTTACAATCAGGACGGTTGGTGCGAGTGCGAATGGACGCACCGGCGGATGCGGAAGAGAAGGAGTACGATTTCGGATGGGGAGTAATAATTACATTCCATAAAACAATACCAAGAGTCAAAGGGGACGACTTGACTGCTGCCCCCGAGGCACCAAAGATCGTTGTGGATATCGTTTTGCATTGCGCACCGGGCACAGAGGAAGGCTCAAAGAACCCGAAGCCGTGTCCAGCAAATGTGGAGAAGGGCGACATGGTTGTGATCCCATGTGCATTAAGTGCTGTTGACGGACTTAGCACCGTGCGCGTGTTTGTGCCTAAGGATTTGAGGGCTGCGGAAAACAGATATCAGTTGCTCAAGACAATTCGTGAGGTCAACAAGCGATTTCCCGACGGGGTGCCACTGCTGGATCCGGTGGAGGATATGAAGATCACCGACGACGGCTTCAAGAAGCTAATCAAGAAGGTGGAACTGCTTGAGAAGCGCTTGTTCTCGAATCCACTTCACAGCTCCCCAGAGCTTCAGGAGGTTTTCGAATTGTATGAAACAAAGGTCAACCTCAACTCTAAAATCAAGAACATTAAACGCCAAGTTCAAATGGCGGAAAGTATTGTGCAATTGGATGAGCTGAAATGCCGTCGTCGTGTGCTTCGGAGACTGGGCTATACAACTGCATCCGATGTAATTGAGATGAAGGGTCGAGTTGCTTGCGAAATTTCGGCGGGCGATGAGCTGCTATTGACAGAGATGATCTTTAATGGCGCTTTCAACGATTTAACTGTAGAGCAGTGCGTATCGCTGCTGAGCTGTTTCTGCTTTGGTGAAAAGGTTTGTTGATTTTGATGAACAAGAATATACCGGCTGCATCTCAATATTCTCTTTCTGTAGGTGGAAAAAGTTCAAGCAAAAATGCGAGACGAATTAGCGGTACCGCTTCGTATTATGCAAGAGTCCGCGCGTCGCATCGCTCGCGTTTCTCAAGAATCCAAACTTGCCATTGACGAAGAGGAATATGTCCAAAGTTTCCGTCCGGAACTGATGGATGTTGTATATGCATGGTGCCAAGGCGCAAAGTTCAGTCAAATCTGTAAGATGACCGATGTATTTGAAGGAAGCATTATTCGATGTATGCGACGGTTAGAAGAACTGTTGAGAGAGATGGTGGCAGCTTCCAAAAGTATTGGAAACACGGATTTGGAGAATAAATTTGCTGAAGGTGAGCCAATGTCTGATGAAAGGCGATTTCTTGCAAAAGGGGGCAATCTGGTTAATCCTGGTTTTTTGTTCAGGTATCAACAAAATCAAGAGAGATATAGTGTTCGCGGGTAGTTTATATCTGTAGAGATGGAGGATGCATGTTTCTTGTTTATATTGTACATTAATGGGAGTAGTGAAACTACAGGGCATGAAATAATGGTGATGATGATTCTACGACAACATTTAGTCCCAAAAACCTCATCAACGCGATACTCAAACTTTGTACTCAGACTTATAGACTCTGGTTTCCCGTACGTCCATATACGCCGCGTTCAATGACCCAGACTCTTTACAGTTACTGCAGGCGATCCAACGAACCTTTTGGCTGAGAGAGGACAGCGGGAGAGCTTGTGTTGAGCGTTTATATCTCTTACTCATGGCAACAACTATATACCGGAGGCCAAACAGTTATTACCAAAGTGCACTTTATTACTGGCCATGATCTGTTTTCTTATTTCTATGTGACTGCATACAAGATAAATGATATTAATGGTTCTGATTAGTCAGTAGTCAATCCAGCGGCACCACCCGCATAGCCGTAGCCCTAATGGAGAACATGAGTCAATATATTGTCACGAGAAATTCTCGATAAAATAAACAAACCTTTGGTCCAAACTTTCGACCATGACACATCTTGCAATATATCACACCTTCTTTGTCCGCCATAGTTGTCGAATCCACCAATTTATTACAATCAGTGCATCGGAAGCATAGTTTGTGGTACTTGACGCCCATGGGACCGACCATCTAGTTCCACGCGCAGGACGTTAAAACTATGTCATTGGCACACAAAAGGAAGGATGCGTTTACCTGCTCGGCAAAATACACCGGTTTTTGGCATTTAGGACAAACGTCCGCTCCTCCAAACTTGGGTTTCCCCACAAGCGGGGCCGAACCTGCTCCCGATCCCGGAGTTACAGTCCCGCTACCCGTTCGCGCCAAGTTGGGATTCGACCCGCTTCCAGAGGTCATCAGATTGGACTGGGATCCAGAACGGGAGTTGCTTGGACTGGGGGAGGGGGAGAATCGTTGGGTATCCGTGATTGTTGAATCAGTGTTGAGAACGCCGGCTCCTCCGCCGAAACCGTATCCTTTAGTGTAGGTCAGCACCATCTTGTGTATTATGCTCTATTTGCTTGATCAGTAGCCTACCCTTTGGACCAAAAAGCTTTCCGTAGCAGGTCTTGCAGTAAGCCTCCTTCTCCCGCTCTGTCAGACTGGTAGAATCAAGGCGTTTGTTGCATTCCTTAAATGAAGAGTGGTAATGTCTTTAGGCATAGCAAGTTCATCCTAGTGGCATTTATAGCCCTTATTTACAATATTAAGTCTATAGAATGCATACCTTGCAGGTTAAACATGACTTGTGCCACATCCCATTCGGACCTGTGACTTGTTCCGCCAAATACACTGCCTTGCCGCATCGAGGGCAGGAGGGTGCACCGCCAAATTGAGGCATTCCGTGTAAAGTATCGCGTGTTTAGCTTTCAGTCGGTGGTCACCCAGAGTAGAATAGCTAAAACAAAGTAATTATTATGTGGTTGTCTTCCGTTTACAAACTGCAAACACGTATAATGGAACCCGCAAGATGGATGAAAACTGTGGAGGTCGGAGATGTTACCTCAGCCGTCATTTCCCCACACATGTTGCCATAGAAACAAACCATCGTGACTCATCCTAGCAAACCAGCAGTTGAATAGTTTTTGCCTTCGTCTAGCCAGTTGTTCTTCCTGGCTGCCACCGTCATGCTGCCCTCAATAACCCGCCTATCGCAGGCACCCTGCAGGCTACTTCTTTCCGTGTCAAGAAGGTACCAGTCCTTCTCTCCCCGGCCATTCCGTGTTCCGATTCCACAGAGATCATTCCAGAGTGCGACACCACTATTGCATAAAGCGGTGGAAAAGCCGAAAACTGGGGAAGGGTACGCAAAGGGAGAGCACTAAATATCAATAATTAGCGCACACTCAAATGGTCTTGGATAGGTTGCAGGTGAACTACATTACACCAGACGGCGAAAAGGTTACAGTTTACGCCAAGGAGGGCGATAATTTATTGGATATTGCTCATGCGAACGATATCGATTTGGAGGGTATGCATAACAATTCAAGCTGGCATCGATGTGTTCATGTGCTTAACCGATTTGCATTAGGTGCATGTGAAGGATCACTGGCATGTTCAACTTGTACGTGGTTCTGACTGTTGCTAGAACCGTAATGTAGCATTGACACATACATAATGGAACGATAGGTCACGTCATTGTAGAGGACAAGTATTACGATCAGCTGGAAGAACCATCGGATGAGGAGAATGACATGTTGGATCTGGCCTTTGGGCTGACAGAAACGTAGGTAAATTTGATTATATCACAAAATGGTAAATGCCTAAAGGGTTACGCTAGGTCACGGTTGGGATGTCAGGTGATAATGTCAAAGGAATTGGATGGGATAACGGTACGGCTGCCTAGTGCGACACGAAACCTGCAGGTAGAGAAGTTGCGATGATAGAACTCGAAGAGCTGGGCATCAAGTTGCGGTTTCCATGTGCGGTGGCCACCATGGAAAAGCCAGCGCCTTGCGTTGTCTAACTGTGGGCCATGCATCTGACACGGAAATCGATTCATGTATTATAGCTAGCATTTTGCACTTTGGCCTTGCCATTGGCACAGAAGGCTCCGAGATGCAGTAATAGACGATGAGGCCAGACAAAGTGAGCATACTCCTAATCCACAACTGATGCTTTCCACCTGATTTTCTGCAATGCTCCAAACGAAATACGTGCATAAAAAAATGTATTTTGATAGCCTTATGAAAACTTGAAATATACCACCAGTAAAACGTAGAGAAGAATATAACAGAAGCAAGAACAGGAAAAAACATCAACAAAAAATAAAAATAAAAAAGAATACACACGCAAACAACAACCTCATCCCCGTCAGCATAATTCAAACAAAAAACCCCCAACAGATTAGTCAAAAATTCCATCACCAAAAAAAAAAAAAAAAAAAACGTGTCCTATGACTTTGATTCCCCTTCATCTCCGGCTTTTGGAGTAACCACAACCCCCGCACCGCCCGCGACAGCGACGGCCCTCATCAATGCCCCTCGCCATGCCAATTCTCCATCCAAACTTGACCCTACACCAGGACTGGGATAGTCGCTGGGTTCCACTCCGTCACGAACAGCTTTTACCACCGCAGATTCATCACCCGTATCATCTTCTTTGGGAGCCGACGTCGGTGCTGGTGGGTTAGACTTGGGGGGTAAGGGAGATTGGGCCATGCTCGTTGACATCACTACTGGTCCTACTGAGGATGCAGTTGACCGGGTAGTTGTGTTCTTGCCCACCCCTCCTTCGTTTGTCATGGCTACTTGCGTAGGGTCACTCGGATCACCTCCGATAACGGGCGGGAATTCATCCATCGGAGTGGTAGCTGTAGGCGGCGGCCCTGATGCATCCCCATTTTCCCCAGGATACGCCTTGGGAACCCCCATGACCCTTGTCGTAGCGGGGAAATAACTATCCGAGGTGGTATTCGCACCACTAGTTGTACTGTCGCTCGCCGACGACCTGGATCCATCCGACAGTGTCACCGTGCTGTTCGTCCCCGTCCATGGCCCGCTCTCACTAGCTGGACTCCTTGCAGAGTAGAACACGGGCGCATTTTGTGGCAGCTCGCCTAAACCTCCCAATCCACTACCCTTCCCTCTTGCATTTCCAGCTCCCAGATCTTCACTCCCTTCGTACTGCCGATTCCCTTGGGCTAATGCCGCCCTCGCTCTCGCATTCTCCGCAGCCTCCTTGTAAGGATCCAACAACGCAGATGCGGCCTCCAGATTGTTCTCATCGACATCTTTTACCCAAGGATGCACTAAGAGCTCCTTGGCTGTTGGCCGCTCTTGTGCTGGACGAGTGAAGCATTGTCGGAGGAAGTCAATGCCTTCGGGGCTAAGTTGAGACGCATCTGGAAGAGGTGGAATCCGGTTGGACATTCCAATGTGATACATCACTGCCCACTCGTTATCGAGTCCACTCCAGGGTTTCCGGCCCGTGATCATTTCCAGCACACAGCAACCCATACTCCAGATATCCTGAGCTCCATGTCTTCCCAAGCTTTCACCCGTAATGACCTCAGGAGCAATGTAATGCGGAGTTCCAACAAGGGTGTTTGCTTCACCATTCACAACGACCGTCTTTTGCGCTTTGTAAATCTTTGAAGCTCCAAAATCCACAAACTTTATGTGTCCTTCCTGTCCCAAGAGGGTGTTTGCCGGCTTTACGTCTCTGTAGACACCATATATCAGACACATTCAAAGCTACACGCAAAGCAAACCTGCGATACTAACCGATGAACGATGCCCTTTCCATGCAAATACTCCAAACCCCTTAACATCTGCTTGGCATAGACCTTTACAACCTGTTCATCCTCGAACCGTCCACCGTGTTCAAGCAAGCTTGCCACTGAATAGGGGCAATACTCCATGAAGATATATAGTTTATCTCGGTGGACTTCCACGCCATAATATTCAATGATATTAGGATGGTGTAGAAGCTGGAGTACCGTCATCTCGTCTTTAATGGAACGTTGGAGAGATTCGAGGGATGTAACGTCTGAGAAGCGGATCTCTTTCACAGCCATCAGGTCGGCAGTTTCGAGATTGATAGCCATGTACACCTAAAGCATGTAAAATTGCTTAGATAGCGTTCAAATTCGTGCATCAACAACGCTCATCCAATACTTACCGAACCAAAGCTCCCCCCACCCAAGAACTTCCCTTGTTGCCACCGCAAACTAATGCTGCTGCTTGTACTAGCCAAGAAACTGATATTCCGATCCACCACGTTCCTCGAATCCAAAACTTTGCCTACAACACGACTACCTTGCTGACGAGCCATTCTTTCTTCCTCGAGTTTTTCAATTCTCGCCAGCCAGGCTTTCTGCTTCCGTTGAAGGAACGTGTCCCCATGATAAGCACCATGAGAAGATCGGGTATTATTAGATGACGCTGGTGCCGGTGCGGATGGCTCTGGTGAGCTCGCAGGTTTTGTATCGGACCGCGGGGCCTCTTTGCTTTGCATATCTTGTGCAGCAGGTTGAGGTGCTGATGGTAATCCGTCGGTGGGTTCATTGATCTTCGGTGGTACATCCACCTTCTCGGTCGTCTTTGCAGGCGCCGCCTCCCCATTCTCTTTGGATTCATTCTCGTTACCGGTTTTAGGTTCATCGTGGTCGCTGTCAGTGTCCGAAGCATTGCGTAGAGCGGAGATCTCCGGCCGTTGTCCCTGAACTGGCGCACTGGGATCTTCTCCGGTTTTGGCTCCCGGGGAAACAGACGATGCGGGATCTGAGGGTACTGGCAACTGAAGTTTGCTTCTGTCAATTCCACCACCACCGGCTAAAACAGCGCCCAGCACGTCCTCCACGTTCAAGACACCCGTTCCCCCTCCTTGCTCGAAACCTCGGATCAGTACCCTCATGCACCTGGCCACGCCCATTCGTAATTCCCCGAAATCCCCATCACTTAAGACGTAAACTCGACCTCCACTAGTGGCAGTCATCGCAAACTCAAGGGCCATCAGACTCCATTTGAACGCCTTTTGCTGCATTGTAGGCGGACACGCTCCAACACAGCAATCTGCCGCACAGAAATCAACCCACTCAACGGCAAGTCCCACCAACCGCTTCATCATCGTTCGGTGCTTTTTACCGTTGCCAATGTACTTTAATGAGCGCCAACCAAAGTCTGATGCAAAACTGAACATGTCCTCAACAAGATCTGCTGCACTTATCACGGCTTCGACATTTTGCCCTGGGGGTGCGAGTGTTGTAGGTGACGATCCGCCATGCTGCCCACTAGCGATAATCCCGCCAATGACGCCTGGAGAACCACCTCCTGCAGTCACTCTGCTGAGGACCACTCTGACTTTTGCCACGCTTCCAATGATACCTTCGCTTAGCTCCACCAGCTTTGATTTCACCGCCTTCAATGCCTCATGGACAGACTCCACATGAGCACGGTGAGGTTTTACCACAGTAACATCACAGCTTATGGTTCCCTCGAAAATGGCCTTGCAGACCCCCAATCGTTCATTGTTGTCGGCAATCAGCCGCACACGTTCCGACTTCAGCTGTATGGGTCCTGCTCCTTTGCCGAGGCGGACTTGCATCGAGCGGCCTTGCCAACTCATTCCCGCCGTTCGAAGACGATCCTTGGGGGCAAACAAAAGGATATAACCATCTCCAATTGAATCCTGAAAATTGTCGTACTTGGCGAAAGTGGCCTTTAAGAGTTTTGCGACACATTCTGGTCGGTTGTTGAGGGACGGACTGGCGAAAATATAAACACCTTGATTCGCGTAGGTGTCGGTACGAACTAGGGCATGTCCGGTGGCTAACAGGTTTCGCATTAGAACAGGATAGGGATCCGACACAGTATATTCTGCTGAGTTTTCAAACTCCTTAGTGAGTGTTCTAAAATGGCACGTGTTAATGTCATCCCTCGCTCGAAATGAGATGTAAAAATCCACGTACTTTTGAAATCGCAACAGCTTTCGTGCTCGGCTCCTTACGTTGTCCAGCATCCGCGCATACCATCTGACCATTCCGCTACTAGTCAGCTGAGCGTTTGTTGCTTCCCCATTCTGCCCATCTCCAACCCCTCTCAAAGCATTATCCAGGTAAATCAGTACTTTCCCCAAGAGTTCGGCCTCGAGTTCGCAGAACTGCACTGCGGTTTCCACATCTCCACCATCAATGTAGAAGCAGATCGCTGACATGAAATTCCACTCATTTTCCAATAGCTCAGCTTCCTTGAAGAAAACGGTGTCGGTGGATGATTTTAGCCGCCAGTTCAAAAGGGTGAAGTAGTACTTCAAACTTTTGAGCAAGATCACGTCATAAGAAGGACTCAAGCTAACGAAGAATGATTATAAGTAATGTCTGCATGGAAAGACCAGATCGACGTAACACATACCTATTTGCGATACTCCATCCCTCCGCCTGGGTATCCAGCTCTTGACATTCATGCTTGATCCTGATCGCCAAGCTCAATGAAACACCAAAGTCCTCAATGATTTGGTCCAACATAACTCCACTGTGCGTGGCCAGCTTTTCGGTATACTCCAATCGCACTTTCAAGATCTCCTCCATCAAATTAGAAGGAAAACTCGCAAGTTGTTGCAGTTCGTTGATATATGTTGGCAGCTGCATCTTTTTAAAAGCAGAGGCGTTCTCGATCATACTTGCTTTGCACTTGGCCAATAGACCGCGCAAAACGGACATGATTCGAATCTCGAGGAAAGTACGTTTGACGCCGCTTTCCTTCAGAATACGTTCAATAAAGGAAGTGTCGATACGCTTATCAGGAGACAAAGGGTGCTGCGAACGGGATGTCAGCAAATCTTCACTTCCGGTCCAGTTTTTGAGCACTTGAAGCTGCAATCTCAGTGAGTTGCTGATGGTGAGCCATGAATTTAACGCTTCCACTTTATGCTGGAAAGGTAACCCCGCGTACAGTGGTTTATCAAGAATTAGGGCCTTGCGGGTAGGATATAGAGATTCCATTTTGTCAACCCTGTTGAGGATCTCAACGACCTGATCGTACGGCGATTTTTCCGACGTCGCCTGGACTTCAAAACGTAGGACTTCATCGATAGTCGCCTCGGCATCCACCCGTCGTTCATCAATACGCTGACGCTCCTCTGGGACAGATCGTCCCCGCAAGTACGCCCGAATTCCCAACCAGATTTGGTATTGCTGATCCAATTGCTGCTTCTGAGTTAGGGTACCGGTAATCCGTCGTTTTTCTGAGCGGATAACTTCGCCAGTCAGAACTGATGCCAGCATCGTCTGCCATTGTGCGCGTTCTTTGTTTCCCGGTAGAACAGATACATCTACCCCCCTTGTACCACTGTTCCGTCGCTGCAGTGGGGTATTGTGCCGCTCAAGAATCGGTCTTGGTGAAATAGGAGGAGGTGTTTGATTACGGGACGGTGATCCGCCCTTGGTTAAACGGTCCCTTCGTCGCTCTTCAGGTCCCTTCCCACGCAGATTCACTTGCTCTCCGTTTCCTCTCTGCAGAGAGACATGAACACTGTCACCGTCATCTTCGCTGCTCCGGTTTGCCCGATCTCGACTGACCACGTAATTTTCCTTATGAAAAGAATTATTTACGTGAGGGCGTTTGCGACTCGATGGCTTTGGGAGCTTCCGCGGCATCGCAAGCGAGCTTTTGGCAACGAGTTCGCTCCCTGAATCGCTCCCTGAGTTTGCGACGCCCTTCTTTCCATTCAGCAGAACATTTAGGAACTTGGGTTTATCTGCTTTGGGGGAAGAATATATGTACACTCGGCCTTGCTTTGGGGTACCTGGAGCGTCACTACTGGAGGGACGTCGTTGCCGAGTCGGGCCTACGTCGAGTGTATCACCTGAAGATTGCGGAGACCCAGGGTCAAATTTAATGTCAATTCTAGGGCCTGGTGATATTGCAGATCCACGCCGCGATGGTATAATAACTTCGTCTTCCTCACTACTCGACGTTACAGGTCGCCGATTACCGTTCGGGTGATATGAGTGAAATCTCTTGATAGTGGGCCGCAGTGCCGTTCGGAGTTCGGGCCTGGCTTGCGGTTTCATCGGCCGATCAACATTTTCTGTTCCTGCAGTAGGCTCGCTGGCGGACCGTCGCAAATTAGGCCGACCCTTGGTGATAATGAATTGGCCATCTTTATCAAGCCTGTGAAACAAATGAGCGCATATACATCACGGGTATATACCAAGACAATACCATAAGGTACATACCGAACAACTTCAAATGACTCGGGGTCCAGAACGTCTTTACTCAAAATGCACTGCCAAATATAAGTATCCGTGATGACAGGAATGCCACGCAATAGTGCTTCTTGAATCAACTCTGTAAGAGCCATATTTTCGTCGTCATGGGTATCGAGAAGGACACTGGTAATGTCAGTGGTTGACTCCAACAATATATGGGTTGTCTGGGACAACAATCTTCAGTCTAGTTTGAAACGATCATTGCAGTAGGTCTTGGACATACCTCGCTTGATAGCTTGTCCGATTTATCTGTATTTCCACCGTATAATGTTATGGCGTTGATGAGATCTGTTCGTGAATCTGCATCCGATAGTGCTCTCAAATTGAAATGCATATGGGCAAAAATGCGAGTAGATGACATGGGAGCTGTTGGCAGCGATTCCGGCTCTGCTGTCGTTGCGGCGAATGTAACTTCGAGCTGGTGAGTGTCATTCTCATGACCAGGGATTGGGTCGTGGCCGTGCCTTTCGACTTCGTGTGCCTGAGATAGTCGAGTTGACTGGTCATTTTGCGGAGAGACTTGCTCGGCATCATCGAGCGACATGTTAAGCTGGTCGACAGAGCCTTCCGCCTTGTCCTGCAAAGGAGTGCGCTGCTCTCCATTAGAGTTCCCCTTGGGCACAAAGTGGTCCAAGAAGGTGCTCAGCATGGCTGTCAGGGCCGGGGTGCTACCGAGTTCAAACTTTGGAGAAGGTTGCCACCGGGGCGAGACGACGTTTGTCGTCTTGTCGTCTTGGGTATACCAAGCGCTGTGGGCCGAAGGTATCTGAAGCGCTAAGCGAAAAGCCAAACTCTTGGTCAAAAATGTGAATCGCAGTGCAGGGAAAAGGTTTTTGAAGGGACTCTGCGCTGCTTTCACCACCTTGTCGCCGACTCGCCGACATGAGGCACAGTAGTGGCACAGTAATGGCACAGTGATCGCGTGCTGCTCGAAGCTTCGATTGCATTGCTAGCATTTTCGATCGATTTCGTCAACAAACGCTTTTTAATGGCATTTCAAACGTTTGTTTATTTTGAAAGATGTTGGAATTTTACAAGCTAAAAACAATGTACAGAAGCATTTTACTAGATAACTACATGATAATGATATCCATTGTACTCTTTGATATTTCCATCACAGCAAAGCAATCAACTTTTTCTCTTCCTTTTCCGGGGCTTTCTTGGCTAGTGCTATCTGCAGCACACCATTCTCCATGGTGGCCTTTGCATTATCCACCTGAGCATCAGGAGGCAGTCGGATTCGTCGAGAGAACTTGCCAAACGACCTCTCGACAACATGCCGACGATCAGTCTTCTCTTCGTGCTCGTGCTTGCGTTCACCTTCCAATGTTAGAGCACCATCCGAGACATGGATCTGAACATCGGATTTTGAAAGGCCCGGAAGATCCGCTTTGATCACATATTCCTTGTCGGTCTCTGTCACATCGACACGAGGGCCGCGCAAAAAGGTATCCAGATCGCGACGCTTTCGAGTAGATACTTGCTGGTTATTCAGATCGGTAGACTCCTCTTGATTTGTGGAATCGGCATCGCCGATCATTAAAGTAGGCTGCATGATAGATCTTACGTATCCGTCCAACAATGAAGGAAATGGGGTACGGAAGAATGGATCATTGAAAAGAGGGTCGGTGTTCCAGAGGAGGCTCATATTGTATTCAAAAATCTTGGATATTTTGCAGGTAGATCAATGGTATGGGGCGATAGCAAATCGCAGATAATTCGTATCGAGGATCCGCCAAAGACTTTAGCACAGTATATTGTTGGAAGGAAGACATGTGTAATGAAAATCACACTCTTTTATAAGGATGGTTAAGTTAAGTAGCGTCAAGTGTCGCGTTCTTTCACGAGCTTTCTGGAAATGTCAAGCAAAGGTGTGTTTCTTGCAACAACGGATGATCTCAAAAGTTCGATGGCACAAAGCTGCCACGTCCTGTTCAAGAAACTTCCATGGCATCACCTGGAGTACATGGCCATGTCCATTTAACCCTCTTGTAAACGTCTGCAGTCTACCGCATGTAGAGGACGATGACTAGTTTCAGAACCAGAACGCACTTGGACAGATTGATCTTTCAGACTCTGGAACACTTAGATTCTTGATATACTTGCTGTATCCGTTATGGGAACATTATCAGAGATAGCCATGGATATCCCAAAGCCTTTTTGGATAGCTGTATAAGGGCCTGTTGCATCGTGGTGATATACACCTTTGATAGCCAAGGTTGTTCATCGGATAGACGATAATGAACGCGTAAATGTGGGTGCAAGAGATCCTCAATGACCCTCAAAAAAGAGCAAGCAAGACGTGGGGGGCCAAACGACTAGAAGTCTTTGCAAACCACGCAGGCGTTCGCTGGCGGTTGTTGTCCTTCACATTTTTTGTCAGTTGGCGGGAACAACAAATGGCCACGCTATATCAAACATACAAAACGGCACTGTGCTATTGAGTGCATGATATTCGTACAGGTATGTTGCGAGCAACGGAAAGGATGCGTGTGGTGTCGGTGCAGCGTAGATAGTCACGAAAACCGTCTGAGGTTCAGGCTCGTGAGCAGTGGGGTAAAGAGGTAAAGAGCAGTGAAGGGGACGCTTTACTGTTGGCAGAAATGGCATTCGCATATGCCCATGTATTGAACTGCCCAAAGGACTCAACATGGTGCATTGACCACACGCCTCTCGGCCGTGTAAGGAATTGCTGCAGGCAATACTGGGAACGTTGTGGGCTGCTCGTCTGTCGCGAGTGCTGACCTTGATGCTGGCCAACGAGATGCGTAAACCGTGAACTGAGATGCAATTCACTTCATTGTGAGTTTCGGCGGTTGACGCCAGTTGCGGGACGCTGTAAATTGGGGTTGTCAAACCGGAAAGGATGGGATGATGCTTAACGGAGTTTGTGTAACGTGCGGCGGAGTTATCGCTCGTCGTCGTCGTCGTCGTCGAGCAGCTGCCTTGTCTCGCCGTCTCGCCTTCTCCCGAGTCTCCGCTGACAGCTAGATTGAGTTAGAATGCACGGTATCGCTGGACCTATGAAGCTCAATTCTTCCTTTCTTTTCTCCATACACTATACAGGCTATTTATATTCACAACGGTGATTCTCAACGCATCATCAATCACACGCATAGCACATTGTGCTAAACCCAAAGCATGTCATATCTAACTGGCCGATGTCAAGTGTGCAATGGCACGGCCCGATTGCACAAAGACGACTCTGTTCCTTGCCAACATGATCCAGACTGTCCGGGTTGTGTCCGTTGTAGAGACTGTATTGATGGAAAGGTAGTCTCAGTACCCGGTTCTGCCGGGGCTTCGAGAACATCCACAGTTGGTACGGGCACTCTCCGAGGAAATACAATAAGAAAGCATGGCCACCAGCTGTCGACTGCGTCGGGGATTTCGGGATCGTTGTTCACGAGTCCAGTCGACTCGGAGACTTCTTCCGTCACAAGCGCCGATACACCATCCACACATGTTGGGCCTCCTGTACCCTCCATAGAGGCACCAGTGCTTCCACCCGCGCCAGTTCTTGGGATACACGCTACCCTTCCTCCAGCACCCGTTCTTGATGCTCGGACGTTGCCACATGCAGAACCGTCTGCACTTCCACCTGCTCCAGTTCTCGCATCACCTACATCACCCCCTCTCACAGAGGAACCGAAAAAGGCGGGTTTAAGAACACCCAAGCTCGGTCGCAAAAAGAAGACCGAAGCCCCAGATACGATCAAGCAATCATTACATTCGAGTGAAGATCAGGTCACTGCTGGACCCAGCGAGCGAGGAAAGACGGCTGGAACTATTGGGGCACTTGGTGTTGCATTGATGGGGCGGATACGCAAATCTGGTTCTGCCACAGGGTTGGTGGAGGCCGCACGAGTTGCACCTGCACCAGTGGAGGCGGTTGAGAAGCCTTTGGTCGAGGTCATACCGCCCGTCACCGTTGCCGAAGTAGCAGTTCATGATGGTGCCGGACCCACTTCCAAAGCGACATCAACTTTGCAGTCAGCCGTTCATCGTCGTAGCTTCTCCGGTCCTCGTATCACGACCCTCGTGAATGACCTGCAAGAGGGCGCCGGCGGCAGGACAGCAACAGCGCACTTCCAGTCTATTGAGGAGCTGAATGATCGTGCGGTGACCACAACAAACAAGCCAGTGTTTGAGGGAAAAGATCTGCCAGCGTTACCTGATAAAAAGTCACTCGCAGCCCGTAGCGCGGATCAATTGGTACCTGAAAAGAAGCCCCGAGGCAAATCCGATCTGTTCTCATTTGCAAGGCCAAAAAAGGTGGTTCCCGCTCCCTCTATTGACTCTGATATTTCGTCCAATCAATCTTTGGCTGGTGGTGCTACCTCTGATACATCCCCACCAAAAGGAACTGCTGGTAGCCCGGCATTGACTAGCCCCATTCTTGAAATGAGCGGAGGAGTTGGAGGGCGGAAGGGGAAAAAGGCATTGTCAACAACGCTACCTGGATCTCCGGGTGGGATCGCAGAGACCGAGTCTGACCGCGGCCTGCCAAGTCCTTCATCAAGCAACCCGCCAGCAGGTAGGGAACATCGACGAACATCGTCGAGAGGCTTTCGAGAATGGTACGCCAGGTTCTCTAGCGAAATTTCAAAGCAGCGGTTGGAAGGCATGGCTGAAGAGACCGAATTTCCGGACCCCATCACTTTGGAGTCAATATTCGGATCAAAGATTTCTGGCGCCCGTGACGCTGTCGCTTGTTTATCTAAAGCGCACACTTGCTTTGAATTTGCTCGGCAAGAGCCTCGTTGGGTTAAAAAAGGCGACAAAGAGGCACCCGGAATCCAAAAAGAGAAAAAGGCAGTTGCTGATCTGGAATTATTGGACGACGTCGCCTGCAAGTATCGACCTCTTGATATCTTCCACGAAGGAAGATTGGCAACTGTCCAGTATAGTCATTCAGCGAACGGGCCGACGCTAGGTATCATAACGTCTGGGAAGCCGGACGACCTCATGGATGCTCTCATATTCCCTCTCGATCAAGACATGTCGTACGCGGAGGTGTTCCTCGCCACGTATCGCTTCTTCATGACCGGCAAGCCGTTGCTTGATAATTTAATTGAATGGTACAATGTCGATTTAGACCAAGATTTGCTGACATCGTCGGCACCAGTTGCGAGCACGTCCCAGGAGACTACCGACAGTGTTGAAGACCCAACTGCTACAGCTAATCCTGCCTTCCATCACCATCACGAGCAGTTTCTCAAAAAGCATCGCAAACACATTCAATCCCGCGCTATTCGCGTCCTTTTGATGTGGATCAAGAACCATTGGCATGATTTTCAGGAGGACGGTATGCTCTACTTGACATTGATGGCATTCTTGGATCATGTGTCCAGTGTGAGCTTTGGAGATGGTCAAAAGATGACGCAGGCCATTCGCGAGCAGGTGCGGACGTTGACTTTATTCATTCATTTGACATGATGTCTTACCCTATTTCTATTTCAGCGCTTGTCCTGGTACACCACTCAGTACATACCGTTCTTCCCTTCCAAGCGGGGCGTAATGAACGATAATACTAAACCCTGGGCTTTGGTCTGGTCACCAGAAGATTTCGCTCGTGAAGTAACCTATGTCGATCATTTCTTGTTCCGACAAATTCGGCCCGATGCCTACTTGCACGTCCTCGCGAGGCCTGTGGCAAAGGAAGGCGCGGGACGGAATGTAGCCTTGAAAGTTCTTCTCGAGTACATTGGATGGTTCCGTCTGGTAAATATAGTGAGCGGCATGAGAAAAGGCTGGACGTTTTCCGTCTCATTTATCTCAATTATTAGGTGGCTGCATACACGGCGACAATTGTTTTGCGCGAGGACTCTTCCAAGCGAAGAGCAAAGGTTATAAAGCAAGCAATTCGCATTGCCAAAGCATGTCGTGAACTGCAAAACTACAATACCATGTTCGCTATCCTGGCGGGTTTAAAGCGACCTGCTGTGGTCAAGTTGACCAACGCCTGGGAGGTATGCGCTTGGAAATGCCTTTAATGGAAACTTTAGTCTGAAGTGAGCTTACTCATGTTGCTTAAAAGGCACTACCCTCGAAACACATAGACGCATTCCAGAATCTCCTCTCGCTTATGGATCCTGCGGATGGTTACGCGACATACTGGGCCGAATTTAAAGACGTCCAACCACCTGCGATTCCGTTCCTAGGTATGTATCCTTTGCGACTTTCTGAAAATACCATATGGAAGGACTGACGATGTATGGCATACAGCGGCATATATGCGTGACTTATTAGACATCCACTACGAAGCTCCAACATATTTGAATGATCCAGCGTCCTCTGCTGGCGACCGGGATGGTCCTTCAGGGAACTTTACAAAGGCGCGACGGAAGGGAGGACGCACGCGAACAGCCACCGGGGATACCAGTATCACATCTACGAATGAGGAAGAGTGCACTCCACCTACGCCAGCTGATACGAATCCTAACCCTTCTCTAAACCGGACCATTCATTTCCAGAAGTACTATGACCTGTACGCCATTGCTGCGGAGCTCGAGATGTTCCGGATGTCCTCGGTGTACCCACCCAATGCTGACAAAGATGCTGGGGCCATCGTCTTAACTCATATGCGGGATTTTGCAGTGGATAAGGAGTCTGGACGGTGGATGGATGATGTATTGGAGACGACGATGAATGCTGCTACTCCAACAGCGAATGCCGAAGGACGTCGAAGCGTCGGCAATACCTTAGATACACCCAAGGCTACCGCGAAATTTGCCAGTTCCAGTTCTGGAGCACTGTTGGAGTCCACTGGTAATAGAGGACCATCGGAGGACAATTCAGAAAAAGCTGTAAAACCTCCTAAGCTAACTCGAGTGGGAAGTATCAAGCGGGATGCCGACGCAGAGAAGCCATTGGGTCCCCAATTGCCAGTCGCCCAAGGAGAAGAGGGAAGTACATCCAAATCTGGCGGAGGAACTGGGAGTGTGGAACAGAGCTAGGTGGGAAACTCCGGGGGTGGGCAGAGTGCAGCAAATCATATGAAGGGTGTGTGTTGGGATAGTTAGTAGTAATTAAATGTGAGACCGTTTCCAATAGCATATACCCCGTTAGCTAATTCCCTTGGTCATTCTGCATGAACATCTGGAAATGTGGAATTTGGTACCCTCGGTCGGTTCACTCTCAAGAAATGTCTATGTATGGCATACTTTATTTCTTCTAAAATTTTGGAGAATCTGAATCTCTTTTCGTCATCCGTCGACATTTTAAACCAATACCCAACGCATCAGAGCCCGCCGTTTCCATCCATGCAAAAAGTGTATACAAACAAGTGTGAAAGTGCCAGATTCAGACTCACATCCTTCCCCAACCTCTATCAGCCCCTCATTTGCCATTCTGCTGTTCGTCACACAATCTACGTATGTGTACTTGGTGTTCTACGTTTTGTCACTAGCGGCACACGGTATCGTAGTGATCCGTTGGGTCGCTTTCGTCCTTATCTTCTTCCGCGCAAGGTAGTGATGCCCATCGCAGCAGTTTTGAACCTGGGGTAATCCGAGTTAATAGATGGAAAGGATTTACCACGATACCAAACAATCACTTACCGGAGGCATCGAATCGTTCGACAGGCTGCACGCCTTCCGAGAGAAACATCCAAAAATGACCTGATGCAAAAAAAACGGCTTTTATGAATAAGGGAACAAGACAATTACACACCAAGGTTATGAACAAACCATTGTTGCAAGCCTCAAGGCATTTTTCGCACGGCTGTGTTACGTGATAACCAACAACGTTCCCGCATCCCAAACATGCAGCGTCACGAATACGGCATCTGCAGTGACCGTTAGTAGTTGCGATTGAAAGAACTAGTGTACATACTACTTACGAGCAATTCTGGGTGAGATAGTCGCTATAAACCAATTGCACGCCAGTGGGTGGGGTATCAGTTGAATACAATTCGACTTTTGTATTTCCCAGAAGGATTGCTTTCATTCCCCTTCGACACATGATGCTAGTACAATGGCGGCAGAATAGCTTACAAACAGCTTTTGATCTGAATTGTGGGTGCACGGAGGGATTCACTGTTCCACTACCAGTTACCGGCCGGAATGGGGAGTGAGCCGGGGGCGTGGTTGCAGAAGGCAGCGGTTGGAACAGCCGCCTATGAGGAGTACGTGGTTGCGGCTGAAGCGTTCGCTGCTGTTGCTGCTGAGATGAGGTGACTGCGGCATGTCTGGCTGCTTGCTGCATCATAGCATGAATCATAGCTGCTCGGTGAGCAGACGCGGAGGCGGCAACAGATGATTGCGAAGGTACACTATGCTGTTGCCCACTCCGTCCTGGAGATGCTCGGGTGGACGAAGAACCCGATCGACGCTGGTAGGTACGGACGGAGTGGAGCGAACGTCGGGAAGTTTCTCGTTCAGATGTGGTGGTGGATGTGCTAGCCGTCGAATCGGTCGAGTTTGTACGGGGTGGGGTGGGCGGAGCATCAAAGGACGGAAAGGGATTGATGTGCACTGGTACTTGCCCGACCATCGCTCCCCCTAGTGATGTACTGGATCGGCCAGAAAAGATGTTGGAAGACCGTGACATTTTAAAGGACAGCTGTTTACAAGAAACGCTAGTCGAAGGAGGGAGGAAGGAATGGGACCCGTCAACCTATCACGAGAAGTTGCGCAATTAGAAAAAAGGAAACCACAATCCTGCATCGAAATTCTCTGAAGTGGACGTCCTTCGGTGCTCGTATTTTATTGACATGACAAGCTCACCTTTGATGCGCACAGCAGTGATCAAATTGCAGATCCACCAATGTGCCAAGGGGATCGATGCTGCTGCGGCGGTTGCGGTAGGGAAGAAGGGACAAGCAGGACGAGCCGTGAGCGGATAGAGTAAATTGAAAATGTCGGAGATCTTGACAGTCTAGCTTTGCTGCAAATTATGGCAAATTCCGCGTAACGAACGAAGCGGGCCAGCAGAAACCAAGAGAACGGGAACTATGTTAATATTGGGGTCGCTTCATAATTGTTTTTTCGTTGACACCCTCTAGGTCCGATGGTACCCATTTCGCCTGGTCGGGTTCCGTACACCCGTGCCGCAGTAAGCCCGACGAACCAACAAGTTTGACGCAGCCGCGACAGCGGACTGTTGCCCGTGCATATAGGAAGGGTACAATAGAAAGCGTGCGACAGCCCGGTAAGTACCATTAAAGACGTAGATTGGCCCGTCAAGTTCCTCTCGACTTGGATCCTCAGAGCTGTTAAAGTTGGTTTGACCGGATTGAAGTAGCTAACAAGCCGACGGCTGGGCAACAAATCGCCACGAATTGCAAACAAACAAAGGAGGGTGTCGTTGCGGTTCGCGTCTCTTCGCGTTGAATCAAGACGAGAAACGGGTCTATTTCTGTTTTTACGTGCTCTGGCAGCTATTGCAGCGAATGCGAATGCACGGCAACTGTCAGTCGTGACGAACTCTTCCATACCCTTCTTTTGGCCGCCTGGTTGATGCCGGTGTGGAGGGTGAGGACGCGCTGTTTCATTTTCCCAACTTTCACGCTTATGTCACCTTAAACAAGCGCGTTTCCCAACAGGAAACTCCGCTCATTTACCAGATTGTAATTCACTAAATACCCTTGGGATCCCAATGGATTGGGAGCTGGGAACGACAACAGGCTGTCTATGCAGAGGAGACATGGCAAGACTGAGACTCTTGTCCATCATTCCATGTATGTCGCGTGACACGATATTGTTTTGGACCCAATGGGGCCGAAAGCCACGTACCAGAAACATTTCGACAATGTGCACACACCACTCCAAAATACGTCTTCTTTTTCCAGAGCAGATGAGAACAGATCGTACGTCTTATATGTACTCTGTTTCTTCCTGGCAATTATCCGCGGAAGTTTGTTGCATCTGACAGACCAGATACCAGATGAATTTAGTTGCGCGGGATATTGTGAATGTTGCCTACTTTGCGCTAAATTGGATTTTTAATGGGCAATGTAATTCTAGTAGTTGATCACCGGGTTCGCGATGCATGGTTCGTTTGACCACGATTTACGACAGAAGTGTGAGACAACCTTACTGCGCATCTAGCGGGACCTTCAAAGAGAAATTACCACAGAGCGTATCGCACTTTACTTGGCCATTGTCATATTCATATGGCAAAGAAGAATCTGCATCGGACACCTTCTCGCTGCAATATACGATCAAAGCAACAGCTCTGAACACGGCTCGCCGTCAAGTTTGAGCAGCTAGTGCTGAGATGGGCGCTTTACCGGATGGAACCATAGTAGAGTGGTTGGAGTGGCTTACTGATGACAAGCATTTGGCGCGCTCCTTCAAACGTTCAAGAAGGGCAATTTGCCTCCAGATGCAAGCATGGATATCGTTGATAGTCTACGGTCAAATGCTGCATCTCTTTACACGGAGGGAAAGTTCAAGGTATGAGAACATTATCTGTCTACGTGCTCAGTACCCGCAGCCAACAAAATATCTACTAGGATGCGTATAATACCTACCTACGGGCTGCCAACGCAGCGCTAGTGACTTTAGCAAACGGAGTGACATGGGCTGGCGAAGGTGCGGAACCAATTCTATCATACATTCGCCCCATTTGAGGCTTTTTTTGTATCGCACGGTCTGACCTTTGATGGGCCAGATGTGACAGCCAAACCGGACACTACCTCAGATCTCTTTCGACTCACACAGCAATGTCTGACAAGAGCAGAAGAGATTGTTAAATCAAGACATCTGTTTACTGTTAGGTCCTCTACTGCACCGCCCCTTTCCTCGGCCTCAGTAGCCCAGAGCGCACATTCACCTCAATCAATACCCTTTCCGGAGCGTGTCCCGCTGATTCCCATATCTCCTCTCACGAACCAGCACGCACTACATGCCTATCAACTATCAGTCGCAGAGCGTCGATACGCAGCAGCGACATCCGCAGAAGATCAGCCAGCATTGTCGACAATGCGTCGATTAGTCGAGGACGTTCGGATTCAACGAGCCAAAGTTCAAGAACTGCAGAAATTGGCCGATTCTGTTGCTACGCCGCCAATGATAAGCTGGAAAGCAGAAGCCGTTGCTCTTCAAATAGCTATCATTGATGTGAGCCTCTTTTCCAAAATCCGAGTTCGGGATGATCTTTGGCATCGTGAATCTGAAATTGGCTTGAACGGACGAGCGTGTGTGGATTTTAACAAGTATCTGGAACGTATAGCGATTGACGCCATACTTTCTTCGAAACCCACTGGCGCTACACATGATGGGCCCACTGCAAGAGCCGACACAATTGCGTTTCTTGTTTCAGTTGCCCATACTCTCTTTTACCACTATCGGGACATTAATGGCATGTGTGCCATCTTGCAAGCTCTGGAGTCACCTGAGATACGCCGCTTGCGACGCACGTGGGATGCTATACATGCTAAAACGAAAGAAGCACTTCGTAATTTGCAATCAGCAATTGGAGCCGGCACTGGCAACGATCACCTTGATCTCGTAGCCCAAGTCCTGGAACATCATTACTGTGGTGGTGGCGTCTTAGTTGCCATTCCATATCTTGAACCGTTTATTCATGACATGCAAGACCTGCGTAACGCTTACTCCGCTGGAGTGAGTGGTAGCACGGGAGAAGCCATGATGTCTGATATTGGAGCGAGAGCATTGGAAGAGATTTTTAGTATCATTGAGCTCTGCCAAGGTGTCGGAAGACCAGATCCAGGACTGGGAAAAGTGGGGCGCGCTGCAGCCGGAGCTGCTTCCCGATCACGAGAAAACAAGGCTGGCAACGGGCTGCCGGAGGACTTGAGTTCACTGGGAACGGGGAATCAGGGACTGGCACATTGGTTGCTCACGAGAGTTTATTGGAGTCGAGTCGAATTATGGGGTAAAAGCGGCGATAACGAGAGATTTCGTAGAGATGAACAGATACCAGATGCCTATAAAGAGGTCATTGCAGCTGAGGACACATGGAGAAACGATGCTCAGGTAAATTCTGCCGCGAGTGCCACTCCGTCCCGTGAGCCATTTTCGAAATCTACAGTGTCGGTACCTGAAGGAAACCAACGAACTGAGACTGCTGTGAGCGATCCCGGAGGAAGTTCAAACCAGGAGTTTGGAGAAGCCAAGCAAAACAGCGACTACATGGATCAATTTTTGGGCGATGTGGACACGCCACCTGCTGATGTCCAACAGAACGAGCAAAGCAATATACTTGCTCTTTTGGATGAGCTTCCGTCAGTGCCGCATTTGCTGGATTTTGAACGAGCATCGGAGGAAGCTGGGGAGGACAATGCACATACACAGGAAGAGGATGATGGTCAATTCCAAAGAGGTTCGTGAGCAACCCGTCGATCGGTTATCGTGTGATGCTCATCAGGACTGATCGATCTTACAGACGCAAGTAATTCAAATGTTGGAGCTCCCGATAACGCCCTTGACGAGGCGGCCCCTGGCGATGCTGCACCGCCGACAGGGTCTGATAGTCTTTTATCACCGGATAGCTCTAATCAAGTTGGCGACGCTGGAACCGGAACCGACGACTCGCCTGTACTGGCTAAGCAGGGCGAGGGATTCGACTACATGGACCGTTATCTTGGACCGCTTGATGAACCATACCCTGGAAGTAATATGGAACTGCCCGAGGTGGAAAGTCAAACGGCAGTTGAGGATCAGAATACTTCAACAGAAGCGCTTGCGCCGACTTCGTCACCGCAGCCCGGCGACGCACAATCAACAACACCATCTCGGCCACCGGAAGCATCACCGGTCATAGAACCATCGCAGTCGATTGCTGCAATTAGCATGGAACAGGATCCCGACTACGATGGGTACGGTCTTTCCGACCTGGAAGTTGATGCTGGAGACTACCTCGACGAGGTCATTGCGAACACTCCTCCACTGTACGAGAAACACGGGATTCCCAGCGAAGGAAGCGAGCAGGAGAAACTGGAAAGTACCAATCTTGCAGCCAATGATGATGCATTGAGACAACGCTTTGATTCATTGCGATAATCAAAGGTCTGTACAATGAACTGGTGATATAGATCATGTAGGAAACTTGTATAGTTTATATATCACAGTGTGTATCATGATACGTCCTCTAATGGTCGAATTTTATGTAAGAAGCGTTATGCGCAAGAATCCGACCAATGTTATACTGACTGTGATGACAAAGGGTGAATTTATCATATTGGTATTTCGAAATCAAGAGTCAACAGTGTGCTCTAATTGAATTTCAACAGAATCATGCATATTCCAAAATATCACCAGCCACGCACGCGCCATGCATTAGCCACACAAGCACAAATTGGGCAATTTTTGCCACATTTTATTTTTTATTGGATTTTGACTTTCGTTCTGCTTTTTTCCAGCTTGGGTTCCTTCCTTTGGTTATCGGAAATTCCAGTGGTGCTGTGGGGTCAAAATTGGGAAGGAACAGGTTCATCAGAATAAAAGAAAAGCCAAGAGCTGGGGGAAAGTTTTGTTGAAGAGTATTTAGAAGGCGTATTATAGCCGGTGTTGACGTTCTCCCACTTTGCCGATCTCATTGTCGTGGCTCGGTCAGCAAGATATGAGTATGGACACAGACCCACCGGCCGGCTCCTCTTCAGGTCGCCTCCTGCAGGTTCATCGTTGTCGAGTTGTAAACTACTCTCCGGCAGGTATTGTAAGTCTAGCGGTGACCCCCGAAGCGACCAAATCCGAACCGCACACGGGGAAGCGCCGTGTGGTGTTGGCCTGTGCAAGAAGCAATGGAGACGTAGAATTGTGGAATCCAAAGGGGCAGGGTTGGTTCTTGGAAAGGGTAGGTAGTCTCCGAACCCTGGATCTGGCGTGATTTCAGTGATGAAACTTTGATGGATCTGGGTTGGTTCCAAGCGCCTAATATTTATGATCGTCCCTAGACAATCCCCGGGTCACCAAATTCTGCGGTAGAAACTGTGTTGTGGATTCACCAGACCGCCATTGATCCCGAAACGACAAATGACAGCGACTTTGATTCCCAGGAAGAGCGTGCTGCTTATGTTCGGGCCCTTCGTGCTGCTCCACCAAGACTTATCACTGCAGGCCTGGATGGCCGTATCGTGGAATGGGATACGATTTCGCTGCGTCCCCGCCAGATTGCCGAGCCCGGAGGTGGGGCTGTGTGGTGCGTTGCCGTAAATCAGTCACATACACGATTGGCAGTTGGATGTGAGGATGGTCACGTTCGAATCCTGGATGTCACCGACGGTAGATTGGAATTTACCAAACTGCTTGAAAAGGCTCCTACCAGAATACTGTCCATTGCATGGCATCCTGCTGGCCAGTACGTTGTGGTCGGCGGCGCCGATAGCAGTATCAGGAAGATAGATGTGCGGACTGGACAAATAGTACAAAGGTTGACCACGGATACGCTACCGGGCGAAGAGACGATTGTATGGGACCTAAAAGTGCTGCAGGATAGTACCATCATCAGTGGTGACTCCATGGGCAAAGTCACATTCTGGGACTGGAAGTCAGGAACACCTGTCAGATCTGTGAAGGCGCATGGTGCTGACGTGTTGTGTTTGGTAGCTAATAAGGCGGGGACAAAAGTCTGGAGTTCGGGCGTTGATCGTAAAGTCGTGCAAATCAGTCTGATCGAGCTTGGATCCACCGCACCTGTCGCCAAGTCACCAGCACGCGAGGGAAAAAAGAACATATCAAAACATTCTAAGCAAAGTGGAAGTAAGAATTGGGTGGTATCTGGGGAAAAGCGTTATCACTCGCATGATGTACGCGCACTCTCACTGCTTGAGGGACGACCGTACGATGCGCTTGTCTCTGGTGGGGTGGATAGCACCCTAGTGGTCTCAAGCCCCCTTACCGAGTTCCCTTATTTGAAGCAATACCGCATGCCAACCTTTCCTCACCGTCCCATTATCCAAATAACGCGAAGGACCAGATTCCTCCTTGCCCGCTTCTCAGATCATGTTAAACTCTGGCAACTTGGGCGTGCCCTCCCCCTGCAGCGTCCGCCAAGCGCGTTGGACAACTACGAAAGACTTGAACACCAACCTGAAAAGCTCCTTCTCAACATCAAACCAAAGTGCGCAACGAATCTCACGTCTAGCGCAATATCTGAAAATGGGCACTGGATCGCTGTGTCGGATATGCAATCCGTAAAGTTGTTTAGAGTTCAAACAAGCGGTCACAACGGCTTGCCTCGCGTTCGAAGAGCCAAGACCTTTCCGTCTTCTGCAGAAGGTCCTATTCGAGGCGCACACGCACTGTGCTTCACTCCCGATTCAATGCGGCTGATTGTTGCTGGCTCCGATTCGGTGGTCTACGTGGTGGATCTTAGTCAAAGTCGCGACGACATTTTCGGGATCGTAAAGACATTTGAGGCACACCGGGGCGACGAGGCCAGCGAGATGGAGGTGCAAGCGGATGGTGATGCCATGGATGTAGATGGAGATAGTGTACCAACCAACAGTGCAGGAAAGTTGGTGACAGGGGGAGAAAGGGAAATGGTTGCAACCCTGGCAGTAAGCGGAGATGGACAATGGCTCGCCAGTGGAGATTTATTGAATCGCATCCATGTTTTTAACCTCGATTCTTTAAAGGTTTGTGTTTGAACCGTGCTCTCACTTTGAATGCACCCTTTCTAATCTATACTTTTGCTAGCATCACGCAACACTACCCATATTCTCATCCCTCCACACATCGCTCACATTCCATCCGTCATCACCCACTCTTATCGTCACATGTACATCTAATGAATTTTTCCTCTACGACTGCGAGGAAGCCACCTTGACAGATTGGTCACGCGAATATTCCCATAGACTACCCTACCGATGGCTTCAAAGAAAAGAAGTCGTGATGGGTGTCGGGTTTGACCCAAAACGGCCAGCAGTGGTGACTCTGTGGGGAGCTACGCATCTCTGCTTTGTGGATCTAGAAAAACCAATGGGACCACGGGACGCAGTGATATCTGTGCGACGTCGAAAGCTGTTACAGTATCGCGCAAAGAAGTTACACGGCGGTTCCCAAAAGATTCCCAAAGCTGCAGATGACGTTAGCGCTGCGATGGATAAAGGCATGGTGGATCACGAACTAGCTGAGCTTGAGCGGCGAGAATTTGAGAAGCGACGCAAAGCTGCTGCACGAGAGATTGCCAAAGCAGCCAACGGACTTACCAACGGTGTCGGTAAAAAGAACCAAAACAAAGACACGACAAGCTCCGACGATGAGGAAGAAGACGAAAGTCAGCACGCGGTTGAAAACGGTGTTATCCTCATTGATAGCGGAAGTGAGCATGACGAAAGTGGCGACTTGGAGGAGGAGGACGAAGGAGACGGCATACCCATTGTCAATGGCATAGATCACGACAACGACACGCAGGCAACAGCTCGAGCAGGCACGAAACGACAGCACAGCGATTCAAACGGCAAAGTAAGCGGGCCAACCAAACTCGCTGCTAATACTTTCAGCGAGAGTTTCCAAATGGAGCATCGGTATAGTCCATTGATGGGGTTGGGCTATGTGGGTGACAATGAATTGGTCGTAGTGGAGCGACCTGTTCTCAGCGTCCTTCAGAGTTTGGGTGTTGGAGGATACTACAAGCACAAGTATGGTACTTAGGATGATGAGGAGATTGTTTACAGCATGTAGATTAACAGATTTGGCTATTTTTTTGATACTCTGCGTTGAGGCTGTTGAATTTTTTTTTGTTTTTCTCTCGAGGAGTAGGAGGGACAGGGCTTTGTTTATTATTTTTATTCAATACAATGTGAATAACTTACACGCATGCAAACAAACTCATCCCATGAGGAAATGGTAGATATCTACATACGTTTTGTCAAAAATGAGGCGGATGAATGACAAGTCTCAATTAAAAAAAGGTAAAATACCCAAGACCCTCCACTCTGTCATCAAAGACGGATAAAATACATATAACGTACATATACAATAAACAAATGAATATGCAAAACCCAGGTATTATGCTGCAACAGTTTGAAATGTCCAGTGTGATGGTAAAAAACGGAAAACATCTATCAACCCTATGGAGAAGCAGGACTTTCTGGCGCTGTTTCATGACCAGAGTGAAGGGTTTCACGATCATTGGGCGATCGTGGGGTGGAGGAAATGGTATCGGATGGTGAGGGTATGTCGAGGTGCTCACTTTCATGTTCCGTGGGTTGCAATTGTGGTGGGATGCTTGCAAGATTTCTGTGATCTCGTTCTTGGTGTGGTGGTTCTATATCTCTGGATTGTGCTTGTCGTGCAGAACCCATTTGTGATGGTGTTTCAGAGTCATTTGCTTCCTCGGCTGGCTGTATCTCTATCGTCTCTCCAAGCGGGATGCAAACACTAGAGGTAGGTGTCCCCAAATCATCATCCTCGCCTTCTACAACAGTTGCCAGTTCTTCTCCTTCAGTATCTTCCGACTCTGGTTTCGGTTCATATGCAGGTGGTGCAAGTGGTGGAAGGACCAAGTTCTCAGTATAAGCGGGTGGAGGTGGGGGTAATGTTCCTGGAATGGGATCAAATGGTGTTGATGGGGGTTGGAGTTGGATGGTTGCGGGTGGAGTATCTAGATCATCGTTACTTGTTTCTTCGTCGATAATGAAGCGGTTGCGGTTGCGACGGAGACAGCAGCGTCGATGCAGTAGGAGACATCCACACAGTAAAAGGAATACGGAAATGACAACGTACTACAAGATTATTCTAGATTTTAAATCATGGTTCATGGGATCAGAGTATATACAATGCAGGGCAACATACCACTGTAATCTTCATCGCTTCAGCAATCGACTCATTCTTTTGTCTACTAGAGTCAGCACCCTGCACATCTCTCATCATAACATCATTCCGCCGTTGAACCACTAAACTCTCTTCCTCTAGCAGACACAAAACATTTTTTTCCTGTTGTATTCCGCATCGTATTCTTTTCCCCGCAGGCCAAACCCTCGCCATCCAATGCGTTTCGTTCCATGTTCCGTAATCGATACACCTCACACCTGGCGCACTGCATGCAGACTTGAGGCGCCCGGACGTGGTCAAATCAAATTTCCACTGGACGTCGTAGCAGATTTTACAATCGTTGGAAATAAATAGGCACTTGGGCTCGGGGATAAAGACAGTTGTGGGCTCCCGCCAGGAATGGTATGGTGTCTGTCTCAGTCCCTGGAAAAGCGAGTTCGACTGTGCGTCGTCGCAGCTCAGATCGCTTGGCCGCCCAAAGGGAGTAGATGTGCTTCCAAGTGTCATCTTGTAATGCTGGTAGGGCGCATTTACTGAAATAATACCGAGAGCTCAGTCCCGGTCGTTGAAAGGTTGGTCGGAAGGGTTCCAGGAACAAAAGCAAATGGCCGAGTCATTTAAAGTCCCTTTTCCCTTGACGCTTGGCCGGTTGGGACATGGCTGGGTCATGCATGGCTTATTTAAGCAGTCGAATGCACTTGAATCAGTCAAGATAGCCATGTGTTTTGAATGATAACCAAACTTTAAAGCAAAAGGTGCGATTAAAAACAAAACAAGTCTCCCTGATTTTTTTTTATATATTTAAAGACAATCTACATTTGGGAAATAATACGCAAAACCATCTGTCCGCGCTCAAAACATGATATCAACATAGCGGTACGGACGACCGCTTTCAACAAAAATAAAGTACATTTAGACGCTAGGCACCCAATTACCTACAAATCAAAGCACTCATAGGAGTTGTTGCTTTTCCTCCTTTTGCCGCGACTCATGGGGTAAGTGGAGAATCTACAAAGGTATCGCAAGATTTAAACCAAATTACACGATATGATTGACATGCATCTTGGTCATGCTTACCTGGTCTTCACCATACCCATATCCGTAACCATACGCCTCCGTACCACCCAAAAGCGTTTCATGGGATGTTCCTGGAAACCCGGCTCCCTCACCTTCGTCTCCCGCCTTCTCATCTCCTCCTTCTTCCTGTCCTTCGCTTGCAAAAGACCCATATCCTCGATCACCGCCACCAAGTAGCACAGAGTTCAAGGACAAGCCTCCCCCGCTCGCACCATCGCCTTTCAGACTTTGAGAATCACTCGGAGGATCTGGTATACCATAATAGCTGGCATCCCAATATTCGACTCCCTCGTGACCCTCGTATACGTCTGACTCCTCTACTGCCAAAATCGGGAAACACCCAGATTGTCCAGTATGAAGATTGGTGCCTCGGCACCATCCATCCTTGTAAATTTTCCTATAAATTGCATGACAATTTAAAAATAGCGTTCTTTGCCAACATCCAACATAGTAAGTAAACTCACCTAACAGCCACTTCATCACCAGGTCTCAACTCAACCTCATCGGGCATTCTGGGAAAGTGGGGGTACACCACAATATATCGCATCTGCTGCTCAAGCACGTAACCCCCACTACCTGACGAGGTTGGCGACTGCATATCAGCTTCACGGCCCATAGGAACATTCTGCAAATTCTCGGGGGTTGAAGGAGGCGGGATACTGCCATGTGACGATGATCCCATCAAGGCACCAGTAACAGCGGCTGTAACAGCGGCAGATGCACTGTGCGCTACAGGCTGTGAAGAAGCTCCAGCCTGAAGCATCTCTTGTGGCTTTCGTTTGCGAAAGATGGATTCTTGTCGCAATGGTAACGCAGTTGATTCCACCTGGGCATTTTCGAGCTGCAAGCGCGAAATATCGCCGAGCCCTCTTTGCAAAGCTTGCAAATCTCCAACGCGACTCCCTTGTTCGCTGGACATTGGCACTGTAGATGATGCAGCAGTAGACCCAGCTTGCGCTGCCCACGGGCCCTCGCCTAATGATCCACCATCCACGGGGATAGGAGCTAGTAGCGGAATAACGACATTTCGTTTCGGATCCAAGAACCTCCCCCCAGGTATCGTGGGAGTAGAAGCGGCTTCAGAAGTCCCTGGCTTTGGTGGCGCCTCTTGCGATCGTACACGATAAACACGAAGGCTCCCGCTTCTGCGTGCTTCCTGGGTAAGACTGGCGTACGACCGCTTATTTCTATTTCTCCTGCAATACACTAGGAGAGACCCAACGGCAAGCGCAATAGCAACCATGGTTCCAAGTAACACTCCAACAATCACCTTGGTCCGGGTTGCTTGCGCAGAACTCTCTCCTTGTCCGGTTGCAATGGGATCGGACGTGGGTACCTGCACCACAGGCGGAGATGGTCCTGCTGGAGGCGCAGGGGCGACGTTCTGTAGTAAAGTAGCTGGAGCTGTCCACGTCAAGTGCTTGGTATCAAACGCATAAATGCCGTTGTCATCCATGCCGCGCATGGGTTGCGTCGAGAGTTGCCGCCTATACCATGATCGGACATGGCGCTTGCGGATGTGTGATCGGCGCAGGTGCTGTTGTCGATCCGGCCCACCATATGGAAAATCTAAGCCGTTAGGCCACCACCTGTACACAATGATTACAATAATTAGAACCACGATACGCGCACGAAAAAGGAGAAGGAATATCTCAGCTTACTCTGGCTTTCTCCATGCCCAATCGTCATCTTCACCAGGAGCAGGGCCACCAGGCTCACTCTCCACAACTACTCTTGGCATTCCTTGTGGCCCAAACTGGGGACGCCATGGCACAGGTGCATTTTGACCCCCCTCCCAATCTCGCATGGGTGGGAACCCGTCCGGCCATTGCTGATTTTCACCATTCTCCCAATCGCGCATAGGAGGGAAGCCAAACGGCCAATCGCTGGTCTCCGGAGATTGAGTCGGAGCACCTGTGGGACTCGGCGGAGATCTCGACGAAGATGCTGCTCCTTGCCCATTACGAGATGAACTAGTAGGCACTGCAGATACGGTCGTCCGCGGCGGTGAAGTCTGAGTTGTCGCAGGAGCAGATTGCTGACGGCCAACCTCCGCTCGCGACCTCTGTCCACCGTGAACTATAAAGAAATCGTTCAAAAGAGCCCCGGCCGCAAAACATCTAGCACCTGGCCCAGTGCCAGGTGCGCCAAGCATCCCCCAGGTGTACGTCGACAAATCCAATGTGTATAGAGCAGGATCCGACGGCTCAGTGCCATTGGGATCACATCCCCCCTGAATGTACACAATATTACTATTAGGGGCTTTTGCGCACGTCACGCCCCAACGGGGACTTGGAGCTATGCCCGTGAAATTGCGCAAAGGCTCGAACGTCCGAGAAGTGCTCGACGGATCGAAGAGCCACACTTGATCCGAAAGAGCAGAAACAGTAGGACGCGATTGTGCTCCTCCGATAAGCAGCACTCTGTTGCCGGGTACTTTGACAGCGCATGTTCCGATAAGCTCACTAGGACCGTTGTCACCAACAATCGGCACGAATGTTGCATTGCCCGTCTTCAGATCGTAACGGATAGTTTGTGCTGCCCCATATGCAGGAACAAATCCACAATATAGACAACCCAAGCCACCTGTGCACCAAACATTGTTGAACACCAAAGTATACTGTCACATCCATTACGGCAACCTACCAAACATGTAGATGGCGTCATCCATGACAACCGAAGCATGAAATCCGCGAACCGCAGGTATTCCGGTTGGACCACTATTTAAAGTTGGTAACCTGACGGGTAACCTCGTCATATTACCGTTGCCCATGTCATACTTCCAGATGCTTTCGTCAGCAGGGAATGGGGACCCAATGTTGGATCGAAAGCCACCTTCATATGGATTAGATGTCAGAGCTCATGAATGCAAGTATGAATTCTACGACTGAGAACTCACCCGTACAGTACGCAACTTCTTGCCCCTCAACTGCGGCGCAGCTATGGCCAAATAGGGGTGGAAGGTTACTGGATAGATTTGACGCAGAAGCGGTCGCAGCTGATAGGAAATATATTGATGGATCTGCACGCCATTGGGCATTTTGCTGAGGTCTTGGAACGGTTGGCCCTGCGATGGAAATGTTAATACGATTGCGGTGTCAATCATGTCAACACATCCTGCTCTGCGGTTCGGTGCCGACGAACCGCTAAAACTGTGGCCCTCCGAAAATACCACTTTTTAGACATACCATTTGCTGATAGTACGTATGGCGGCTGTGACGCGTCCGTCCGACCTCCGACAAAGTAGACACCCTTTGGACCAGCAAATGCCGAATGGTGATCCCGCCATGGAATTGCCTGTGCAACTACCCCGGAGGCTTGCAGCGCGGCGAGGACCAAAAGGGCAACAAGTCGCGGTAATGGATGAGAGGTGAACGGTAACATGATAAAATAAAGTGTTTGGAAGCAATCGTCTGTTTAGGAAATGTTAACTGGTTTTCTCGAGCTTGTTCGTATGAGTGCTTTGAATTCGCGGCGGGCGGCCCATGAAGAATGCAAAGACAAACTGCCAACCCAAATCCTTTCGTCTCTATTCGTAGTGTTTTTTACTTTGCTTGAGCACAGCCTACTTGGTGGTCTACCGACACAAAAAAAAGGTAATGTCCCAAACGACTTGTCGTTGTCCCCCCTCGTTCAAATCAACCCAAACCGTCCAAAGCCAAACGAAAAGCAAGTTGGGCTGAGCAAAAAGTTGTTCGCACTGCCATTTTACCTCATTATTCCTTTTTGGGAAGGTTTGAGGCACAGCGTTCGGACATCAACGCGTGGCCAAGCCTCAAAACCTTCTTTTACAACTATCCATCACACGGCATGAGCAGCGCATCTGGTAAAAGCTTCCTCAGCGTAATAGATATTCTGGTTCCTCTAGGTATTCTTTTGTTTTCCCATTCATCTTCTAACCGCTCAGGGATACCATGTTCCCACTCCCATCGTGCAGGACCCGATAAACAAACGACATCACCTGGTGAAAGGAGAATAGGAATCGTGGTCGATTGTGTAGCTTCTCCTAGCAGTGGACATTTGGCAGCCACTTTGCTGTTTTGAACGGAATTTCGTGTCTGCTGGCAATGTGTTTGTTCTGACTTGACTGAATCGTGAGACGGAAGAATATGTGAGCACATGTCCTCTGCCTTGTTCTCGGCAGGGCGATATTCCATCACGCACGATCCAGCAAGAGAGGCTATCACAATCCCGTCATCAAAGCGTCTGACGAGATCCACATGATGCCGAAGGCCCTGTCCAGGATCATAATAATTGGCAATCATTTGGTCAAAAGCCGGATCTCTGTATGTGCATTCCGCGAGGGATTCAAAACTGTGTCAACCAAGTAGAGATGGCAAGACGATTCGCTCCATCTCACCGTTCTCGGAGTTTGTTGGGTAAAAGATCACGACTAATCTTGACGAGCTGTGACAACCACGGCGGCAGATTGCCAAAACGCATGACTTGATTGCGGCCATTCAAAGGATCAAACCATTGCTCCTCATCTATATGCTCCAATAGTGTGTCGAGAAGAGACTGTGGAAGAAGTCGTGGGCAAAAAGTCATGCCGCGAATGACGGGATGGTGAAACGGAACCGGTGGGGGCATTGCTGACTCTGGATTGCCATGTTGACAATCTGTTTCCAACTCTGAGTCCGAGTCTGACCCAAACAGGTCATGCAACCAGCCTTTATCACTCATGTGAATCTGTTGCCTTCAATGCAAGATCCTGCCAAACAGCTTGAGTAGTGGAGTTGGTTGATGGTCACGTGATGTTGACGGATGGCGGTTGAATTTCCCTCCTAGCCTGTCTCCTGGCTTGTCTCCTGGGGCCTGGACTTTGTAGTATTGTACTTTTAGGAGGAAATATCCAGTTCAGCCGGCCCCCCCCCCCCCCCCCCCTCGACCTCCTTGCCCATCTAGAAGAGTGCTGATGGGTAGAATTCGTATGCCCTTTTTATAAATGACCTCGTATCAAATGTATGAAATGGAGCATCTGAATAGTACTTGACACATGTGAAATGCCTCGTTCTGCCATGGGCATCGATTCCATTTCCCCCTACAACAACTACCAATCCACGCGAATGTAAATTACTAGAGCCAATCAACAGAACGCGTTCTTCAACGTGAAATTCCTACGAAATGTCCAATCGCTACGGTTTCCTTCCCCCCCGTTGACCCTCCCTAATGAATGTAATTAAAAAACACAAAAAGGAGACTGGACAGAGCTCCACGTGCGATAACAACAGTGGATGGATTCATACATTGTATTCAATTGCATCCAAATAGTGTTAAATAGCGCTTGTTTAATATCTAAAATGCAACCCATTTGTAACCAGAGAACCATAAAGGATGCTCCCCACCCATCCCCTTTTGCAAATGAATCCACTTGGAAAGGCCACGAGTCCACGCTATTGGCTTTAAAGTGTGCTTGCCATGAGATTTGATTTAAGCTACAGATGCATAAAAACTGAGAGCTTCCGTTCTCTGCCCCCTGGAGATACCTTTGTTCTCTAGGTCATCATTGCACCGTAAACTCAAAGGTTTCGTGTGCAGTCTTGTCCCCTGCTTTTAGTTGCTGCAGATACAATCTTTCGAGGTTGTCCCTTTTGTTTTGCGTCCTGTACCTTTGCGAAACATGCCCAAAGATCCTGCACCTACGGTGACTCCTCGCACCGCCATCATCGGCGCGCACCAGGGAAATGGTGTTAGCGTTGGTGGAACTGGAGGTAAACTCAGTCGGTCTGGATCGTCCTCGAAGAGCGGATCCATCTTGTCCGGCCGACTTGCAGCAATCATCCTGGTGGCAGCCGTGCTCTTAGCCACGGATTGGATCCCAGCCAAATCCTACTTGGGTTCGGTCAAGAGGCACCTTTCTGATTCATACACTGCCATCCGGTATCTCCCGACTGGCTTTCAGGTTGTCGCTTTCGGTAGCATCCTCGTGGCTGGTTTCTTCACAATCACAGCTGGGAAGCCCTATGTCGTCTTTGCTTGGAACTGCTTCATCAAGCCGTTTTTGAAAAAGAAGCCCACTGGGATCGATTCAGATGAACATCAAAAGCGCCTTGAACAGTTTTACGAAGGCCAGGCTGAAGTGTACGATGTGACGCGTAAAAGGTTTGTAGGCAGCAATAACTTTAGTTGTCTTGATTGTATATCTTACCTCATTATCTTAGACTGCTTCGCGGCCGGAGCACAATGCTGAGGCTCTGTGGCGCTCAACTTCAACAGGTATACCCTGCGGCATCCGAGAATGACGTGGCAGCCAAGACCGAACTCTTTTCCAAGCAGCCTTCTGTCCTCCCGTCTCCGCCGTCTTCTCCGACTTTCCCCAACGCACCTAGCAAGCGCACCGCCTGGATCGATGTTGGTGGCGGGACGGGCGAGAATATCGAAAAGATGAACGCGACATTTCCCATCTCCAACTTTACTCGAGTGTATTTGGTGGACATTACACCTTCCTTGTGCGAAGTTGCGCGGCAACGGTTCCAGCGCTTGGGTTGGAACAACGTTCGTGTTCTCTGCATGGATGCATCCAAATTTGCGATTCCCGAGGAAGATGGCCCAGAAGATCTTGAGATTGCCTTGATTACAATGTCCTACTCTCTGTCCATGATTGAAACCTTTTACCCGCTGATTGATCGTCTCGCACAAGTATTGAGTCCTAACGGCATATTTGGTATGTACCTCTCGGTGACTTTCATGGTTAGTTTCTCGACACTGATGGTCTCCTGTATCTATAGGTATCGCTGATTTCTACGTTTCCCAAAAGCGATCTGCGGACCCAAGCCGCCAACTCAGCTGGTTGATGCGCTGGTTCTGGTCGATTTGGTTTGACTTTGACAACGTATATCTGCACCCATGTCGCCGAGAATATCTCGAACACAAATTCAAAACCGTAAAGTCATTCAACGGCAAAAACAAGTTCATCAAGCCCTTTGTCAAGATACCCTACTACGTGTGGATTGGTGCCAAGCAAGAGCAGACTATACCCACCTTCAAGCTCGAAGCTGCGGCTTTGAACGGATCAGGATCGGACAGTGAGAGCGAGTTGTACAAATGTCCCCCCGAGGTTCCGCTGCCAGCCGAAAAAGTCCTACCGGTAGCGTGCCAAGGCAACGGGCATGTGCTTTCGGATCATATTCACGGTCATGGCTACCGATGGCGCCAACCCTTTGACCCAAAGTTGCTTTCCCGATTCTCCACTTACATTTATGCGTTTGCTTGGGAAGATCCTCGCGTGGATTTGGAGTTTATGGAGCTTACACCTAATGACCGAATGTTGGTCATTACATCTGGAGGATGTAACGTTCTGGAGTACGCTGCCAAAGTCGGGCCGGCTCGGTGAGTTACAATATTTTGTAGTTTAGCCATATCTGCATTGCTAAACTGTCGGACCAATTATCTAGTATCCATGCGGTTGACCTGAACCCATGCCAGAACAATATGCTGGAGTTGAAGCTGGCCGGTATATCTAGCCTCGAGTTTTCAGAGTTTTGGAAGTTGTTTGGTGAAGGCCATATTCCAAACTTTGAGAGTGTCCTCGACACCAAGCTGTCTCCCTTCCTCAGTCCTTCTGCCTTCTCGTTCTGGAAAGAAAATGCTGGCTTCAGTAACCTCTTCCAGACCGGATGCTCCGGATTGGCTATTCGGGTTTTCCAATTCGTTATCAAGCTTCGTGGTTTAAGGGACGCTGTCCGAAGGATGTGCAGTGCTGTCACTTTGGATGAGCAAAAACAGATCTGGAAAGAAGAGATTCGGCCCCACTTTTTGAGCACATGGCTTATTACTCTCCTTAACAATGATCGATTCCTTTGGGGTGCTTTGGGCGTTCCGCCGGCTCAGATGCAGATGCTGATTGAAGAAGGTGAGATCATTTCGCTGCATTAAATTCGTGTCAGTAGCGACTGACAGCTATATCTTTCTATGCAGGCACGGCGTATGAATACATTGTCAACACTTTTGATCCTGTGATCGAAAATACCCATCTTCGCACCGACAACTACTTTTACTACCTCCCTCTCATGCTTAAATACAACCCTCGTAATGTTCCCGCATATTTATCTAAAGAAGGATACCGAGCCCTCCAAACCCAACCTGCTCGCCTCAACGCCATCAAAATTCACACGGACGTTATTGTATCTGTTCTCGAGCGCGAATGTGAGGACGGAGAACTGACTCGCATTATTCTTATGGACCATCTTGACTGGTTCTCGCACGAGGATGCCGAAGCCGAGATTGGTATGGTGGCCCGCAAGTGCGCTACTGGAGGAAGAGTCTATTGGCGATCAGCCGGCAAGAGGCCTTGGTACAATATTATTTTCGAGCAGAAAGGATTTGATGTCAAGCCCCTGCAGATCCGGGAGGGCTCGACAATGTACATTGATCGCGTGAATATGTATGCTAGTTTATGGTGTGGAATCAAGCTTTGATGATGGGGGTTTGCTCTTAGATCTTTTTAGAGAGAGATGGGAAATGGGAAGTACGGTTTTTTTTTTACTTTCACTTTTTTGTACAGCTTTGGGGATGGATAATTACTTGAATAATGGCAATTAGTGGGTGAATGCAAGATAAAATAACGATAAATACAATACTATTTATCCCATAATCTTGATAAAACAAAGTAGAAACGCTAATGGCATTCAGGATTAGAGAAGTTGAATCGCTGGATATCGATAACATCCCTCCATGATGGTATCCCATGCCAATCCCATAAAATCACAAAACGTACACACACCGATCATTTGCAAAGGCTGTTCGTTACTTATTCTCTCTTCACATGTTTAGACATGGGTCCGTCAGTTTGACTAGAAATTGGGATAACTAGCCATGTTTCTTCCACATCCAAGTGGGGCTGACATTTTACTTGCTTTCAAGATACTTGTTTTATCTAGCTATTTGTTACTAACGGGGGATGTGAGTACGAAATGTTACATGGTGCAGTGCAGTGCATGTCAGCTTTATTTATGGTAACAACCAAAACCTGGGGTAATGCAGACTAGAGTTTCGAGAAGAAGGGTGGACATGGGGTACATGTTGGAATGCATAGTGTGGAGGTGATGGAAAATGGCACTAGGCTGGAACTTGGTGTTTTGCTCCGGATCAGGAAGCTCCCAAAGCTCCCTATACAAGCGGTCTTGAATATCCTTAGCAATTCGGTCAATCACTTGTCGTGAGTTTTCATCGCAAACCGCCGCAAATTCGGCCAATTCTTCCTCCAAACCCATCTGTGCGTCGTCGGGCATTCCTTATTTGAAAGTTTGATTGGTTGTTGGTGCAGAGGGAATGGACATGGAATGCATGGAGGTACTGGAGCAGGCTTTCGTATCGCGCGGTGCGGCGGTTGGAGCAGGGTGGCGGCGTTCTGTCTGCAACGGCTCATGAGCTTCTTCCGATTCCTTGAGAAGAATTTCCGGTGAACAACAAATACTTCAAGGATTTGACTCCTCGGATGCAGGACAGGTTTTCCGGTGTTAGTAATGGCCCACGACGGTCTGACTCTGGCAGAAGGAGGCGGAGCTCTTCCTAGTTCTGCAACGGTTTATGTAGGCGATATCCTGCCTACGGCTGCTGCCGACGGGAAGCGAAGGCGAAGGGGGATACTTGGGATAGCATATAGCATACATCTCTTGTTGATTTGAAATAGTATTTGGAAACCGACCAACCCTAACCGCAATACAAACTCCACCACAAACCCTAACCCTTTAGGCTGTCGGGCTTGCTATTTTTTATCCAATTTTGCGCAAAAAAAGGAAGTCACATCACTCATTCCCGTTCGACAGCCACCCAAATTCCTTTATCCTGCTCGGACGTTTTTCGGGCCCCTCATCAGAAGACGGGTGGCTTGTGCTCAGGTTTACCTGCAACACAGAGAACACGTTTTCAGAATCCGCTTTTTGCATGCAACGTATATTGGAGAGGACAGATTTGTATGCGCTTAGACGTATTGGGCTTCCGCTTTTTAACCTTCGGCTGACTTTGGTCGTGCTAACGCTTACGGTGAGTGCACAGCCTCGGTCCGGTTCAGGTTGAAAACCTCGGTGACGGTGACTTCTGCCTCTTCCGCGGTCAATTCATGAACTGTGCTGGTAAGATGATCGAGAAGTTGACGGGGTTTGAGGTACACCCTTTTTTGCTTGCTTGATGGGCACTGTGGGCAGTGGGTCGATGATCCCCATAGAGCGAGGGCAATCTCCGACTTCTTCAGCCCGTGAGTGGATTTGACTCTCATGTGCTTCACCAAGAGCGAGATGGTGGGAAAACTTTGTTGGCAAAGTGGGCAGAGCTTGAAGCCCCCACCAGCAGCATTGGAGGGTGGGACGGACGGTCTCGATGCGTCATCTGTGACAGAAGGCACTGCGGTAGGGATCGGGGGGAGAACCTCGGCGACGATAACTTCTGCCTCTCCCACGGTCAATTCGTGGGCTGGACTGGTAAGATGACTGCGAAGTCGATGGGGCCTGAGGTACACCTTTGTCCTGCTTGACGGGCAGCGTGGGCAGCGGGTCAATGATCCCCATAGAGCGAGGGCAATCTCCGACTTCTTCAGCCCATGAGTGGATCTGACTCTCATGTGCTTCACCAAGAGCGAGATGGTGGGAAAACTTTGTTGGCAAAGTGGGCAGAGCTTGAAGCCCCCACCAGCAGCATTGGAGGGTGGGACGGACGGTCTCGATGCGTCATCTGTGACAGAAGGCACTGCGGTAGGGATCGGGGGGAGAACCTCGGCGACGATAACTTCTGCCTCTCCCACGGTCAATTCGTGGGCTGGACTGGTAAGATGACTGCGAAGTCGATGGGGCCTGAGGTACACCTTTGTCCTGCTTGACGGGCAGCGTGGGCAGCGGGTCAATGATCCCCATAGAGCGAGGGCAATCTCCGACTTCTTCAGCCCATGAGTGGATTTGACTCTCATGTGCTTCACCAAGAGCGAGATGGTGGGAAAACTTTGTTGGCAAAGTGGGCAGAGCTTGAAGCCCCCACCAGCAGCATTGGAGGGTGGGACGGACGGTGTCGACTCGTCATCTGTCGCAGAAGGCACTGCGGGCTTTCCTGAAGAGGGAGAAAGCCCACATCGTGGAGTATCTACTTCCTGGCGGTTGATTACAGGCGTCGGCCTGTCGTCGCAACGTTCCCACTCTTGGAAAATCCTTTCGATCGTGTCAACCAATGGCAAGTTCCACTCGAACAAATGTGGCCCCAAGGTCGACGGAAGGAATGCAAAGCTAAGAAGCCCTCTCACTTGGTCGCAGAGGCTGGTATCAGTGCTGTCGAGAGGAGAATCAAAGACACCATCAAGGGCACCTTCTTTCTCACGCTTCAGCCCCTTTCGCGTTGGTCTCAACAGTGTCGGGTGTAGCTGCTTAACACCTAAGCAGAGCAGCGCCAGCGATAGCCACCGGTGGCCCGGGGGAAGAAGTGTAATACCTTCATTCACCCTGACTCTACCGTTATCAAAGAGTACGAAGGAAGAGGCCACTGCAAAGAGAGCACCTCGGCCTAGGTGGGCCGATACACCACAGAAAGAGTTGCGTGAGATACTACAGTCACTAGGAGCGGGTGGTGCATCAGAGGTTGTGATCTTTCCCAGACGCTGCCAGGCGGGGGTTGACGGAAGCACTTTTGTCGCTATCACTGGCGTCAAGCTGGCTGGAATCGCAGCCTTTCCGTCTTGATCTTGACCCAACTTCCCTTCTTGCTTCGCTGAGCTCTTGCCTTTGTTGGCCTTATTTGACTTCTTTGAACCTTCAACCCGTTGTGAGTGTGGTGCGGGAGAGGACTTCAGTCCTCCACGGTCTTCTTTCAAGTCAGGCAGCCTCAGTTCGCAATCTTTGAGGTTCCCTCTCATGCTGGACCAGAGAACTCGACAACTGAGCGGGACGTCGTGTATGAGAGGACAAGTCACAGCCTCACCAGCGCCAACTGTCTTCGGCGCTCTGTAAGCGACGGTTAAGACGCTCGATTGCAAGAGAACAGAAGATTCGATGGTGGTGTCCTTCGCCAAGGAAGATGCCATGCCAAAGGAGTCATCCCTTATTTGCAGAGCGTCTTCAAGGGTTTGGGTGTGACTGGACTGCTCTGACCGCTTCTCAATCCCTTGGAAGAAAAAAATTCTGCGGAGCATCTCCTCTGTGATACTGTGGATATCGGTGCAAACAAGCCGCGCCTTTCCAGCTGCAGGTATTTGGAGATAAAACGAGGAAGGCAGCCTCGAACTCAAGGCTATTAAAAGCTTCTCATCATCGTCGGTGGCGAAGGAAACGGTACGTGAATAGACGTCGTATTGGGCGCAGCTTGCGGTGGAAGTCTTAGCAATGTAAGTTTCGTAGCCTTGCTTCGTGGGGAGCAGCTTCAGCTCAATCTCCTGAAGACCTAATCTTGATACTAACGATAAGAATTCTGCACGGAATAAGTGGGACATCTGGTCATCCGCAACTGGCTCTGTGCCTTCTTTTAACGCTCTACCAAATTTTTTTGATATGAGAAGTCTTAGTTCTCTGGAAGATGCTAGTGTCGTGTTGTTCTTCACCTTCGCGGCTGCTATCCCTTCGCTCTTCTCGTCCTCAACGGCAGATGATCCCTCTACGTCCATAATGACCCAGAACATTTGGACTCCCAGGTCGCTGCCGACCGCCAAAAGATCAGCTACAACGTGGTTCAAGTTGCTCTTGAACATATCGGCTCTATACAGCCGCTTATACAGCCGCTCCAGCTTCCATCCGTTAAAGCTCTCAAAGTCGCGCGGCTGCTGAGGAAGGAGTGTTGCGAGCTGCTCTGCAGAGACGGCAACGTTTTCAAGCTCCATTTGAAAGGCAGATGCTGTCCACTCCTGCTCTTCCACTCTCGAAGGCTGCTGCAAAGGTTTCGTGGCCTTCGCCATCTTCTTTAGCTTGTGAGCCTTGGAACAGAGAAGTTTGTCGGGAAAAGTCCATGTGAGGATAAGTCTAAGGCGATTTAGCGTTTTGCCGTCCAGTTTGCTAAGCGAGATGAGCTCTCGCAAAAGGCCACGGGGAAACTCCGCGTTCCTCCGATGGGTTTCATGTCTTGATGCTCCTTCGTCCCTATAGTTGGGCACGTTTTCCAAGAGGAACCTACTTACACGGAGATGCAAACTCTCTGCCAAGAGTGACATTTGCTTCAGCCGTTTTGGCGCAATGCCTTTTTGCACTGCCCAGGCAGTCGCTTCATTCTCATTTGACATTGTAAACCACATTGAGACCAGCTTGAGCCAAAGAATTGGTTCTGATCCGCATCCTTTGTCAATCTCGTCTGCAGCAGTCATCGACTGCCGAATAATATCGTTATAGTCCTTCACATCTGTGTGGATCATCGGAACGGCGGTGCGGAACGGCGTTCTCCCAACGGACAGCACGGCAGCAAGGACAATCGCCTCAGTTGGGATGCCAAGGAGAATGCCGAAGAGGAGAAGACGAGAGAGCTCCAGTGAAACAGGCATCTGCCCAGCAAACCGTCCACTGGGAGTCAGCCTTTCAGTCTCGTCTATAAGGTTGAGGTGCAAGAGGCGCCCCAGGCTCTTGCTCACGTTGCTGATATCAGGAGGTTCGATGAGCTCGCTCAGAACGGGAACGATGCCGCCAAAGTCATCTGGATGCTCCAACGCCGCCAGCAACTGCACAATCACTTCTTCTAGAGTTGTGCGCAACACTTCCGGAGTGTCATGCTCGTGAAACTGTCTATGCAACTTCTCGCTATAGAGACGATATACAGTCCCAGGCCGCACTCGTCCCGTGCGTCCCGCTCTTTGTGTTGCTGAGGCTTTTGATATCCACCTGCCAGTGAGGACGCTCTCGTGCGGGGTCTCGCTATAGCGCATCGATTTACACGTACCAAGGCATATGAGAACATCAACATCAGGGATTGTAATTGAGCTTTCCGCAGCATTTGTTGCAAGAACCACTTTGATCTTGTCATCTGGAACAGACGAGAAGATGTCGACTTGCTCCTCGAACGGGACCTCAGAGTGCACTATGAAGAGGCTTAGTTTCGAATCGGCTTCGAGGAGGCTCCAGAGCTCTGTGATGGCATAAATGCCTGGAAGGAACACTAGAACTCCAGTGCCAACAGCAATGTGCCTTCTTATGAGCTCTTCTGCAACTCGAAGCTGATGCCTCGCTATGCCCTCACTCGGGATCGTCGTCACTGACGCTTTCGCTGTCATTGCTTCGATAGTGTTGCTGAGCCGCTTCATCACCCGGTTCTCCTTGAAGATCCTCTGTGCGATGTCGCTGGCATACTATGAGATCGAAAGGAGTGAGCAAGTCAACAGAAAACGATATTAGCGGCGGACTGAAGCGACGAGCAGGCCGCTCACCAAAATGTCGAGCTCAAAGCGTTTTGCTCCGACCGACAAGCATTTCATGTCACCATAGGGTCCACTCCCAAGACCAACTTCCTCATCCAAGTCCTTGGAGTCAGGCGAAGAGAAGTTATCGTCATTGTCGCTGTCGCTGTCTACTTCGTCATTCGCAGCGTCCATTCTCCGACAAGAGGTAGACCGATTTCCAGGCCATATGCCCAAGAAATACGCTCTGTAGAGCTCAGTGTGAATCGTAGCGCTCATCAGTATAATTTTTATATGTGGCAAATCCCGGAGTATTCGCTTGCACAATAGACAGATCACATCGCTATCGATTGAGCGCTCATGGACCTCGTCAACGATCAGATGTGTGGCCGATTGGAGTGCGCCGATGTTGCCTGCAATCAAGCGCACCAAGTAGCCGGTTGTCGAGAAGATGATCTTTGTTTCATGGAAGATATCTCTAATGCCGTGGCCCATCAACATGCCCACACGCTTGCCGAGCTCCGGACGTAGTCTCCGCGTGAGACCTGTCACAGCGATTCGTCGAGGTTGTGAGATGTAGATTTTGCAGCGCTCTCCACGTTCATTAGCGTCTTCTAGCAGCATCACCGGAAGCCGGCTGGACTTTCCACATCCCGTTTCCCCGTGAATAATCGTCACGCGGTCACTTCGAACTTTGCGGAGAATCTCTTCCCGGTACGCATCGATAGGGAGCGATTCGGCACTTGTTGTCCTAGGCGTTGAAGGGGAGCTGTTGGTTGCACTATGGCTTTCTGGCAACGGCTCTTCTTCTGCGAAGGGCTCATCATCTCCGCCCACGTGTAACTGCACCATGAGCTTGTGAAAGATCTCTCCCTCATAATAGTGCTGTGGGTGACCCACTACATCTTCAAAGGGTACAGAGGGGTGGAGCAGTTCCCGTGTCCTGTTGCGCTTCGTTGACGGCCGAAAGAAATGCCTCAGGATCAGTTGATAAGTGTGAGCGGCCTGGAAGTCTCGCCAGGTTGGTCGTAGAAAGGTGTCGAGAGGATGCGCCACGTTCAGATTACGAAGGAGGAAGGCGCCGTCACTGTCGTCGCGTTCATCGTTGGGCAACTTCTCCCCAGGATCAAGGACAGTGGGACTTTGTAGCGTCTCCAGCATCCTGTCCAACGCTGCAAGATGAGTGGAAGTAAACACGGTGAAGATCGCTCTTTTTGTCTTCGAGTCGGCGGAGGTCAGCGGCTGTGTCAACTGATGGAGCAGTGCGCGCGCGACCCCTCGACTCATCGCTATCCGTTTCCAAGTCTCATCTCTTGCCCACGACTCAAGGCATCGTCGCTGCTCGGACGTGAGGCCCAACATTGATGAGGACTGTGCTTCGTCACTTTCGCTGTTTTCTTCTTCCTCATCGTCATCATCTTCTTCCTCGGCTCGTGTTGATGATGCGTCCGCCAGTCCTGATGGAGGCTTAACGTCCTTATCGTCATCGTTAGAGGTCCTGTCCGCCTTCAGCGCCTGCATGATGAACGTCCAATCGTCCTTTTGATGCTCATAGATGGCTCTGGAGAGAGCTATGGCAGACTGCAGGTCGCGATTGTCTGATGTCAGTTTGAACCCTTCGCCTCCCTCACGGACTATCGAGAGCAACTCCTCGATTGCATCGTTTGAATGTTCATCCGGCACTTGGACCGCAACCTCTGCGTACTCCTCGGTGTTGTTCTTGTGCATCTTACGCGCTTTCAGATCAGACCGCGAGTATTCCATCGTGTAGTCGTTGCCAATGAGAATTCCGAGTTCAACCAGCTGAGACTCGGTCAAGCTGAGCATCGCTGCCACCTCCTCTCGTCTCCATACCTCAAGTGCCACAACGTGATGAGGTTGGTGGCTGACAAGCACTGCATTCGACCCATCGGCATTAAATGGCTGGCGCTCTGATATGCGACCAAATCTGATGTATGGACAGCCTCGCATCAGGAAGTAGTCACTGTCCTCTCCGTAGCAGTAGGCACGGCCTGGGGGTGACGCTCCTCCGCATGAGGACGCTGACGATTGTTCGTTCCAGAGCTCTACGTCTCGAGCGATCTCAATGTCCGCTTCCACCTTGCATTGTACGATAGAAATTTTCGCAGTAGGACAAGCAAAGGAGGAGGGAGACACGCTTTCTTCTACTGTGCCACCTGCTGCGGTCTGGCTGATAGTCAGGCGATCGAACTCATCGGCAAGATCAACTTCGAGCTCATTCTCACGCGTGATAGCTTCCAGTGTTCGAAGGAATTGCTCAAAGATCAACGGAGGCATCGGGAAAACTTCCTGAGCCGGCGGCGTGGAGGTCCGACCGCAAAAATAGCGATACAAGTTGCTCCACCTTTGTTCTTTCTGCAGAACTCGCTCCTCATGCGTCGCATGCTTCGCCTGGAGCATCTCCCCGTCAAAGTAGAAGAGAATGCTCTCAAAAACGCCGAGTGATTGTAGGTATCGAACTTCTCGGCGTACGAAGCTGTCAAAGGCTCGGTAAGCTCCGCCATACTCTCTACGGAACGAGTGCGCTGAGCCGGAGGCATGACCTTCACGGTTCATTCTTGGTAGTGAGTCTTCTTTCCTGCCTCTCGTCTTTCCTTCCTGCTTGGCGAACAGGTGATAGATAAACCCTAACGCGTCCACATACAGTCTGGAGTTGTTGGGTATGAGTTCGGGTTCTCCCGACGGCACTGCAACTGGAAGGCTTATTGAAGCAATCGGGACCGTCGTTGGCGTGGCTTGCAAGTGAACGCCTCACCTGATGCAGGACCGTCAGTTCCTTCTCTTCCTCCTCGTCCCTCCTCGTCGCTATCAGAATCCACTGTCCAGACGTCTCCGTCAAGCAAACAGCCTGCGGACTCATTGAAGGCAGAGGCAGAATCACCCTCACGAAGATCGTAGTTGCACACGGTCGAGCCATTCTGCTGCCGGTCAGAGTAGGGCGATCAGGAGAATCGAAGGGGAGAACGAAGTCACTTTACGGAGGAGTACACGTACCTCGCGATGTTTCTTCCTCTTTTTTTGCTTAGAAGCTTCCCTCTTCCGTGAGAGGAGCTTTTGCAGCCCGCGAACGCCCATCGTTACTCACAGTGAGGTAGACATCGTACATAAGTTAGAACAGTTTCCAAATGCCGCTTTTATATAGCGAAATGCGGATTTGATCACGTGCCAGAAGAATTGATGGAGTTCTAATTGGCAGAACTTGATAGGAACCCTGCCAACTTGCCCACATGCGATCGCCTTGCTGTCGGGACATACTGGAACAGAGATACGCTGAGCACCTGCAATATGCTGATGATCGTGCAATCAATGTTGGATGGGCACGGTAGACCAGAAGTGTTCAGCAGGGTCGTAGCGTAGATTGGTTATATTAGCTTTTCCGAACCGGTTGTCACCGGTTTATCCCCTGGTGTATGTACATACCGTAGTAGACCAAGCCAACCGGTTAGGCACGCGTGTCGCCGAGGGCCCACTCCCACGGCGCCTGCACCATCATTCCTACGATGGTCTTCGCAGCTTACGCCAACCGCACTCCGATATGCCGTCCACCAATAGACCCACTGGTACCACCTCCACGTCCCCCATAGATGCGATCCTCACAAGAGTTGAAGCATATCCCCGGACAACTGTCATTGTGCTATGTCTCGCTATTCTCGCCAAGAACTACACTATAATATATCGTCTCATATACCATGCGTTGGTTGTCGTCGGCATTGTTGTACTATATGGATGGTGGAATGCCCTATTTCCTATTATTTTTCGGAACAAGGGGCGAAAACCTGTTAGAGACAAGCGGCCAATACGGGCTTTGACCTTTACGCAGCCACGAGTATGGAAGAGCTATATGATGGAGAGGGAGAAGGAAAAAGTGGTTTTTAGGCCACAAGCATTTGTGGAAAACAGGCAGATCCAGCAAGTCATTGACGACCTGCTTTTCTTTATCAGTCGGGATTTTATTCGGAGCTGGTGGTATTCTGGCATTGGTCCAGAGCCCATCTTTGTGTCCCGCGTCGATGCAGTCGTATATGACGCCTCAGTCCAAGTGAAGCAACGACTGGAGCGGATTGACTTTGTACATTTTGTTGCTTCCCGAGCGCTTCCGTTGCTCACGGCCCATGTAACGGAGTACCGACGAGCAGAGCGTCTGTTGCGCGGGCACAAGCTTCAGCGCACCGTCACAGAATCTGATGAAATGGACTGCCAATTAGCAAGGCATTACATGAATGGACGATTGCACCCCGCCATTTCTGCCAACCCTACCCCAACGGTTTCGTTAGAACACGGATACCTACGGCGGATAATCGAAGCAACTTTGCCGTTGATTTGCCCGGCGAATGAGATCTCTAGTAGACTTTTTGTCATCATTGTCAGGGAAATTCTTGTATGCAAAGTCGTGCAGCCTGCACTGGACCTTTTGGCGGATCCTGATTTTTGGAATCAGACGATTGATATGTTGGTGCGTATCGTGGTTTGAATGCCGCTGGTCAGTAAGAGTTCGTTCTAACAGTTTTGAAATATGACTTTTTCCAGACCGACCGAATGCTACAACAGGAACAGTGAGTACACTATTCAGCCCATTTTTTTTTTGCTGCTGATTTGTCACATTGTCAACCGACTCTCTACCAGAACTCTCCTTCATAAGATCCAAGAGGTTTTAGAAAAGCAACCCCCGTTACCGACGCTCGATTCTGAAAGTTCTTTAGCACCCCGTATGCGTACATTTGACGAATTTATCAAGCTCATCAAACGCTGCGATAACCTTTTGGATGCATTACGGATACGGGATATGGTGCTGACGGAAATGCATAAAAAAGAAACGGAAACAGGTGAGATTGCTGTTTGGTCAAAGGCTGTGCGAGATCCACCATTAACATAATGTATAGCCAATTGCCGGCCATCTGATATCATTAATGGCGTAAGAGTTGCGGATACGAGAATTTATATTAATAGACTGCAAGTTGCGTTGAAACGAGTGGATAAGAGGATATCTGGGCTAGGGGGACGCAATAAGGTAAGGAAATCATGCTTCATGCAACATGAAGACTAGCGTAATAATATTTTTTCTGGCAGAACTCTCGTGAGAAAGCCAAACAACGCGAACGGCCAACACTCGCAGCAGTGCTCCATGATCCACTTTTATTGTCGTATTTCACAGAATTTATGGATCAGGAGGGAAGAATGCCGTATCTTCAGTTCTGGATCGTCGTCAACGGAGTTAGAAATCAGCTGAACGAAGATGAGGAACACCACGATATCCCTACCAACGATGAGATGCTTGGAGAGAGATCTGACGTCGATTGGAGGCCTATCAGCGAGGACATTCACAGTGTTTACACGGAATTTTTGGCCCCCAACCTTAAATCCAAACTGGCCATTGACAAAGAGCTCTGCACAAAGATGGATTTATTAATTTCTTATGTGCATTGGGAGCCGGGTGCAGCCAAGAACCACGTTATAGCGGCTTTGAAAATCCTGTTTGAAGCTCAGGACCAAGTTTTTCGGATAATGGCGGATGAGGATTACACCAGTTTCATGCGGAGTACATTATACATGAAACTTGTGGCTCACTTGATGCAGGATCACTCCCCCAGGCGCTCGCAGGATTCAATAGAGTTGGAATATGGGCATAATGACCCGCGACGATCATCGACGGAAGTTGACAGAGCTGTCGTGAGTCCTGTAGGATCAGAAGACGAACTGCCAGATGCTAGCCGTTCCGTCGTGCCAAAAAAGAAATCATTTATCAACGTATTCAAAAAGGGAAAGTCAAAGGCAGCGGGTGAAGTTGAGCCTATTCTCCCTGCTGGTCATCCAGCCAATGTACCTCCGTTACCTCCCGTTCGCACTGACTCCATCGACAACGTGGAAGGAGAGCTGCAGTCTATACTAGATAATCCGGACAATGCCTTCGCAGGGCCGTTTTTGAGGGGTAGGAGCAAGGTGCAAGGGCGAAGGATGAAGGTGAAGCCCCGATCTGTTGACGCTATGGAGGGGAGACGGAAGGACAGCGAAACAAGTCAATTGGTTGGCATGGGAGAAAAAATGTCTGGCAGGTTAGCTGGATTGTTTAGAAGGAACTCGAGTGGAAAGATGGCTTCGGGTAGTACTGCCTCATCGCCCGTCCGCAGCCGTACCAAATCGCCTGCCAGCATATTGTCCAGTGATCAATCGGATGGAGTACGGGATCGCGGTCGACTGCGTTTCACTCTTGGTTCCGATAACGAAGTTAGCTCTACTTCCGAAGATGATGATCCTGAAAATGAGGATGTGGAAGTGGATTTTGAGGAGCATGAGGATGATTTGGTTGGGAGTACGCTATCTACTAGTACCGATATCCAATCAAGAACCCATGATACCACCGACGATCCGACTCTGTCCGTTTTATCGCGACATCCCAAAATTCCCGTCTCGCTCCCATTAGTACTTGGATCGCCGAAAGCCTTGAAAGACCTTTCTGACCGTATTGAGCGACTGACACATGAAGAGAATGAGGTAGCTAGACAAATTGCGCAGGCCGAGACGGAGGCATGGCCACCCGACCGATTGCGCGAGCTAGAATTGATGAAATTGGGACTTGGCGCCCTTTTGAGTGAAGCCAGAGGGGAGAAAACAAAGATGGAAGAAACCGAGATCAGGGAATTCATCACACCCGTATGTTCTTATACCGGCGTCTGCGACTGATCTTTGCCCTTTAATGACCAATATTTTTATTGCAGGAGCGTGCAAAAGCTGAAATTGTTGACACTCGCATTGTATCCAGAGATGGAAAAGAGTATGCAGCGTACATTATCCAAGTTACACTTTTGAATGCGCCCGACATGAGAGAACCCACAACAGGAAGCGAAGCGAAATCTCGCTCCTGGACAATTTTGCGACGTTATTCCGAATTTTTCACGTTACATCAAACTCTGAGATCCAAGTTTCCGATTGTACAACGATTGGATTTCCCTAGCAAAGTGTTGAAAGGAATTATGAAGTTGAAGAAGGACTTTGTTGAGAATCGTAGGGTTGCACTGGATGATTATCTACAGGTGAGAAAACAGCTCCCGTTACAGCCTTATTACTACAAGCTAAGGTCACGTAACGCCCTCCTCAGAGCATAATGAAATATACCGATATTTGCCAATCGTCAGAGCTAAGGCGATTCATCTGTCATGAACATGTTGCGAAATTGTTGACCGTTCGATCTTCTATTTTATCCGATCGACGTCCGAAGCGGTCCCTCTTGAAGAACCTTTTGCAAAATGCGGATGAGTCTACTGACGCAGCACATCGCGATCCTCAACGAAACGATGGCGCCCCATTGTCATCTCCCTCCATTTTTCCCTCTGAAGGAAACGATGCTGGATTCCGTAGTGGACTGCTTGCTCGGCCGCCAAGTAAAAGCGAACCATCGATCAGTCCAACCATCAATTCATCAGCCTACTCTCCCGCACCATCTTCAACTACCGGCGAAGTATTACCAGCCGCCTCCACCACAGACGCAATATTCGATCTATTCATTGAATTGTTTGAGCTTCGTGAAAAGAACAACTGGTTCCGAAGACAAGCTGTTGGACTCGTCCTTCAGCAACTATTCGGTGGAACCGTTGAGCGTAAAGTAACTGAAAACCTCCGATGGATGGTCTCTGAAGACAACATTGCATTTTACCTCACGCATCTCAGAGAAACATTTTGGCCAAACGCTGCCTCCTTTTATTCCCCACCCGTCTCTTCTCCGTCCAAACAAGACCGAACACCAGCAAATAAACTTCGTACAAAAACTGCAGCCCAAAGTAAACTCTCGAGTCTTTTACCGGAATTATTGGGCGGCATGGTTGGACGCAAAAATGCCCGAAAGGGGGCTAACCGTCTATGGGCGGTATTTCAAAACAGAAGATTGAACCAACAATTGGCGTATAGTCTTTTAGATGAAGTCTGGGGGATCGTGTTTCCAGAGATCGAGGGGGTTGTGGGTGAAAGGAGATAGTGGGTATTATTGTTTTTGCTTGATGCCAATTCTTCGCTGTATGATATGCTGATACCCTTTACCCGTGTAATATTGTAATCTGTATATTTTTGCCTTTTTAACATGTGTGTTGATTCCTGTTACCCATTGTATGCAACTAGCGTGGCTTGAACAACTATCTGCTAGGAGGTCATAACCTTTTGTTTTTTTGGCAATTATCTACATCTCAAAATAAACTACAAAAAAAGCTCCATCCAATCTTTTCACGTAGCGTCTCACATTGCTACCGCCTGTAAAGGATCCGTTTGTACAGGTTCCTTCTCTTCAGTATTTTCCGCAGTAACTGACTGTCCAGGTGCGTCAGCTTCTGTTTCCGCAGGCTCCTCATCTACATTCAGCGTTTCTGATGCAGATATCGGATTCGGTTGTTCATTGACTACTTCAGGGGCGGGTAATTCTTGAAGGGGGTCAGTAAGTTCTTGGCGGGGTGTGGCGGTTTGGAATTGACTATATACAATAAGAATTGGGATGGATTCATGAGATATCTGCGTGTGTACCACCCAAGTCACAAACATACCCAAATCCTTCTTCTTCTTCTCCTTCGGTTGCTGGTCCGTCCACGGAGGAACTGAAAATCGCCGCGGCCGATACCGCGGCACTAGCACGTCTTTTTGGGCGGAAGGTTTGGAATGTTGTCATTGGGCGTGGGGCACGTAGTGGTGCGTTGTCGCTATCAGTCGTTACTTGTGTGTCTGACAATGCTGTGGAGAGAGGTTCCTCATTGGAGGAAATGTCAACCAGCTGCTTGCTTGGAGTCAGTGCCTGCTTTGGTTCAGGTCTTTCTGGCTTTGATGGAGGGGTTGTCGAAGGAGGTGGTCGTGTTACTGGGCGCTGCTTGATAAGGTAGTAATCGTCAATTACGCATGCCCGTTTCAGCCGCGCAAAGTCAACATTAAACCAACCTGGCTTTGAGCAAAACTTGTGATCCTTCGTATCTGTTCATTACTCATCAACTCTGCGTCTTCCTCATGTCGTAAAAACTCGTCGTCTTCCAAGTCGTCATCACGTACAACAGGTTCATCAAACCCAACGCCTGTCGGCACTGCCTGATATCCACCAGCTCTAAAAGCACCTGGAACAATCCTCCCCACTCCATCGGCTCCAACCACCCCCTCACGTCGGAACCTGAAAAGTGCGGCCAGTCTCTCCCAAAACGCACTACTTTGTCTTGGGCTGCCGAAAGCACCGTGAGGTCCATGTGGGTTATTGAGAAGGTTTTCGAATTCCAAGTCATCGATTTCGTCATAGTCGAATGTGAGCTGAGTTGGAAGACCGCGTCCTCCTGCGGTTGCCCAGCTCGAGTTTGGGCAGCAGTAGGAGGCGGTTGCACCCAAACAGTTTCCCATTCTTGTCGTTTAACGGTCAAATTTATTGTCTTAAAGTGTGCTAAAGCACCATTTGCTAAAGTTCGAAAAAGCACAGCGCTGGCCTCTGCTCCTTGTACTCTGGGAAACTGCTTGTGTGGGCGGTCGTTGTAAATGACGAATGAAGAAGGATGAAATCTCCAAAATGCGCGGAAAGCGAACGCTCATCGCCTGGGTGCCTCTCACGTGCCATGTGTCACCTGTCAATTGCAACTTGAATAAGCGAGCTTCCAAGCATTCCACTTGTTCAATCCTTCGCATGGAGGGTCCGCCCCGATGTAAATGTGGTTTGCCTGCTATCGAAAGCGTTGTGAAGAAGAGGACAAAGAATTTTGGTCGTACGTAGGCTTCTGTGGCGACTGCTAGAACAAGTCTCGTCTAGACTAAACGATCGCAAACCTTGCTGTCAGAACACTTTTGGAGGTGTCAAAACTACCTCTATAAATCAAGACCTTGCGACTTCTTTCAGTGGATACCCGCTGCAGACATCATGTCTCGCCACCAGCCCAGTACACCAAAAAGGACCTCAACCCCATCCTCTTCATTTCCTCCCCAAGCGCCTCGAAAAGCACGACCCATCCGTGCCGACAACAACTTTTTCAAACGGCCTCGCTCACCGTCTCCTCTTGCACCATATAGCACAAAATCACCTGTCCCAGGGTTCTCGGCTTTGACACTAGACGGTAGCCAAATTTACGATTCGGATGCAAGTTCCGATGATAATGATCTAATGTACCAGGCGGTCTCTAGACCGGCCGACCAGCTTGCCTCTCAAATGAGATCGCAGGACAGAGATGGGGAAGAGGATATGATGCAGGGAATGGAGGTTCAAAGTCAGGAACAAGGGCTAGTGGATCCATTTAATAGTCAGCCAACGTCGGCAGGGGCAGCGAAATTGCCAGCAGGCGCATCACGACATACTGGATATCAACCCGCTCCATGGCCGAATTGGACACCCCAAGGAAATAATAGTACCACGTCTACATCCTTACCCACCTCTTCCGGTTTGCGAACCCCACAATCACATCCGCGTCCTCAGGTCGAAACTCCGCCTCCATCGAGAGACAAGTCAATTCCAAAGCAAGCCACTGGAATTCTGTCACAGCATTCTATAGATGCTTCCCCATCACTCCGTCGCCATTTCTCCCAGCAGTCCCATTTTGAATCACAAGATTCCCAACAATCCCCGGATCAGGGGGACGTCCTTTCAGGCACATCGTCAGATTCGATACATTCATATGTGTCCTATTTAGAATCCGAAATCCGGCGCAAAGATCGACAACTCCTCGCCCTGCGAAAATCCAAAGAGCACCTGCAACGTGAACTGCGAACAACAAAGAGGGAGGCAGACAGAAAGGCAAAGTTTTGTGAACGGTGCGCGCAGAGTTTGTGAGGCGGGAAATGTGTGGGTTCACTCCTGTTACCCGGTGGTTGCATATGTACATAGACAAATTTTGGATTGCTTGAATTTTGGGCACTGCTTTTGCTGATATTTTTAATGCGTACCTATTGGAATATACGCCTTTAAGATCCCAGATTGTGTCATTCAATAGTCCGAACTCTGCTAGGGGAATGTGGTAATTAGTTGAATTATCGTACCTGCTTAGACTGAGGAATTACGAGAGACCTATTCTCCTAATAGCAGTTGACGTTTCACTGCATTAAAGTGCAATCGTTGAAATGAAATGTTATGTTCGTCCTGACCGAATTCCAGCTCTTTTTCGACAGTTGTTACATAGCTACACCTTCTGCCAAAAATCGATATCACAGCGTCGGCAGCCACAATGTGACGTGCATCTATTATTATGCAGATCGGCGACAACGGCACTTTGATGAAACACACAATCCTATCTGGTTTGTTTATTGACCCAACGTCGTCTCTATATGCATGAGAGAAAGAAGAGATTGTTATATTCGTCTGCTTACGAACAGTACATTCGATAGATAGGCATGCGTTTCGGGGACTACACACCACACGATCCAACCAGCATCAAGCTCAGCCCTAAATGCTGGATCCAATCCAGGATGAGCATCCATAAACCTTCGAGCAGCGTTCTGCTGTTTGCGGAGTTGTTCTTTTAATTCTTCAATTTCCTCTTTTTGACGTTGATAGAACCAGCGCTCCTCTGCTTTGCGATGCGAGAGCCAGACCAAATTACGAATGATGTGAGATTGGATGCGGAGTCGTCCGCAAGGGTGGTTAACGTGAGACGGACTATAGCGTAGAAAGTACATGGTTTTGATGTGATGTTGCTTTTTCGTAAAAGCGCTTTGAGCCTTACTTGAAAGATGGGTCTTTGCAATGTTGATCGGGCTCTTACCTAAAACTATGGCTTAGCATTCGATCGTGACGCATCAAGGTTGACACGACCAGCTTGCCACCATTTCCTCCCAAAATGAATGCTCGAGGAAAAGGAATATGGATGCTGACGTTCTTTTACTAATATTGGAGCATGTAGACGTGAGAACCCTTTTGAAAGCTCAGCTAACCTGTCGACTATGGAGAAGAATTGGTACGAAACTTGAAAAGTATGATTGTTCAACGCTGGAGCATTAACAATTGCTTTCTTATCCAGCTGCTGCGACGTGGAAGGCGCACTGCCTTCGTGATTGGCCAGGCCTTCGCACAAAAGCTCAAATCAACAAGAGGAAATATCCTAGCCAGTCAGAAGGGCCACTTTTGGATGAAACTTCTTCCAGTAGCGGACTTGAGAGCTGGTCGGAATATTACCGACAGAGATATCGTGAGCGACGCAAACATCTCTTGGAAGCCAGATGTTCTCTTGTTTACAACCTGGAAGTTGATCCTGGATCCCAGTTTCAAGTTTCACCGAAACAAGATGAATCACCATTTGAAGGCGACGAGCGGTGGAAAACGCTGTTATATCCGTCTCGTCATGCGAATGCCTACTTTTGCAATATCCACGACTCTATATACAGCTGTCCAGATTATGCAGAAGAATTCATCTTGGCTCGACGCTTCCTTATATCAATGCTTTATCAAATGAGGCTCGAGGGATGTGAAACGATGAAAGTAGATCGAGTTGAACCAACCGATCATCCATGTCTTGTACGAGTCGTGCGAAATCGTCATCCGGAACATGCTCAAGATGGCAGGACCTCTTTTCTTTGCTTTGTTGAGACTATGGAAATTGTTGATGTAGACGCGGAAGGGGACGTCAAAATTTGGTACAGAAGACTGATGGACTGTGACCACAGTGGGAAACCAAAAGATCGCGTGCGAGGACTGGATCGAGAGGGCTTCTTGGAACGGTTGCTTGAAAAGGAACAGACCATTCTAGATCAATATCCCCATGGAATGTGTAAGTGGGCCATTTTTGATTATACCTGGCTGGGCGCATGGCTGAATTTGCAATGCGTCCGGCCGTTGACAGCTCAAAGGCTTTATGGAGATCCCAAAAGGTTCCCCCTAGCACGACGTTATGTCTTTCGAAATTCAAAGTAGATATCATTTGTGTAATTTTATAAAACAATTTCTTTTTTTGCATAGCGACCTAACCCGAGATTTCTACCAAAAAAGAGTTTCCTTTATGCAAGGCGATGATGAGGATACACCTATACGCCCTTGGCTAAATCCGCACTCGCAGGTAGCCAACCTCGTTGCACCACGGATATACGGTAGTAGGGAAGTCTGTCTTGTTCTTTCAGGATTCGGGTAAAGAACTTTATTTTCTTTGGTTGATTTACAGAACTGTTTGACCTCATGTCCCGAAATTTTCAGACACCAACGTGTTCCTGTTCTCTGCGAAACAGGGCAAGAACTTCCTGAAGATTATGCATCCCCAGATGAGACTCATCTTGATCGACCCACTTCAGCAATGTGGAAAGTCTGGTTACGGCATGGATGTTGGTCCTTGCCACCAGAATTTGAAAGTTGATGAAAAAAGATGTGTGTTCGCGCGAACTGCAGAGAAAAGATACAGTAAGCGATGGAGTGACATCAGGATGACTCTTGTCTGCCATGTAGATTTTAATAGCAGCTGCTTTGGTTATTGTTTCACCTAATCATTTTCACCATCATCGACAATGAAATATAAAACTGTCTTCTCATTTTGGGACTACAAAAGCGGCTATGGGTCTTTTGATTCTGTTGAATGATACTATAGGTGATGCAAGGCCTGTGAACAACAAGTGTCGTGGGATCACGCATGCACGTAGCCATCGCAGAAATCAAGTTTCCAGGTGAGGTAATATTCTCCATGTTAGACATAAAAACAAACGTTTTATGAATCCAACATAGAACACGATACAACAAAGAAATGGTAACAATAATATAAGTAAATATAAGGTCCAACTGACCAACAAAGAAACTCCCATCTGCATCTACTCTACAAATTCTGGTTCAAAAGTCCAGGCAGTATCGGGTTGGACACTACTGCTTGTACCAGAGAATCTCTCCCTCATCCTCTACAAACTTGCACTGCGTGTATGACTGCCAAACAGCCTTCCACAAGGGCGTCCGGTCCATAATGTAGTACTTGCCCAGCACTTTCTTGATGGCTTCGGTAGCTTCTTCAGCGTTATAATGGGGCATCGTGGAGAACAAGTGGTGGGCAACGTGGGTATCACCAATGTGGTGGAAAAAGTGGTTCAAAATCCCATAGTCACGGTCAACAGTTGAGATCGCGCCCAACAAAAAGTTCCACTCGCCTTCCCTATAGTGGGGAATCTTGGGATCGGTATGCTGCAGGAAGGTGATAAGGACCAACCAGGCGTTCACGTTAAGGTAAGGAATCACGTAGTACTTGAAGACTGCGGCGGCGCCCCATAATTGACCAGCAATAACAAGAAGGCCAAGCATGATGAACATGCCCACGTCAGAAAGTACGACAGCGAACCATTGCTTTGGTTCGAATATGGGAGCATCGGGACGAAAGTGCGAAGTCCATACATCAAACTTTTGGCCAGAGGCGTTGTTGATCAGGTAGGCAGGCCAGCCGAGGAGCAACATCTTTGCGATATCAAGTAAATCCGACACAGGGGCATCCTTCCAAATCGGCTCATCATCGTGGTGGTTCAATGGCTTGGTTCGTGGGCCCAACTCCTTAGCGTATGTGGACCTTGTTGCGGGAACAAATACTTGATCCTTGGCCATGTGCGCATTGGCCTTGTGATGCTTCGAGTGAGAGAACTTCCACGAGTAGTAAGGAACCAATAGGAAGGAGTGAAGAACGTATCCGACAGAATTGTTGATCCAAGCCTTTTCCGAGAAGGCTTGATGCCCACACTCGTGAGCAATCACCCAGATACCGGTGCATACAATTCCTTGGGCAATCCAGTACACTGGCCAGGCAATATACTGTGCCCAAGTTGGCAACAAGGAGATTTGAGTCGCAGCAGCGAACACGACGAGCATCATGGCCACGTCCCGGTAGACATAGGTGAATGACCGTGCTGTGTCACGCTTGAAGCAGTGCGCCGGGACAGCGTCGCGGACGTCCTTGAGAGTAAAAGTAGGCTTGGTCCACGCATTTGCAAACTCTGCCGACGCTACAACCTTGCGCCCGTAACCAGCAGAGGACTTGCCAGGCGTCGCCAGGGGAGGAATGTCACCAGCGGCGTTGGCGACAGATTTGTTGGCACGGCGGTAAACTTCAGACTCGTTATTTGGGGGAGCCATTCTGAAGACCGAACGTTAAAAGAAAGTATCGAACTGTGCGTTGAACCCAGTTACTCGTCAAACTGCGACAATGCCCAGTTGCAAAGGAAGGAACCCAAAAAGGTCGAGCACGTTTTATCTGCACGCCAGTGCAGTTTCCATAGCAACAAATGCAGTGGATGAAGTCCCTTCCTGCAGTTTATCCCCCCATTTTCTAAATCCAGAAACAACAAAAACATGTCAGACGGTGGAGTTTTTTGTTTTTGAATGGCGTTTTTTTTTTTTAGGTTTTTTGCCGACTGGACGAGACTTTAAGACAATATGACGAGAATGGAATTTGGGTTTGGGGATGGAGGTGGCAGCCGTCGATTTGTTTTGCTTTACGGGTGTAGAAGAAGGTTAACATCCTTACGAGTGGGTATGAGTGTGTGTGTGTGTGTTGACACATTTCTTGTCAGAAGGCAATGCAACCTAGTCAAGTGTATGCAAAGCGTTTGTAATTCAAACATTTAGCATCAGTTTGCACAATATAAGCAACTCCCCGCAGTTTTCAAAGCCATTAAAAACTGCCCACATCCACCTAAAACCTTTTAACTTTTGACGGCATAGTTATAGCTACAAGTTTTGAATCCACGGGCCAATTGGTCGTAATCAAACGAGCATCTTATGTGATGACATGATATGGAAGTTTGCAAGACAACTAGATGACAGCTACTAGCTTTGTGCGGACCATGTCAAATTGCACACAATCATTCATGCGTATGTGCACATGACGGTATCATTCAGAGTCTTCGGTCCTGGTTTGCTCGCATTTGATGCTCTCTGATATCCGCTTTTCATCGGCCGTGCGTCAAGTAAACTACTTATCACATTCTTGTCGACTCTTTTATGTTTTACATTGGTTATCGATGACCATGTTCGCTTCAGGGTACTTTTAACATAGCAAATCCATCCTAACTCGTCATATCTGAACCTAGACCATCCATGTGCACAATTAGAAATATCCAAAAAAATTTGCAAATGATAAAAGTTCAATATGAAAATCTATATGATAATTCTAAATCAATGTCAGAGTGATGCATTTTTCACCGAGGCCGTGCATCCCGCGGTCGCCATGAAGAGACACCCGATCCGCTGTCCCGTGAAGGATGGTACGAATCTCCACCAAATCTCTCTCTCTCAGCACGCTCGCGGTCCCTATCCCGGTCGGGCTGATACGAGTCCCGTTCTCCTCTGTCACGATCGCGCTCCGGTTGATATGAATCTCGTTCTGTTCGCTCACGGTCAGGCTGGTATGAATCCCTTTCAGTGCGTTCAGTTCGTTCCCGCTCTGGTTGATACGAATCCCTATCACGCTCGCGAGAATATGAATAGCGTTCTCGATCGCGATCTCTGTCCCAGGTGCCCGATCCAGGACGGTACGAATTGAAGCTTCCTTCTCGATCTCCTCGATCGCGCTCCCGTTCTCTCCCATCCCAATGTCTCTCCCGCTCCTTGGATCCTGCTCGGTCTCGATCACCTCTGTCTCGATCACGCTCCCTGTCCCGCCCTCCGCTACTCAATGGGCTCCATCCACGCGATCCGTCCCGTTCCAGACGTCGGGAAGCCACGCCTGGAGAACTGGGCTCGCGTGACGGACGGTCCCCGTACAACGATGTATACAACGGCGTGCTTCCAAAGTAGCCAGAACGTCTCGTGCGGTCCTGCCGACCAGAGGATGTTGATCGACGGTCCATGCTATCAGAGACTTCTCCTTCCTCGACATCATCTTTATCGCTGGTGATAGTACTCGCCGGGGCTGACCGCGACGTAGACTGCTGACGTCCATCTACGGATGATGACCGCGACGATACACGGGAGCTGGTGGATCGATGCGGGCTGGCGATTGTTTCTGCGGTTGCCGTTTTGGATGCCTCAGACCCAATGTCTCGCCTGCCTGTGCCTTTTGCATTCTTGGCTGGCTCGGAGACGCTCGAATCTACTGGCGATTTGCCATCTGCATCTTGATTTGACTGAATATCATCTGCTTGCTTGACAAGCTTAACTGGGGTTCGCTCACGGGTGGTGTACTGCGGGCTCCTGTCGGTTTCCTTTGGTTGATCATTTTTGTTCTCCTGATCCTCTCCACTACCTGCGACTTTATCATCCCCGGCTTTCACATCGGAGGGAGTCTGCCCAAGCTCCGGGGTTTGTGGCTTTGGTATCTCTGGTGGAACGTCTGCATTTTGCTGCTCTTGCTCTTCGCCCGCGCCTTCCAGTGACGGTGGGGTAGGTTCGGTTGAAGTGGAAGTCACACTAGGAAGTTTACCCTTCTGTCTCAAATATTCCTGTAAACCAATGCGCCGTGGTGCAGGCTTCACTTCTGCTGGTGCTTCAATTTCCGCAATTGGTTCTGCGGTAAGTTTCTCAACCGCTCTTGGTGGCTCCTCCATTTCCTCCGTATTGTCCGTTTTCGGTTCGGAAGGTATTTCAGGTTTCTCCAGGGATGGCGGGGTCACATCTCTTTTCGCTTCTTCTGGCGCCCTTTCAGTTGGTGTCGGTGGCTCTTCCTCCGGTGACATGGACTTCTTTATGGTCTCTTCCTCGTTTACTTCAGCTTTGTCGTTTGAGATATTTTTGGGACTATCTCGAGGTTCGATCTCCATGTTGCTTGTCGACGTCTCCTCCTTATCCACCGTTGCCTCTTGTATCGGTCGTTCTACCTCGTCCGAATCACGTCCTGTGGGACTATGCAAGACAAGCTTGTTTGAAACACTGGCTTCGATCTCACCACTTGGCGACGAAGACAACCCTCGGCTTTTTGCTGCATTCTCAGCTTCTGCTGCGACGTTGTCACTCAATGATTCTCGTCCACCCTCAGTAGAAAGATCCATCGGCTGCGTCGTCGTGCCTGTCGGAGAGGCCTTTTCCTCAGAAGACCGCTGAGCTTTCTCGTCGTTCCGAGCAGGCGTTTCATGTGAACTCATTATACTGCTGGGCGCACCGGACATTGCACCGTTGGTCACCACCAACTTGTCGCCTTCACGTTCACGCTGAACAGCATGCACCGCATTGTCGGCTTCCTGCGTTGTTTCTCCCTCAGCTGCATTCTCCGATTGTTCAACACCTTCCATCGGTACGGCGACATCAACATCATCCCCAGCTTCATTCCCTTCCTTTCCTTCTTTAAGTACAGCTTTCCGAATATTCTCTCGATTGATACGATTCAAACTATCTAGACAGCGGAGAAGAACATTGTATTTTTTGCATGTTTCCTGGTAGCGTTCCATTTTGGTCGCTACAGTCGTGGTCATGTAGGTGCTCATTGCATCATATTTTGAAATGAGGTTGGGAGTAAGCTCGGAAAACTCTGACACGCGTTCGGCAGTTGGGTCTGAGGGTAACAATGAGGAGAAGGACAATTCGTCAAAAGGAGAGCAGAAGATCATGCTAACCGAAGACAAAGATGTTAACACATATTCCAATCATCCGAAGAACGTAGAATTACCTGTGAGAGCTATTCACCCGTCGAAGAAAGTCGGATCGCTGGCCTGGGAAAACTTGAATGTTCTCGTCTGGGATGCGGCGGATTTCCTGGGCCAATTTAGAATCCGTTTTCACCTGCCCCACAAGAGTCAGGATGGCTTCCGCAGCTGATAGTGCCATAACTTGACAGTACCTTTTTGCTTCCTCTGTCCGTCGGTATGTCAGCGGTACTTTTTCTCTTTCGGGGTGCAATGCCGTTGTTGGTGTCTTGCAGCGGTGATGGATGTGCCAGCGTTGCAAGCACCTCTGCACCATTCAAATCTCCCTTAACATGTTCTGCCACTGTGTCACGAATGAAACTCTCGTGCAACTTTTCAATGTCTTTCAACTCTGGAAAGCCAGATGCAGTTTCGGCAGACAAGAAAGGGAACTGCCCGCTGCTACCTGCTAACTCGGCAATGAGCTGGTCGGTGTTGATGGACGGCGACTGGTAAGAAAAAATGGCTGATGAACCCGCTAGCGGGCTACCTAGGTCAAACTATGTTAGACATGCGAACTCACTAATCGAGTGCAAACGTCAGACACACGAACCCCTCACACAGACCAATCCCACCAAATCTTTCAGGATTACCGATGCTTCATCCACAAACTCTGATGTACCACCACTCGTCTCCGAGGATAGCTCTTTTTTCCAGTTAAGGAGAAACGTGCGAAACAACGCACGTTGGAAAACTTCGAAATAAATGGTCGCCATGTCATGGGAGATGTGGCCAAGGGAATTCACTGTGTTTCCAAAGTCCCGCCGGAAAGGTGCAGCCTGAAAACTCTGGATAAGCATGCCACATGTCTTCATTGCTTCTGACTAGTAGTGAGATCCTCCTTACTGCAAACCACCCGATCACCGTTTGGCCGTGTAAGCTGAGCAATTGTGAAAGGGCAGGAACCAAGTCGTTGCCGCTGGCGTGGAAAGGAACAAAACCCTTTACATGGACGACAAGCTCTTCGTCGTCGCACATTTCACGAACTCCAAAGAGAATTGCTTGGAAGAATTCTGCCTGGCCCTCGGCATGGAGGGCTAGGAAAATGTCTGTAAAGAGTCGAGTTATGGGACCATATTGAACATACAGGAACTATCGCTGCCCTACTCACCTTTCGACATTTGTACCGTGGGATATAATCTGCTAGCCATGATCCTCCAGAGATCTATCGCCTTGCTCTTTGGCCGAGATCCGCCCCAACTTGGCCAAGGTTTGATTTCGTGGATCAAAAATGCAAAGGTCGCGCTTCCACGGGCGGCAGAAGTGAGTTTAAGGTTCTTGTAGATTTCACGCCTGGATATAAAGTCTTTTTTGCGATGCTTTCAACAAGAGTATTATGCTTTGTTTGTTGAAGCATATGAAATACATATCTATCCATGCAGGTCTGTCATCGTTTTGTTGCGTTTTGCTGCACGTCCTTGTCCAGCAACCATTCGTCCATCAGTGCTGTTTGTCCTTTGTGTATTTTGTCCCAGCTCTATCCACAGTCCTTTGTCTGTCATGGCATTGTTGCTTTTGAATTTTCTTTAGCACATACTCCATCAGTATCATTTACTTTGCTACACAGATGCTATTTCATTCAAATGTTTTAGGCAAGAGTCTGTTTTATTGGGTTAATATAAAAATATCAGTTGGTTAACTATCAGCAGACTGGTAAGGGCGATCGTTCTCCACTCTCCTCAAATCACCATCGATCGATAGGGTTCCCAGATGGTATTGGTGTAAGGGTGATATCGCTTTCAGAAAGTCGCCTTTTCAGTAGCTAACTCAACACTTATGATTACGCAAGTGAGGCTTGTAAGGAATCCGAAAGCATCGGACTGTGGCGAGACAACCTGCTCGTTGCGATCTCGGACCAAATCGCCCAGGCTAAGAAAGATGCCTACCGGACCGCCCACGTCTCCGTGGCCTCGGCACCTTTTCAACGAGTCTGGTCAAGTTGAATCTAGCGTCCTAGCCTCGCTCGAGGAGTCCTCCTCCCAAGTTCCTCAGTCAACCTTGTCGCTCACAGATATACTCAACGTCCCTACTGAGTTTATCGTACACGGTGTTCGGAATAAGTGCGAAGCGGCTTTATTGCTGGATATCGGACACTGTGGGTTCAAGCTTGACAGATTGATGGAATGGGAACGTGAACGCGCTTACAGGGAAAAGGTTGGTTGAGCTGCGTAAACCAGTCTCCTCAAAGTCCCTGCACGTCTTATTATTCGGCTTGTTCGTGTTATTAATACCTTCATTTCTTTCATGTTCTTCTCCAGGTTATCACTGATTGTAAAGACGCGGTAGCGGCAATCTCTCTACCGATTGAAGACTACCCGATCCCTGTAGTCCTTCACAGAACGTTCACACCTTCACTCCCCATCTTAAGTAAAACGCCTGTTTAAATTTGTGCTAGTCTTTTGGGATATCATGCTAATTGTGCTCCGTGCAACATGATAGGTTCAGCATTAACTAAGGTGCGACAACAGCAGCGTTACCTCCTAGATCAAATGAATCAAACGCTTTCCGAGCTCGCCCGCCACAGAGCAGCTTGTGCACAATTCGCAGAGGTCAACATGGGAATGGCAAGAGAAATCAGTTGTGCTGGGGTAACTGGGTTGGCGGTTACGAAATATGTCCTGTAAGTTCTGTAGCACATCTTTTTGCGTGTCCATCAGTCATTAAATCATTTTGACAGAGCGGACGTCCAGCATGCTCTTGTATCCCGCATCTTGAGCATCATGTCAGGGGCCGATATTGTAGGCGATGATGCAAAAAGCTGGGACGTACTGCTGGAAGACCTTCGACAGAGACGAACAGCTGAAATTCACGCCACATCATCTTCTCCTGGAGCGGCTTCCGAAGGCTTCCGAAAGCGGAAGCGGGGGAGCCACTCGCCGGATGTGGAGGACCTGCATCATTCACCGAGGAAACCACGCTTAGATGTTACTCTTCTAGTTCCGGAAACCCCGTTCGTGGAGGCTCGAATATCCAAAGCAACGCATGATCCTCCGTCGAGTGTCAGTCCTGCAGGATCAGATATGATCGTGGTGGATGAGACCACACATGTGAGCCATGCGGTATCTTCAGCCTCTACTGATTCCCCCTCCCTGATGGTTCGCAAACATTTGAAGAATCCTACGACTGTCATCGAAGAGAGTAAGACCGATCGGGATTCGCGTAGTCTTACCGAAACACATGCTAAAGAACAACGAGAGATGCAACACTCTGAGTCATTGCAGCCGCATTGCTATCCCCGCCGCCAAGACTTCATACAGCTCGAGAAGGGATATGTCAGATCTAATACACTACTTGAGCATGACCAGAGCAGCAAAAGCAAAGGTCTGGGGGGATCCTTTATCATAACTTCCACGCCTCTAGAGAACGACGGGTCTCGTCTCCCCCACACACAGGCAGCGGATGATCGATCGTTGCGCAGGCAGCATAGAGATACACAAGGGAGTAACACGACCATGGGCATCTCGGCAGAAGGTTGCGCAATCGAGATGGAAATGCCATCCATTCGCATTAGCCAGCTATCATCTCAAGAAGGTGCAGATGCTGATAACACAAGTCAAAAGAGTTCAGAATTCAACGATAGGGAGGACGTTGAACGTGGGGACGGTGGTCATGAAGACAACGGAGAGCAGACACATGAAAATCGAAGTGTCGCCGAACTCGGGCGACAAATCTCTGGTGTCCGCTTCGTTGCAAGGAAGCCCGAGAAGTGGCAAAACAACGCAACTGGACACTTTTCCCCATCAAATGACAGTCACCACAGAGAAGACGGTAGCCAGGAAAGCTCCAAACGCGACACGACAAAAAGTCAAACGGATTCAGATCCTGTATCGAGAGAACTATACGATACTACAACCGCGGGTGCTCACGAGGTGCGAGAAATACTTCACGGCCACTGGCAGATGAGCCAGAAGGATGTGGCGCTGCCGATAATCTCCACTATTCCCGCAGAAGATGATGATCATGAAGACCATCTCCAATACACAACTCAAAAGCACGATAACTCGCGCACTTCAAGCCATTGCGAAGCTCCCGCACCTCCTTTGCTACTACGGCGGGTCCGAAGCGAAGTTACACCCCGTCAACGGCACCGCACATTCGACCCCATGTCAAGTGCCATTGATAAAGAGAATGCGGAGGCTTTGCTGGACGAATGGTCGCCAGTGCTAACTTTGGGGAAGCAAAGAAGAGGTCAATCAGCTCCTCCATCACCCAATCGAGCAACAGATATACTTAATCCCCAGAGCCGAGAATCTCGGGTCCTTCGCGAGGCAGCGCCACAAACCCTTTCAGGTAACTCCAATGCAACCTCAAGTTCCCTCGACCAAACCAGCGGGACCAGCCTACGGGATCAATGGTCACAAGTTAATTCGAGTGGAGACGAAAAACGACAGCAAGCGGAGCCCAATCCGACGCCATCTCTATCGTTGGTATTGTCACTCTCTCCAGTGTCACCGTCATCCACTGGTGGAAAACAAAGCAATGCTTTGAAGAGCCTTGATTTTTTTGGTCTTTGTGATCCGAGCCCTGATTTGGCAGCAACGGGCGCAGATGACCAAGAGAATCGATACGGAGGCGGAACATTGTCTTCAGGTTCTCCGAGGGTGACATTTGCCTCGTCTCCCCATTTTTATACCTGCGCAGAAGTTCAACATGGTGACGAGTCTAGTGCTAGTTTGTGATCCAAAGAGCTGTAGAACAGTAGGCAATTATTCTGAATATAGAATGCGTGACATAGACCTTGCTTGTTTGGCTTTCACGCAATTGTCGCCCCAGTATTTTCCAGGTGCTGGCTTATGCAAAATCGTATATGTTCATTACTACCCAAGTTGGGTGCTTTCCGCACACACGAACACCATCTTTCTTCCTTTATTTGTAAAAGAAGGTACTCGGCGGCCAAGCAATCAGGTTGAGGACACACTAACACCCACGTTTCGCACTTTGGCCAAAGTAGAGCCAAAGTACAAAAGAAGCTGAAAGTAGCTCAAAACCAGGCCAGCCGGTAAACCCGTCAAAAATTTGGGAGAGGATTTCAGCAGAACTGATCTCCTCTTGTCGCTTTCGACCGATGTCACTCGGCCGAGTTATTATCCTTACTCATGAGTTGCGGCAAAGAATCAACGTGGGGACTGGGAGAAGGCGCTTTATATACGATTTGAGTTGCCATGACTACGGGAACGACCGCGAGGATATATTTGGTGGCTTTTCGCGGTCGCTGGAGGATACGGATGGACCTCTTTAACTCAATGAATTGTTGTTCAAAAGAAGTCATGCATTGTTAGGATATAGAACTAGATGTAGACATGTTAGAGCTGGAGAGCGTTGCTCTGTTGCCTTTCTCATGTTTTAAGAGCCGAGTTTCTAAACTTCTTTGCCAAATCTCTTTAGTATCCATTTGATGCACTGACACAATAATGCAAAAGCTTGGCAATATGAAAACAACGTTGAAAGCGTATCAAGGCTAATTGTGAAGGGTGTCATGACCCTGTAGAGATCTGCAGAGACTGCATGGACGATGAACACTTCGTTTTCGGACGCGTTCGAACAAGAAAGTTGATATCTTCCAAATATGGTCTAATGAAGATCGAAGCGCAGTCCTCAGTGGAAAGTTGGGATGTCCGTCTTGAAGGCTGACGACGGCGAGCTTCCATTCCCATCCATCCCTTCCCATCCATCCATCCATCCATCCACCAGCCCTTTCCATCCGCCTACGAGGCGACCTCCCCCGCCGTCCCTGTATCATCTGCGTATCGAACGAGTGTAGATTTGTTAAATTTGCATTTCGAGAAGTTACCCACGTCGTAACCAGAAGAACTTGAGAGATCGCGTTGTTTTAACATCTACTACACAAAATGGTGAGCAGATGGACCCATTCTGTCAGCTTCTCCAAGTTTTAGACAAATTATGTTCAACACTTGAATGCAATTGTGAAGATGGCTCTGCAAACCGTGCTGATCTTACCATGTTTATAGTCCATCTCGCGCAATTCAAAGATTTTGTCCCTCCTCAACTACCGCCTGCGTATCACGGTACAAGATGGCAGGACTTTGATCGGACAGATGCTTGCTTTTGACAAGCATATGAATCTGGTTTTGGCGGACTGTGAGGAGTTTCGAAAGATAAAGCCAAAGGGAAAGGAGGTACAAGTGGAGAGGGAGGAAAAGAGGACCTTGGGCTTGGTCATTTTGAGAGGAGAGACAATAGTGAGCTTGAGTGTCGAGGGACCACCCCCAGCATCGGACGATGCAAGAGCACGTTCGGCTGCTGCAATGGCCGGCCCTGGTATGGGACGTCCGGCTGGAAGAGGTCTGCCAATGGCCCCAGCGGGAATGGCCCCAATGGGTAAGTCTTTCCTTTACTCATCCGGGGTGGGCTGTATACCAAACATTTTTTTTTTTCGCATTTAGGTCTTGGTGGTCCAGTACGCGGTGTAGGTGGTCCAGCTCCGGGTATGATGCAACCGCCTATGGGACGAGGAGTTGGTGCTCCCCCAGTTCAGTACGGTAGACCTCCTATGGGTCCCCCTCCGGGTATGGGTCGTCCAGGTGCCCCACCGATGGGTCCCCCCATGGGCGGTGCTCCACCATTCGGTCGTGGAATGCCACCTCCTCCTCCTCAAGGATTCCGTCCTCCTCCGGTATGTCATCGCTTTTCCTCGCACCATGAATCATCGATGCTAAACTCTTTGATACATGAATAGGGTGGTCCTGGGGGCTTCAGGCCACCAATGCCGGGAATGCCCGGAGCTCCTCCCGCGATGCCAGGTATGCCGGGCATGCCGCCACCACGACCAGGGTAAGTTTGAACGACGCCTTGCTTTCTTGGGTGACCTAAGCTGAGGGACTATTATACGGCTCTAAATAGATTCCCCGCACCACCGCCTGGCTTCAGACCCCCACCAGGTGGCCCCATGCCACCTCGTCCGCAGTAGATTCCCGATCAAGCTACCCGTTACCTGTAATTCAGTTCTGACCTGCGGAAGCAAATTGTGCGCTCATCTCGCTAAACAATGGGAAGAATGCAGATCGTGTGGTTGACCAATTTGCTATAGTCCCCCTAGGAGATAGCGTGTATAGTCTTTCTTTTTCGTGATAAATTGCTTTTACATCAGAATCGTCTTTTGCCGTGTTTTATATTAAAGGGCCGCTTTATCTTATGCCTCGGCTCCTCGGCTTCAAAATTTCCGCTACATGCCCCCTTGTGCTGACGCATCCAGTATGAAGGCAGTTGCTCTGTACTATGGTATATTGGATGATGAAGATGCTTCTACTGGAGTCGTAGGCTCCTCTGTTTTCGCTCGGATATCGGGATCCACGCTCCTCTCACGTCCTGGGTCAGCCCCATACTTTGTCAAATGTTGCACCTCTGCATCGACAAAGTTTTTCATTTCTAGCGCCATCGCATATACCTCCGAATCCTCGTTGTTGTACATGATCGCATTTGTAAACATTAATAGCAAGTCCCGATGAAACTCGGCAGTCGTCGTAGTTATCTGCCAGGGATAATTTAACCCGGGGGCGGAGGCGCACCACAACAACGATCACTCGGACCTTACCCCTTTTCGAACGCGTGCCCGCACGACGTCCAGACTCATGGGCTGCTTTACCACCCCCGTATATCCCTCCTCCTTTACCGGCGCCGAGAAAACGTTCCCGTAACGATGATCCCCAATTTTTGCCAGTATGAAATTAACAGTTTTCTTCCATGTTTGAAGAGCCTGATCGCCTTTCATATGTCTCCTTCGTTCACCTCCACCGTCTAGGGTCGGAAGATTGACTGTCAGTCGTACCCCAACAGTAATGTTGTGACACATTCTTGAGCAAGATGGCTTACCGGAAGTTTCGGCTCCAGAGTCAGCATCCATACTCTCAGGCTCTACGCTAGGCATTTTCACCCTTGGTGTCTGAAGTGGCCCTAAAGGACGTGGAGTCTCAGAAATCCCACGTTGCACTTGCACTGTGGGAATCCGTATTATCATACCTTTCCGCGTGACAATGCCACTAGTCTTTACAGGGCTAACGCTACGTGTCGGTGACCTCCTTCGTCGTGTGTTGATAGTGGACTCTTCCAGCTCAGTCTTTGGTTCGACTGCCATCTCATCCGTGTCAGCCGTCGCAGGTGCATCATGGAATTCCTCTATCTCGGGCTCCTCGACTTCTTCCACGGCTTCCACGTTTTCCACGTCCTCCTCGTCCTCCCCTTCTTTAACTTCTTCCACTTCCTCCACCTCCATGGTATCTATGCTCGGTGCCGGGCTTTCTTCTTCTTCCTCCTGGGGAGTTACAATCGGACTCGTTCGATCTCCACTCTCTTTGACTTCAATTTCCTCTGCCTTCAATGACTCAGCCGAAGTTGGTTTGACGGCCGTGGTTTCGGGAGCCTCGGTGGTAGGTGGTGGGGGTGCCGTTTCTGTAGTATCGACGTCCATAGGGGTCGACTCGGGTATCGGTGTCTCTTCGCCGGTTAGCGTATCTGCAGCGGATTCTTCTTCCGTCTGTTCCATGGGAGCAGCTCCATCGGGTGGATTCTCTGTCTGCTGCGCGTCAGCCTGCTGCTGCTGTTCTTTCAATTCAGCGCGAAGCCTGTCGTCCCATCTGCCATTCTTAATCTCTTCAATCTCTTGCACAAGTTCTCTGAAATCCAATTGGTCAGATCAAATACAGCAAATATGTATGCTCCTGCTCATACAAACCTGAACTCGTTTTCATCCTCTTTCAGCAAGACCTTGATTTCATCGATGCGCTGAATATGCAGCTTTCGAGCAAGTTTTGCAACCGGCGGCATATCTGCAATATGTATTTTAATATTATTCAATTTTATCCAAAGAAATCGGGCGACTAACCTTGCCCGCCAGCTCCGTAGGCAAATTGCTCCTCCCTATTAGTGAGATGCGCTGTATCAATTTCCCGAACGCGCGTTTACTATATGCAGCCAAACGAGGCACTGACCCTAGTACATCTGCCAACAGAGACTGGTATTGTTTTTCACAGTTCTGAGTGAACAGCACAGTTTTCGGTCAGCATGATATATTCAATCCTGGAATATACAAGAGACGTTCATTCCCGGCAACATGAAGGCTTACTGGAAAGTGTAACAACACTTTCGACTATTCCAGGCCACTGTGAAGGACCCAACAGAGTTACCTCGTCGGGTAGTATATTAAAACCAACCTTGGGCGAGAAGAACTCCATGGGACGCGAGATCGCCGGATGCCCTCGCAAAACTTTTGCGATTTGAGACCAACTATCATCGCCATATTTATAAACAGCTTGCGCCAGGATAAGCGATTCAAGTACGTTCCAGCCGCTTTGACCTGCTTCAGACATGTCGACGAGCAAAAGGACGATGTGGCGAGGCAGGCGATCGGTGAGGGAACAGCTGGGGAATGACGCGAAACTGTGCCTCCCCTTGCCATGACAACTGGACAAATCACTCCTGCATCCATCTATGAAGACCCAATGGCATCTCACAAACTTCGTTTGTGGAGTATATGTGACAAGCTGACAGAATCCACCCTTTTTTCTGCGAAATAAATTGCCGTGCTAGAATGCTGAATATCTGAGCAGATGGCAGAAAACGCTGGCCAGAAGGCTGAATTAATGGTGTCTGACAAGTACAATTATGAGCAACGTCCTCTTGGTGTTAATCGCAAGCGAGAGGAAGACTTGCAGAGGGAAAAGATGGAGTTGCTCAGAAAAGGTTTGGCCCTTCAGGAGCGTGAGCTGCAACTGAAGGAGCATGAGGTGCGACTGCAAGAGCAAGAGCTGTGCATGAAACGACTCGAACGTGTTGACAAAATTATTGAGGTACTCCGAAGGTTGTTTGGAGAGGAGCATCCCTTTGTCAAAAGGCGATGAGGCGTTTGGGTAATGCATTCGGATGCGAAAGTGTAAAACAATGACTGAGTGATATAGCACTAAGATTAAGCGCCATTGATAACGTCTCTAGCATCGCCGGCTCGGCAACAAATGAGCTGGTTTCTTTCAGACTGATGCAAGAAATATTCCGCAGCTCGCACTAGCAGTTCTATTATACATCCCACATGATCGCATACTCTACTACAGCCCTTCACCGCCTAAATCGTTTTAATAAAAAAGCAGATGATATATGTACATATGTTCGTTCGCATGAAAGTCTCCAGTCGATCACAGCGGAAGCGGGCCCGACAGAGAAGGCAGGCGCTCCCGCTTGTTCAGTATTCTCCTCCATTTGCTCTTTCGGGTGCACTCTTCCGAAGAGTCTTCAGTTCTTTCCAGCTTATCTCCGCTTATCATCCTTCTTCTTAAATGAGAACGACTTCCTCGTAAACGCAAATTCCCCCAACTTCCGGTTGACCATTTGCTCCGTTACAAGCACAGGTATGTAGTCCTTTCCATTGTGCACCAAGAATTTGCGTCCTACATGGCTGGGTAAAATGGTGCTCGCCCGAGCCATGGTCTTCACTGGCTCCCCGGCTTTAACAGCTGGGAACGGAACGAAGAATGGGCCTTTCCAAACGGAGCGCATTGTGTTCGAGTCGGGGGACAGGTACGGAGTAGGGGCAATGAGGTAGATGTATCGGCGATTCAAATTTGTATAGCGACTAGCAATTTCTGCCAACGAAGTGCGATTAGGATTGCTTCCATAGCAACAATGTTGAGTCAGCGTATCGTGTCCGAACCTGTCTGATCTCTTGAGGCCCATTCCTTCACACCCACAGAACTAATGGCAGCAGCAGCATATGGCAAGTCACTTGAGCGACAGAATTTCAGTCACCTCCTAGGCCCAATTTTGCTAATTCTGGCCGTACGATAGCAACAAAATTCGGCTTACTACTTCAGTCCTTTGACCCTGTCCTCAGCAATATCGAAAATGGGATAGCGCACTCCACTGAAGCAGCTGTAGATCTAGAGGACTCTATCACTGCCTTCCGAGCAACGGGAAACGGGGGCACTGATATTGACGGGGAAGAGCAGCAGATTACCCAGCTGGATGCTTCCATCAAATCATATCTGGACATGGTCCAAGAGCTCAATTCACAGAAACGCATATTGGAGGATATGCGGGCCCGCTTAACAGCAGGGCAACAGCTAGGGGACGGTGATCTTGTGGCGTGGTTTGAAGAAAAGTATGCGGATGAGCAACGCGAATGGGAGGCTACTGATGAGGCAGCGCGATACCATGGGAATGAGGAGTACGTCGAGTTCCGGCGAAAGCTATGGGAAAAGCGATATCCGAACAAGCCTTTCTCCCTTACTCCCGGAGAAAATGAGCAGGAAGAGGATGACGAATTAGAGATTGTTAGCCAGAACCAGAGCCTAGTTTGTCCCATTACAGTACGCTTTTACCCCGTTTCAGCGTTGTTATGCAGACATCTAACTTTCTACCAACAGCAATCACTACTGGAAGATCCAGTTACATCCAACGTCTGCAACACTCTACTCTGGAAAGCATAACCGAACACATCAAAATTTCGGACGAGATAATCATTCAGGCCGAGCAGAATGCCCGGTGATAGGTTGTAACAAGTACGTCAAACTTGGTGACCTCAAGCGCAACAAAAGTCTGGCGCGTCTGGCAGCTCGAAAACGAGCACAAGCGGAGGAAGCGGCGGAGGAGGACGAAGACGAGTATACAATGATGGATTAAAGTCGTCAATAATTGTAAATAGGATACAAACAAATACGTTCTTATTATGTAATGGGCCGCCAGAACGCGAAGGCAGCTCATCATTATCAGCTACTCACACCATCAACACATATTACATTATCATCATACGAGTCATCGGACTGACTGTGTGCCAGTAGACACTTTTCTCATAGGCTGGTTGACCGCTCTTCGAGCGCGGTCCCATACTCCTACTCCGGTTTCAACCTCATCATCTGAAGACTGCGCACCGTCCTCTTTTGTAATATATACTGTCTTTCGTGAGAAATGTTCCTTAGCAGCCTCGACCTCCTTTAGTTGTGCTTCTATGAGAGCTTTACGCTTTTTCATGCTGACTGTTTCGATGATTACGGGAAACTTTGATAGCGCTTCCAGTAGCTCGTTTTGTTCTAAATGAGAAAGTTGAATTTCTGAATGCAAGAGGGAGTCAAAGGATGTGACAGTCGTACTTTTCTCTAGAGCTTGCAACGTGTCTAGTCGCTCGTATTCTGGAACCACTTTACAGAAAATTGGGTGTGAGTGTCTACCGAGGTCGTGGCTCAGCCTACGGGCTTACATATCATTCCTGATGGTATTCTTTGAGGCTTATAAGCATCCATGCAATGAGTGTATGAGTGAGGATCTGCATAACTTACTTTTCCTCCTCCAAGCCATTTAACCGCTCCTGCTCCTTTCTCGCCCACTCCAGCTTCCGATCTACCAGGCTAAAAGACATACTTAGAGACGCATGGGGTACTCGGTGTAATAGCAAATGCTACATACTATTTGGGTATGTCTCCCTTTTTTGTCTTTCTTTCAACGGAAACTGGCTCAGGTCGGCGCGGTGTCCGCTGTGGCAGTGTAATTAGCGACCGACAACGGCCAGATGAGACGAACATATTATCACTCACAGGTGATGGCTGCTTTGCCTTCATTGCGTTGATGTGAATAAAGTTCTTTTTGGATTCGGTTGTCTGTCCGAAGTTTGTAAGATGGGAAGGGTTGACAATGTTCGAAAACAGGAGTTACCTGCCTTTGATGAGTTCGCCGTTGATGGTCGGGATGATTCCGGAGTTCCAGAGACCAGAGTTTCAACGGACTACAAGGTGATTGTTAAAAAGAGACCAAATGGTGTCTGTTTGGCCACTGCCATTCCGCACATACGCTTGTTCGCCGTGTTTGCAATTTGGATGATACGTCTTCAAACTGTTTCAGTTTAAACCGCGGAGGACTTGGTTTTGATGTTTCCTCCTTTTTCGCTTTATTAGCCTTCTCCAGTTCTTTCAACCGTTGTCGATTTTCTTTATTATGGTCTTTGGGTTTTCCACCTGCACGCAATATATCGTCCCTGTATCAAACAGTTAGATACGTATTTCGCCCAATGTAAGACCCAACAAATCCGACGTCATTCCCGTACCGCAGTCCACGAGACGGCTTCAAAATCATCCCAACGGCAGTGCCCGCCATATGGCGGAGATGTGTTTTTCGAGCCTCCATGAGTAAATAAGCTCAGATCGCCGGAACCGCGGAGGTCGAGTTGAACGGTGGGCACGAGGATGCGCTGAGCTTTGTAGTGTTCAGTTTTTGGAAGGACAGAGATGTGGGTAGAGCGGTTCAATGCACCGATATATGCACAAAGCCGAGAGCCAATGTAACCTAGATCGGAGGAGTGTAAAGCTGACCGTTGCACTTGCGAGACTTCCACCCGCGTCCTCACCACGAGGCGATTCGGACACCATTTATCCCAAAAAGGCAAAATGAGCAGTGCATGTTTTTTTATTTTTTGTCTTTGCGTAAGCTCCCATCTGCACGCTGTGGGGGGTGAACAATCTTGCTTTTTTTTCAACGTCATTCCCCCAAACCCACCCCCTCCATTTGCCGAGCACCACCCGGTTGTGCGTAGTGCAAATGTCTATCCTTACGCTTCCTAGTCCCCCAAAGTCCTGGGACAAGAACAAGGACTATGTTATTCACAACTCAATATCAGAGTTCTATTCGGCGCCTATAGAGCCTGTTGGAAAAGCTTTTATTGCTGTTGCACGTCGCCATCGTCATAAGCGTACACTCTCTGAAGACGAGCGCATTGAGCAAGCATTGGAGGATGCGAAAGACGAGGATATTTCGTTGGACGATGATGAACCTGAGACTCCGAAATTGTTGAAAAGTGATCCTTTAAAGTGGAAGGTATGTCTATAGAATCACTCTACTCGCTTGCAAGACTTTGACCAGCTCACAAACATCTTACTCAACAGGAACAAGATCACTACGCCGTGTTGGGTCTCTCAAAGTTGCGCTGGAAGGCCAGTGAAGAAGAGATCAAGAGAGCTTATCGAAGGAAGGTATTGAAGCACCACCCGGACAAGAACCCCGACGGTTCCGATTCCTTTTTCAAATGTGTACAGAAAGCATGGGAAGTAATGAGTGAACCTGTGAAGCGTCGTCAGTGGGATTCGGTGGACCCCAAGTTCGACGATTCCGTCCCAAGCGCGAAGGCAAAGGGCGATTTCTTCAAGCTTTACCAACCTGCGTTTGAAAAGGAAGCGAGGTTTTCCAAGATACAGCCGGTTCCTGAACTCGGCAGTGGTGATTTGACACGTGACGAAGTGGAAGCATTTTACAACTTTTGGTTCAACTTTGATTCATGGCGAACATTTGAGAACCTTGATGAGGAGGACACAGACAATGTAGAAAGTAGGGAGGAAAAGAGGTGGTTGGAACGACGGAACAAGGCTGAGCGTACAAAGAGGAAGAAGGCGGATAACGCTCGTGTAAACAAACTGGTTGAGCAAGCCTTCCAGGCTGATCCACGCATCAAAAAATTCCGTGAGGATGACAAAGCCGCAAAGGAAAGTAAGAAAAGGGAGAAAGAGGCTGCTGCCCGCGCTGCTGAGGAGGAAGCTAAGCGAAAGGCTGAAGAGGAACAGGCAGCCAAAGAAAAGGCTGAAGCTGAGGAACGAACCCGTCAGCAGGCTGAAAAGAAGGAGCGAGAAGCTGCCAAAAATGCGCTCAGGAAAGAGAAAAAAACAATCAAGCGCATCATGCGGGACAATAATAACTTCTTGCCCGAGGATGCCTCCCCCGATGCGGTTGCTACACAGCTCCAGAAATTGGATGAAATCATGGAATTCCTTGATGTTAGCGGACTGGAGCAGTTCCGTAAGAAGCTGGAAGAGGCAGCACCCGGTGGAGCAGATGATTTAGTATTGGTTCTCGATGAGGAGGTGAGGCTTTTATCTTTTTATGCGCGCAACTGGTCGATTACTAATTTGACGGGCAACATAGCATATGGCGATGGTAGAGGCTAAAGACGCACAAAAGCAAGCGGCCGATGCCAGCAGAGAAGAAGCAAAAGCCAAAGAAGAGAAAAAAGTCGTGAAAGCGCCATGGAGTGCAAAGGAACTTGCGACGCTAATTAAGGCCGTTAAGCTATTCCCGGGAGGAACTATTGATAGGTTGGTGGAATATGTGCTTACGCTATTGATGAAGGCCTATCGCCTCATACGTCATCCTTGACAGATGGGAGAAAATTGCCGAGTATATAAATGAGCACGGTGGGGAGGAGGGCGAGAGTGCCGAAACAAAAGCCAGTCGTCAAAGAACAGCAAAGGAAGCCATCAGCCAGTCCAAAGTTGTACAGTCAGGTGGGTAGCACAATGTTCGTAGGCGCCTATGTAAGTCTCTCTAAAATCTCAATGCCCACCAGCTCAAGCGGCTGACCGTCAAAGACTGCAACAGGCCGCGAAAAAACCGGTAGCCAAAGTGGAAATTAATGACAAGCCAACCGAGCGGGTGGAGCCTGCGACCGCTGCAGCACCAGACGAAGCCTCCACCGCAAAAGCTGTCGTCAATGGTGACAAGGCAGCTCCGAAGGCACCACAACCATCCATGCCCGCACCACCGAACGCGTCCTGGTCTACCGAGCAACAGATTGCCCTTGAACAAGCCATGCGAAAGTTCCCTGCGGCCAGCTTTAGGGAAAATCCTAATGAACGGTGGGAGAAAATTACGTCGGAAGTCGCTGGTAAAACGAAGAAGGAGATCAAACAACGAGTCAAGGTTTGTCATTTAAATATTCAAACTATATCATGACCGATTCAGCGGTTTAAATTCCCCATTTTTTAGGAACTCGCTGAAATGGTCAAAAAGAAGAAGCAGCAATCTTGAATTACTCCACCTCCATCAAATCAAATTGCTACACGACGTTTTTTTTATTTCATTGTGTTTGGTTTCTCCCATCATTTTACTTTATTCTGTTTCTCGGAGGGGAGGCGGATGAAGATGATGGGAGGTTGTTAATGCACATATTTTACATATTAGGAAATAGATTTTCTTTGTTGCTGATAATGCTTGACGAGTCAAATGCTATCTATTTGGGACTATGAAGTCTATAAACGCAGCTGGGCAGCTCACGCAGAGCTTTTGCTGCACAATGATGTAGTTACATGTTGAAACTCCACTACGCCTATCCTTTATCTGTCACTTTGTCTGCTGAACCTTAAAGGGATTGGGGTCGTCAGGCTTCAGTTTTGCCAGTGTGTGATTTACTGTACGATGCTCCGCCTCATCTAAATTAGCAGATTAGTCACAAATACGGATTTGCCAGCCCGATTGTGGTAGCCGCAACTCACCTGCCCGGACGGCGGCGACAACATCCTCCACGGTTGCTCCTTCCTTTAACCGCCAATATGATTTCGCAATCAGCGGTGCGGGTGTATGAGACCTATAGAGTACGATTGGTATTCATGGAGTACTGCCAAGATATAAACCTAGGCAGAACCTACCAATGTCGAATTTCCCCAACTTTGATATCCTTTAAGCAATTTGTGTATGTGTGCACAGCTTCTTCTTCGAGGTATCCCACGAATCTGTGGCATGTTCGCGGGGATACCATATAGGCAATGAAATATAATGCAAAAAAGACGGCTTGACCTGATAGAACAAAGAAGCGGAGAAGGGGTGTAGGTTGTTTAAGCTGGAGATGAAGAGTAACGTGAATAATTGTTGGAAAAGTAATGTAAGAAGGCGATTACGGATATACCGTTAGGAATGTCATTAGATGCATCCGCTCATTTTCGGCTTCTTCCAGCATTGTGTTGATCCATCCTTCATCTTTTTTCAGGGTTCTCTAAAGTATGCTCATCAGCGAAAGGGTCACCAACGGTGCGACCAATCAAATGATTATGGACCATGGAGAGCATATGTCGAGTCATACCAGCTACCATGCCGGGTACACCAGCAATGGTTTCCAAAAACACTGAGATTGACAAGAAAGTAAAACTTAGTATAGGTGGAACTGAACCATATGCGACCCGCACACCAGTACCTATACGATTCAACCACTGCCGCTCCGACATTCGATTCAATCCATCTGAATACCCAGTTGCCGTATCAAATCCTAATTTGTTCCGATATCAGCTACTAGACACAAACCTCAGATCTCAATGACGAAGTCCCCCCACCATGTTCGCCAATGCCCTCACTCACCGAACCTCAAGGTCCTGACAGCCGCAAAAGCGACAGCATCCGCCCACTCTTTTCTCGGCTCGTGGGTCTCCTCCACTCGCAATTCCTCATCAGAGTATACAGAATGCATCGGCGGGTTCTGGCGCTGTTGGTTGGAATTGGGACGAGGCCAGAGAGCAGCGTTCTTGTCTGAGCGGATTTTAGGGTGAGGTGTTGCGTAGCCGGCTTTTAGAGCGTCTGCCGTTCTGTGTCGCTTTTGAAAGTACCAGGGTGGCTGATGGTGACAATTGCGTTGGAGAAGGCGGAGAGTGCGCGAAACGGTTGAGGACATGATATTGTGGAGTGTAAAGTTGTTTTCTTCGATAGTCTTCAATGTGTGGTGCGAACTTGGTAGAATGTCAATTGTATAAAAGTATAGATCTCTCTTTGGGCGTCGCGTTAGATCACACACCACCGGTTTGATGGGCAGTGGACAAATGCAAACTGAATAGCTGCCAGTTCAAAATTACAGACATCAAGCACACCATCGCCAGTTAAAAAGCTGTAATATAATGGTATGGAGGGCTTAAAACGATGATCTATCGGGAAGCTCATAAACGATTGCATCGCCTGGCTAATTCGATACGCTATATCAAATGTGCACTTGTAAATTCCTGTTCTCATCGACGTACTGATTGTTGGTTGCTTGCCACAAGTACTGCAAGCTATTGCTTACGTATGAAAGCAGCATTCGCTATGTGTTCAGACCTGAGCACAACTAATTTCAATACCTTGGGGAAAATGGCGGTATCTTGAACACCAGCACTCCTCTATGCGGAACTCTGTCGATGGATGAGAAAAGCAATGGAGAATAGATCAAGAGTGCCGACCATCATCTATTATCATAGCACGCAAAAATCGATGCTATAGCAAAGTTCTACCAGAAGAGGTGTGAAATTCGACAATGAATTTGGTGATTATCGTATTGGGTGGACAGAAAACGTCCTGGATCTACGGATCTAACTGTTCGACCTACTGGACACAAACAGTCGTGTTTATTCGTTATTCGCTGGAGGTTCACTGAGCAAATATCCGCCTCATCTCGACTCTTTCAACGGAGGATTTCCCCTGCATACGTGGATCGTAGGTTTGGTCGTGCAGATGAGGCAAAAGCTGCTAGTCACGATTTGAGTCCCCGAATCAACTCTCAACCATGGGAAAGTTGGGAGCACCCATGCTAAGAGCCTGGATTTATGATACAAGAACTAGAGCACGGCACACCAAAAGCAGAAAGATGCCAATGTAGTGAACACTGATGGGACCATATCAAGTTACAAGCTATCGATACGCAGGGAACTAGGACGAATGCAACGGCGTCTACCAGTCATTTGCTAACGTGATGGTGTGTTTTGCAGACACTTTGCATCCAGTGTGTGATTTATCTTGTAGCAAGAAGGTAATGATAGGGGCACGTCAGTAGTAAGCCTATAAGATTCCTACGTACATTAGGCAGATTCCAATGACGAATGGCACTCGAGAACTACTCAAAGTGCCATTGCATTCAGCACGTCGGCGCACCTGCGGTCGATCGTCGCGGACCGTCCTGTTGACATTCAGTACTCGGCGGCCTTGTGCTAATCGACTCTGTGCACCTCATCATCTTGAGACCAGAGATGGCAACATTCAGTACCAGGGAACAAGTCATTCAGAGCGTCAAATCATTATTAATGCAACATATTGACTTTTAGTCGGACCATTCGGACAGCCTGCACAGAGTATAGATCAAAAGAGGGTCTCTAGTTATGTGTTCCAGAATTTGTCCTATGTCTCAGAAAATCGCCAATCCCTGTCGTCCTGTCGACTCGAGACAGGGAATAAGCAGGGATGTCGGTTCCTTTTATAGGCCCAGATTCCGATGACCGCACATACCTGGTATCACTTTGGAAGCTGGCATCCGATACAGTGGATGTCAGATAGAGGGTAGACGGCTTGGGACCGCAATGTAATTATAAACCGAAAGCAGCTTCGTGATTTTTGCGCATCTTCAAGAGGCCACGACATGCTGAGATGCTTCGCACCGGTTTTCCTTATTCTGATACGTCAATGCACTGTCAAATGCCGTTTGTCTGTACTCTGGTACCGAATGGCAAGTCATGGAAAATGAGGAGGATGATATATTAAGTGCTTAGAAACTGATTTACTAATGAAATAAAAGCTATTCGCTGAATGAGATCCTACGACTGTCGACTTCCTGCGAGAGGGTATTTAAGGGCCATATAATTCCAAAAGGCTTGGATAAACGGAGGCATTGTACTGTTGATACGGAGACAGTTAACTATCATTTCACAAGATTTATGCATCGAAAACATTCAAGTACCTGGTCATGTGCACGGGCCAATACTGGATCGCAGGGAAGATAATGACAGGGCGATCCCTTTCCAGACCTTTGGTGATAACCTTGGCTGCAGCCTTGACGTCCATGACAGCAAAGCCTGGAAGTTTGCCACCGGCGTCTCTCATCTCCTGCACCAAGGGCGTCTCAACAAATCCGGGGCAGATGCATGTTAGGCGGATCCCTTGCTCAGCTGCAACCGGGCGGAAATGACGGGAGAATGCCACGAGTGCAGATTTGCTAGCGCCATAGTATGCTAGTCATATCAAAGCGTTAGACGTTAATGGGTAAAAGCGTTTTATAGTTGTACTAGGAACTCACACAAATTGGGATGACTAAAGATGCCAGAGAGAGAGCTCATGATGGCGACTTGACCTCTGCCCCGGTGACGCATTCCTTCCATGATGGGTGCAATGGTGTGGAACACGCCAAAAACGTTGACATCAAATAAGCGCTAGGAAGAGATTATAGCGTCAGGAGAGACATGTCTGCACAGGACATCAAGCGCGGTTTCTTCACCTGTGCTGCATCAGAGAACAACTCGCCCTCTTTAGGCGGCGTCATTGAAATTCCCGCATTGGCTACCACGAGATCAATGTTGACTCGTTTATCCACCTCTTCCATGTAGCTCTTGACAGCTTTGGAATCTGACATGTCCAGTGACGCTATTTCGACTGTCGCACCCTTTTCTTCACATTGCTTTTTGACCTTTTCGAGTCTTGTAACATTTCGAGCGACAAGGATGAGACGTGTTCGGGGTTTTGCATACCGGACTGCGAGTTCGGCCCCGATGCCACTGCTATAATCGAAATGTTGACATGTCAATATCACGTTCATAAAAGACGCAATGAGAGTAGAAAAGTACCTTGCCCCTGTGATGAGAATAGATCTTGGATGAGGTACAGGTTTATTCAATCCGAACACTTTGAAAACTATTTCTTTCACTAGTAGTACCCCTGCGATCATGCCAGCAAAAAGGTTGGCGATAACTGCCAAAAAGGCCAAAAAAATAGCTTCAATCGCGTCGATGATGGCCATGGCTAATAAGTTTTTTTTTGTATTGCTGGACGGGGATATCAAGCATGGATGGGCTTTTTAAAATCATCAATGTATTTTTAAATACTCAAAAGCTCTGGGTAGAAGTTTGGCCGGTTAAAAAAAGTGTGACGTCGTGTGTTATCGGTTGAACTTGAACCATCGGAGGGGCTAAACTGTTAAAATAAATTCTTTACTTTTTGTTGATGGATTTTTTACTTTTTATTTTATTTTCTTTGGCAGTGGCCTTTTTGTTCTTTAGACGACAACATGTTCAGATGAAAAAGTTGCAGAGGTTTTGGGTGAGGAACGATGAGGGACGAGCGAGTGATGCTTTTTTGCTAGCGCATGCTTTACTGCATTGATGACATTTCGACATTGACAGGGACGAAGACTCTCCTTACTTCAGCAGTAGTTGCATACTCTGAACCTGTGTATAGCAATGATTGCCTTCGTTGTCTCTGACTCAAATATATAAAATAGTAGTAAACTGTCAAATATCGATAGCGCTTGAAAATAAGCATGGCGACCGCGTTGCTAGGCCCATTGAAATCGTGAGGCCAATTTTCAACTCCAGCTCTCTCACTCAGATATCACTTGGGCACATGGCTAAACGCAAGAACAAGAAGAGTAAGAGTGGTGATACGTTGACACAGAGCTCGATCGAGGGAAAAGAGGATGCAAACGTCGTTACCTCAAACAAGAGACCAAGTGAAGCTGACCGGGACAATGTCCAGAATGTCGTCAAGAAGCAAAAGTTGAATTCCTCGCAAAAGGATCGCCTAAGAAAGGTATGCAGTGCAAGAAGAGCTTCTAGGACTGAGCTAGAACGACGTGCCACTGAGGCTCACTTTGCATATTCTTCTTGTGTACTATCAGGTGTTGGAGAAGCGTAGCAAAGGGAAACCCAATAGCGAACTTGCAAGTACACCTATATCAAAAGGTCCCCCAAAATCGACATTGAAAGCTGGCCCCTTGAATGCAGTTCGCGAAGCTTTGAAGGCAGGACAACAGCCAAAAGCCGGATTGATTCCAACAAAACAACCCGCGAAACCCACCTCAAATCTCACCGCCCTGCAAGAAAAGATGCACAAAAAGCTTGCTGGCGCCAAATTCCGCTGGATCAATGAAATCTTGTATACCAAAGAATCACGCGAAGCAGTCAAGATCTTCAAAGAGCAACCGGAAATGTTTGACATTTATCATGAGGGATTTAGGAGTCAAACAGAAGGATGGCCTGCCAATCCCGTGGATGGGTTCCTTGCCTGGTTACGTGAAAAGCCAGATGGGACAGTGGTGGCGGATATGGGATGTGGAGATGCCAAAATCGCCCGGACCCTAAAAGCTGAGGAAAAGAAGATTGTCGTGCATTCCTTTGATTTAGTCAAACGGTGCGAGGAAGTTGTTGCCTGTGACATTGCAAAGGTAGCCAAATGGTATGGTGATCCTCTCGTATCAAGGTATGTTTAACATGATCCTGGTTTATTAGGTACCACTCCAGTCGTCTTCGGTCGATGTGGTCATATTCTGTTTATCGTTGATGGGAACCAATTTCATGGATTTTGTATTGGAAGCACATCGAATATTGCGAGTAAACGGCGAGCTGAAGATTGCTGAAGTAATAAGTCGATTTCCTGATGTGGATGCATTTGTCGATGCACTATCAAAGGCCGGCTTTCGGATGGTGCGAAAGGTACTATGTTGGGATGCTTTTGTTGTAAAATGAGCCTAGAGGCCTTACGATCGATCACATCAGGATGACTCCAACACAATGTTTATCCTGTTTGATTTTGTAAAATCAAGCAAGAAATCTGTTCATGGCGAAAAACCAAAAGATGGAAAGAAGAAGCGGAGAGGTGGTGGCGAGGAACAGACATCTGAGGCGATACAATCTGCCTTACTCAAGCCATGCATGTACAAGAAGCGATGACCCATGTATATAGATTTGCATCTTTGACTTAATTTATTCATCATTCGTTTTGGCGTATTGGCCAGATTACCCCACCGGCCACCATATTTCAAATTTGTGTGGGGCAGCAATGTGGGGTTTTTTGATCTTGTTTTTGTCATGGCGATACCAAGATGTTCTACATCCTTCCATATGAATCAACACATATCGCTCGTCGTCGTTTCTTGTCCTTTATCGCTCAATCATCTATCATGCTCTAAAATAATAAAAAAACATTACAAAAAAACCACTCTCCAAACGAATGCGCAGTTTAACTCAAGGAAAGCAAACAAGCGAAAAGGAGGAGACACGCGCCATTTTATATCCATTTCAAATTGTACTCCATTTGGGCCAATCAGATGCGCATGCGCCACTTACTGATTGCGCCACAGGAAAAAAAAACTCGACAGCCGGTGGTTTATTTAAGACGGACGGTCTTCCCGGCCCCCCCTTCTTCTTGCTCCTTCTCTCGCTCTCGTTGATCGTATCCTTCCCCAACCCTCCATCCAACAACACATCAGCGCAATGTCCGGTGAGAAGCCCCATTTGTCGATCGTCATTTGCGGTCACGTCGACTCTGGAAAGTCGACCACCACCGGTCGTCTTCTCTTCGAGCTCGGTGGTATCCCCGAGCGTGAAATGGAGAAGCTTCGTCAGGAGGCTGAGCACCTCGGCAAGTCTTCCTTCGCTTTTGCTTTCTACATGGACCGTCAAAAGGAGGAGCGTGCCCGTGGTGTGACCATTGCCTGCACCACCAAGGAGTTCTTCACCAACAACTACCACTACACCATCATTGACGCCCCCGGTCACCGTGATTTCATCAAGAACATGATCTCTGGTGCCGTATGTATCTCTGCGTATTAACTTGCTGCTGCTGCTGTCGCAAATACCATGTCTGATCTACTTTCCATCTACAGGCCCAGGCCGATGTCGGTCTTCTCATGGTTCCCGCTGACGGTAACTTCACCACTGCCATCCAGAAGGGTGACCACAAGGCCGGTGAAATTCAGGGCCAGACTCGTCAGCACGCTCGTCTTCTCAACCTTCTCGGTGTGAAGCAGCTTGTTGTTGGTGTGAACAAGATGGACTCTGACCCCGCTGGTCCCTACAAGAAGGAGCGTTACGATGAAATCGCCAACGAGATGCGCAACATGTTGGTCCGTACCGGCTGGAAGAAGGAGTTCGTTCAGGGCAGCGTTCCCGTCATCCCCATCTCTGGATGGATCGGTGACAACTTGCTCAAGAAGTCTGAGAAGATGTCTTGGTACCAAGGTCAGGAGGTTACCGCTCTCTCTGGAAAGAAGGTCAAGGTACACACTCTCCTCGATGCCTTGAACGACTTCGCTGAGATGCCCGAGCGTAAGAACGACGCGCCCATGCGTGTCCCCATCTCTGGTATCTACAAGATCAAGGGTGTCGGTGATGTGCTCGCTGGCCGTGTTGAGCAGGGTACCGTCTTGCCCAACAAGGATGTTGTCTTCGTCCCCACCCACACCGCTGCCAACCCATGTGGTGGAAAGGTCTTCACCGTCGAAATGCACCACAAGAAGGTGGAGAAGGGTCTTGCCGGTGACAACATCGGTATGAACATCAAGGGTCTTGACAAGAACAACATGCCCCGTGCTGGTGACATCATGATCTACAAGGAGGACAAGTCCTTGAAGCCCGTCAAGGCTTTCACTGCCCAAGTCCAGACTCTCGACATCCCCGGTGAGGTCAAGCCCGGATACTCTCCCATTGGTTTCGTCCGATGCGGTCGCTCTGCTTGCCGTATGAAGGAGATCAAGTGGAAGATGGGTAAGGAGACTGGTATGAAGAAGCTTGAGGGTGCCCACTCCCTCAAGGCCAACGAGGCTGCTGAGGTCGTGTTCGAGCCCATCCAACCCCTTGTCGTCGACTCCTTCAAGAACTGCGAGGGTCTCTCCCGTATTGCCTTCCTTGACGGTAACTCTGCTGTCATGTTGGGCAAGGTACGTGATTGTATAGTTTGTTATGAATGTTTGCCGTCAAATCTAATATTGGTTCGAACCATAGGTAACGCAAGTCGAATACAAGGATTAAGCCTGCTGGGTAGGATCGAATGTTCTTTTAGTATAGTGTTTGTCATTTAGGCCCCATTTGGTTCTTGCATAAATATATAGCACGTTTGTTTGCAAAAGAAGGCTTTTGCGACCTGTTGATTTATTTGGGGGGACTTGTAAATGTTTGATTTCTTTTGGGCAACCGTTAGAAATGAGAATGAACGTTTTAGTCAATTCTGAATTGTTGCAAATGATTGCTGCAATGTCTTTTGTCTTTAACGAGTTTCTAACGGTTGTGCATATACCTGCATGACGGGCAGGTCCTTCTTTCCAAGTGATGGATGGAAACTATAAAGTCATAAAGCGCATGGATAGACAAGAATGATGCAAAGGGCATTAAACAAACAGGACAAGTTTTAATGGTAGTTACACGCTGTCGTAACATGGTCGATACGTTAAATAAAGGGTAGTAAGCGTTTGCGATGAAAGCAAAGAAAACAGTCGATGCGGGCATCGGCATCTGATATCTTTTGATTCACTCTTTCGACTCAATTGTCGCTTGTGACGGGGCTAAATGCAGTAACCCGCCTCAAGAAACCTGCTCTTCCTCAAATGATCGTTTTGTTTCCAACCGCACGTTTGAACGCACAGATGAATACTAAAGATCGAGAGTGTTATATGTCATAACATCTCGTTGGCACACACGAAGCAACTTGGACGGAATTACTACGACATTGGAAGACTGTTACGTGATCAGAAATCATATCTTTTATTTTTCTCGGTGTATCGAAAAGTATGGCGTTTACGCAGTACGATAGAGGTTATGGGCATATCGAGGGATGTGTATGATCTAGATTTGGTATACCCTATAAAGGAAAAATATCTCTGATCCATGAAACGAAATTCCTAGCAAAATACTCGTAGAGATGCGACCTTTATGTCGTAAATGACAAGTTTTGTCTTCTTGCCAAAGGTAGATATGCACAGTACGCAACATTTCAAGTGAGCGCATTTCATTCGACGATGACCTGCGACTGGTTTCTGTCATGCTCGATGCAATAAAAACAATCTTGTTTTACAAATTGGATCTCACTGGTTTTTTTTTTTTTTTGCTCCGTATTTTATCGTTAACCTTTTTCAAAAACCCCACTTTTGATACTCTTGTAATGCCATCTTTTTGGCCCAAACCGCTCGTCATACCCAACATCTCCCATTCTAGAACTCAAAAGTCCGACGATTCAAGGCTCCTTCACATGCCAAAACCCATCACAGTCATTTGAATGAATGTAACATTGTTATTGGACTATCCGTACCAGCCTTTGATAACAAAACTTCCACATAGGGTTATAAGGTATGTTGGTAGTTATCATTGACGTCTCTTTGAATGTGATCAGCAGTGGTCCCGTACCCAAATCGGACGAGTTCTGGAGCGCAAACAAAAGTCGACAGGTTGGTTTTTTTACCGCGAGAGACAGATCATGACCGCCGTGATAGCAATATTCTCGGGTTGGTTTTTTGGTTTAGAAAAGAGGGGTATGTCCTCTGACATCTGGATACAGAGTATCATCATTTTAGGGATAAATTCACCGAGGCAGCATGGGCGAGTATTCCAAATAACTATAGACAAGCGAAAAGTTTGATGGCGTAATTTGGCTGCCTTGATGGTGTGATGGTCTAGTACGCTTGTGTGTGTGTGTGTGTGTGTGTTGTGTGTGCGTTTATCTGTGTTTGCTGGCGGATTGAGAGATTTTGAACGCCGGAAGTGGGGTTTGTCGGGGTGCCATAGCTGAGATCACCAATGTCGCCGTTCTTGGTTATGATGATAACGGGCAATTTCGGCTGATTTGTATTTAGAAAACAATCATGCCAAGGCAGTTGCTCGACATTTGACTCTTCCGCCTGCATGTCTCCCAAACGAATCCATAGCATGAGTAGTTCCCTTGAGCTCCACAACCATCTGGTGTGCTACTAAACCAATTTTTGTTCATGTTTCCTCATGGTTTATGTAGTCCCTCCGTCCGCTGCTTCTTCCCTTGATGCTGAGCATACCTCGTCAAGCTGGAGATCTTGTCCCTGCTATATTAGTAGTATGCAAATGTAACCAACTTGTACAATTATCAAAAACCAAGAATCATATTATAGGCATGTGACATGTTATCATCTGTCGCAAAAGCATGCAAGGCGCATACGGCCCGCTATCAAAATGCCACGTTGACTTAGATACGATGTCAAAAGGGACCATCCACGGGCCTTAAAATTACAACACACCACCTTCCAGCTTCCACTACCTGTTGACATCCACAACACAAATGCACAGAAGGACTACATTCACCGCTTTTTGACTACAACCCTTCAATAGGAGGAGGGAGGAGGGGGTGGAGGCGGTTGTTCAGTTGGCGGGGGCGGCGGGGGGGCCCAGGATGGAGGAGGCAACGGCGGCGCACCTCCCCCATAGTAATCGGTCGGTGGCATTGGAGCTTGGTAAGACTGATAGCCTCCCGGAGGGGGAGGTGGAGGTGGATTCCATGACGGAGGTGGCATTGCGCCAGGTGGTGGCGGCACTGATGCACCTGGAGGTGCAATACCTGCACAACCCTCACAGTCAGTTTGTGTTTACTTTTTTAAAAGCGCATTGATTGCTTACCAGGTGGCCCAAATCCAGGTGGAGGTGGAGCAGCAGGATCATGTTGCTGCCATGGTGGCATTCCATTGCCAACATCGGTGGACTTTCGTGCCCACGGAGGTAGTCCACCAGTAGCGCCTTGGGCACCGCCACTACCTCCAGCACCTGCCCACGGGGGCCGACCTCCTGGAGCACCAGCAGCTGGACGACCTGGTCCATAGTGGCCCTGATACAACGGTGAAGTATTAGATAAAATTTGGCAAAACTTTAAAAGTCAAAGGCTCCCTCCAAGGAAAGAAAGAACAAGAACACGTACCGTACGGGCGCCGGGAGGAGCGCCAGGAGCCCCTCCGGGTCCAGACTCGCCTAGTTCGGCCATCAGATTCGCATACTCGCTGTCGAGCTTTTGATCCCGTTGTTCAGCTTCCCTCAATGCCTCTGGATTGTTTCTTTGCATACAATCTAACCAAATGGACGTTCACAACTTTGTGATTACACTCGCAAGAACAGAGAAAACCTACCTCTGGCAGTGTGCCCCACACCGTTGCAAATACGGCAAACGAGGTTGACCGTGAAGTTCTTTTGTTCCGGACATTCGAACCTCCGATGACCTACAACGCTCTGAGGTCAGCAAATACAGAGCATTATATGTGCCTACGGAGATCTATGTACCTGTTCCACCGCAATTGGGACAAATTTGATTCTCATCGTCGCGAAGGGTGCCGTTGAGTTCCGCAAGATAACGTAACTGCATCCTTTTCAGCTCGTTTTGTCCTTCAGGCACACTTGCTGCCTAGTAGTGGGGAGCAACCGATGAGGAAACATACAAGGATACTATCATAAGAATGTGATAACATACGGTTTCAATCACTTTTTCAATGGCTTTCATGGCTATCTTGACCTTTTCTTCCGAGTCGGCTGTGACCAGACAATGCAAGTCCTCCTCTTCACCAGGAGCCAATGCGCCATCAGCACGCGCTTTTCCCTCCTTCACGGAGCCTTTTCCTCTGATACTGATTTTGGCACCAGAGTCAGCCTCAATCCTTTTTAGAGTGGTTCCACGAGGACCTACACATTTCCGCAATCAACATGGGCGCCCCACAAACAATATATCAAGAATGAATCCTTACCAATGAGCTGTCCAATAAAGTTGATCTCTGGGTAATCCCTAACAGGAATGTACAATTTATCAGAGACCTTTGTCGGCCTCTTGTAGTCCGCCGGAGGCTTGAAACCTGGGATCTTTCTGAGACCCTCCTCCACAAGCTTGTGCCGCTCATCTTCGAGCTTTTTACGGTACCGATACTCTCGAGTGTTGATACGCTTGCCGTCGGCGCCGTAAATAGGCTCGGGAGACGGCGACCTAAGGGTAACGTAACAAGTGATCAGTAGCCAGATTTTACAAAGTGTCACCACGCAGAAACAAATTCTACCTTTCGGATTCAGGAGGAACATAGTCTCCGACCCTCAGCTTGCGGTTTATTTCCTCAAGCCTCATGTGGATAACATATCCATCAAGTTGTTCGGGACTTAGTCCCGTAGGCAAAACGGTCGGCATGCCCGGAATATTGATCTTGTTATCCGTTTCGCCCCATCGAGAGCGGCGCTTGCGCGGTCTACCTTCCCTGCCTTCAAAGAGGAGAAAGCGAATATGCATTGGATGGATTGATGTGAGGTGACGATGCCGCGGTTAGGAAGGAACATGTTAGAAAGGTAAGAGTTACACGATGGGGTTAGTTATCATTAGCGGTAAGTACAAGTCTGGGATGAGCACAAGCTAATATCCCGATACACGGACCAGACCACAGAAAGCAACGCAATGCCAAGTGTCCGCAAAAAGTCCAGCCGCTTCGTCGGCCCATTTATTAAGCTCAGCAAAATCACAGAAACAATCCGGTAACCCCAGCAGTTGAGTAATTTCAAAACCCAGAGCAAAGCACATTCCCATGTACACGCAGCACTCTGCTCTCCTTTCAAAGCCAGGACAAGGAAGCTAGCGGTCAAGGAAACAAATGGTAACATTGTCACCTCATCTTTACCTTCGTCGCTTGCCGATCCGTTGCGAGCCGAAGATCCGTTCGACGTCAGCAGCTTGGGAGCATCTGCCGACGGTGGCGGAGGCGGAGGATGATCGTCATCATCATAGCGCTTTCTCCGCGTCCCTAGCGGGCTGTTGTTTGTGCCCGTGGTGCGATTTCCGTACATTTTGGCAACTCTTTGAGCCAATGAATCCTGTGCTTGTTAGGATATTAATAGATCTTGGTGACTGCGTCTAGCGCCAACAAAGAAGGCTCGTCAGCATGCACGGATGAGATCTAACGTTCGTGGGAATAAAAAGCTGCGGATGTGCCTGGAAACTGCGCATTTCCCATTTCCAGTTTGAGCACATGACCTGCTGCGCCATGTCACTCATGATTGGCTGCAGCCGCCCACTAATGGCCAATACCCAAATAATTGGTAACTGAGCTGGTGGTGGTAAAACCAAAGTGCGTCCCCCCACCCGTTTTTGACAAGCTTTTTTTCTCAAGGTCTCGACTTGTGTGAATACGCATGTTCAAAACAGAAGCGCAATCTAGACCCAAACGTGTTAAAAGGACATTCCGGTATCTTTTGCTGAAAGCAGCCTACGGGTGGCAATAGATAGTGCAAAGCCGTCGGGGATTTAAAGGGAAGATCCCCCGTGCTTGCGATGAGCAGCCGAGTGTTGCATACACAAAATGACACAAATGAATACGTTAAAGCCGCAATGGAGAGCGCAGCCCAAGAGGAAATCGGATCAGCCGTGATTCCGGGCTCCGAGGGCTTGGAATACAAATGTCTCCCACAGTATATCCGACAATGCGGAACAGTACCCAGCTAAAGGCCTAGAACATGTATCACTCGCTTTTTCTCCAAACAGCGAGTTTCAAAATAACACTTGTTTAAACTCGTCGCTTTTATGCTTGCTCCCCCCCAACATCTCTTCCCAACAAAGTCTTTTCAAATCCACCTTTTGTTAACGACCGCATTTGAGCGATTTCCATTCTTTTGTTCGGCCGGAATAAGCGGAATTCATGATTTCCCCGCAAAGGCCAACGTATCGCTATTTCCCGTTTCCTGTACGACGGACAAAGCTATCGTTCATGCAAACGGACGTATCTCGCGACATTGACTGGAAACAGTTTCGAATAGCCGTAGTGGATGACAATGACATGTAGGTTGCGTTCAAGAGAACTAGTGAGGATACCTTTGCTCACACCGCTATGGTTGAACGTGCACAGCAACCAAAAGATTATCTGCAAACTATTGAAAAAGTTTCTGGACGTGGACATAAAAGCGGCAGATATCTTTGAAAACGGCCAGCTATGCCTCAATGCCATGGCCCAGCATCGGTACGATTTGGTCCTTCTCGATATTGGTAGGTGGTCCTGTGTCAATTAGCATGTACCAGAGCTGAAAAGTCTCATCATGGCACGCATCTTGGTTTATATAGAAATGCCAGTATTGGACGGATGCGAAACTGCTCTGCGAATCCGAAGCGGTCTACCTTCACCACCCCTCTCGACCCTCTCCAGTGCCCCCGAAAACCCCTCACCAACCTCGCCCTCATCACCCACATCCCCTTTCAACACCGACTCTGACACTGAATCACCAGCAGTGCTCAAAGATAACCGCGACATACCCATTGTAGTTGTCACATGCAACGCCATGGATCATCAACGACGACACTATCTGTCCCTGGGGGTGAATGCGGTTGTAGCAAAACCTCTACATCCAGAATTGTTTATCACGACTGTAAAAGCGCATTTAGCGGCATTTGCTGCAAGAGCGCCAAAGGAGGCTGTAGAAATGTGTCAAAGCGACGCCCAACTTTCACGATTACCCGATCCGCAAAACCGGTCCCAGGAAGGTGCCAGGGACAGTAACACACCAGGAGACGGTGGCTTATCAACCAAGACGAAATCACGGATGCTGCGCATACTCGAGTCGGTCTTGCAGGCGGATGGATTGGAAAGAGCGGGAAGCGCGTCTCGCCCAAAAGCTAATCAAGGCAATCACGAGGGTGTAAAGGGCTGATGCCTGCGCCCTGTTTGCAAGATGACAGTATCCCCCTTGTATCCCTTGATCTTTTTTATGTACATAACGCCCATTTTGTATGATATGCCTGATAGACAAAATAAATAGAAGGTCCCAAAAAGATTATGATGGCCGTGCAGTGTCGATAGCCATTTTAAAATGCTGTTTCGTGTGTTGTTCCGCTCAGCACACAAAAGAGTGGATGATAAAAGCACCAAAAAAACTCTGCAAAAAAACTCATCTGGGGGCGTAAAAAGGGCTGGAATGCAGAAAAACGATCTGGAATCGATCTGTAGCACAGTGCTACTACTTTCGGCAATTTGGCGGAGATATTTCCCACTCGGTCTTTGGCGAGTCGTGAAAATTGTCTCCCAGATTGGGAACCAAAAGACCGGATCTTATTACCAGTATTTCGGGACAAGGTCGTGGGCTGAGTGTGAAATTTCAGGTCTTTGCAGGCGACTTGCCCTTCAAGGGGGACAATGATTGAACAAGGACATGCTTCAAATTGAACAGGCGTGTTTGAACGTGGGCTGCGTGACGTCATCCAAGGGCAAAAGGAAACTTTCCAACAGATTGCATATTGATCTCCTTTCAATCACGCATCAGGGCCTACATAATTCTTTGCAGCATCCCAATAATGTACCGCTCTCATCTTTTCCAGGTACTCTTTGATCCTTGCCTCTGTAGGGAGAGGCTTGAATCGAAAAAACTTGAACAGCCGATCTTTAATCTCGCCTTCCCACACCAATACACATTGATTCGGAGCTTTGGGACCGGTAGACGACGCCTCTTCAGCACCATCCTCTTCACCCTTTTTCTCATTCGTCCAGTCGATTCTGCGAAGCATTAGCTTTTTATATGCCTTAATTCCCTTGGGTCCCCCTTCAACAATCACCACATTCAGCCCAGAATACAAAATGGCAACTCCGGTCAGATTGTGCTGCTGCGCATTCATGTCCACCTTGAACTTATGCTGCGGATGACTAAGATCGTTGATTCTAAACACTGCAACTTCGACTAGGTTGCTGGTGTCTTCTCGCAACTTTTTACGCTTTTTCTCCTTCCGTTGCTCATCAGTCAGCTTTCCGGCTGCATTCATGTCCTTGTGCTTCTTAAGCCGAGCGGCCATTTGCGCCCGTACTGCTGCCTCCACCTTGGTGGGATCTTGAACAGCTTCCGTACCCAGTACCATCATCAGATTCGAGATCTTCACCTTGTTTTGTTCTGGTGGTAGCAGGCCTAAACGAATTTTATCCCGCTTCTCCTTTTGTGCCTCCTGACGGCGCTGACGACGCAACTTCTTTCGCTCCTAAGGCACGAAACACCACAAGTTGGTTAGACGTGCGCTAGACTCACCAAGGAACAGTTCTCTTGAGACGCCCACCTTTGTCGTTAACATAAGAGGCTTCAATTTGGGGTCCCCGGGTTCTGCCGGCGGCTGAATGGGTATTGGATGTTGAACGTAGTTTGTCACGATTGACGTTTCAGACATCAAAACCGCATCCGCATCGAAATTTTCGTAGCCGTCAGGTACAAGTGGTGCGTCCCACCATTCCACGGCTGGTGGTGGTTCTTTCTACATTGCACACAATAGCGTCAGACCAACCCAACACCATCGATGACTTTGGTCCCCCGTCACTTACTCGCATCCCTTGCTCGGCAACAAGATCCAATTCCACATCCATTCCTGTCTTTCTTACAGACTCGGCAATATCTTGCTTCAATTTCTCCAATTGAGCCTATTTTGACGACACATTAGCTGGTGTAAAGCATATACAATTCAAATGCAGATAGAATACCTTGGCGCGCAATTGATTTGCCTCATTTACAAACCGGCCAGGCTGCACAAACTTGAAGCCCTTGCGAATTCTCGGCCGCGGTCCGAGCTTTGTACCCAACTTTGGATCATAGTACGGATTCTTTGTTGGGTCTGCAAAGTCAGCAGAAACCTGTTCAATCTTCATTTCCTTCTTGGCAGGCTCTTTGGGCTGCGCGATACGCTGGTTCGCCTTGACCGTAGCAAAATCAGCCTTGGGAATGAGAGCTCTCGCTCCACCTTTAATGTTCAGTTGCCCGCTTCCGTCCACCATAAGAGCTGGATGATATGCCATGTTTAGACCACGTTTTTCTTTATCTCCTGGAAGAATTGGAGCCGCCTTTGGAGGGTGAGAATTCACGTAAGAACACAGTTCATTGTGCCTGAGAGCGGCTAGTTGCCTCCACCTACCAGTAAACTGGGGTTCGCTTGCAAGGACTGCCGGATTCGTTGTTTAGCTTCATCAATTCGCCGTTGCATTTCGTCTTGGCGGGATAACGCGGGAGGACTGGGAGCAGCTGGACTGCTCGGTGCTGGGCTCCCAGTTGGTAGCAAACCTTGTTTGCGCATTGCAGCCATTTTCTCTTGAATCTCCCGAGCTCTCGCTGCCACCTCAGCCTTCACCTGTTACAAGGTCGTCAGCACCATAATGGCCTGGAACGGCAGTTAACTTCGCACCAACCTTATCAGCATCGAATACCGCATTGCCCTCACTCTTTGACTTCTTCGCTTCACGCCCTTCATTCCCTCCATCCTCAAGGTGCCTCCGTTTCAACGAGTCGCTCGACGACATTAGATGTCCGTCCCAAGACGTCAACGCTGTGCGATCTGATGAACGACAGGGTCCTTCAAAACATTGACGATTTCCTTTGTCCCTCAGGAGTGCTGAGCCATCCTAATCTGGCGCAGTCACTAACGCGATTGAGTCCGCAGCGGGCTGAGGTCAGTAAATAAGCGTTGCGTTCATACGCCAGAGTAGTCGCCACCCGAAAAACTCAAATCACAACAAGCAAGATGGTGAAGCTAACGTCAAGCGACGGTCAAGAAGTTACCGTACCAAAGGAAATTGCATGCCAATCTATTCTTATCAAGAATATGTTGGAGGACGTTGGGGAGGATGATGACCAGCCGGTGCCTTTGCCAAATGTCTCAGGACCAATTCTCCAAAAAGGTGGGTGGAAACGAGTATATTGGAATTTTGGATGCCTTGGGCCCACGCTTCATGCTGCACGGAACGCTTTAATGTACGGCCTACACGGGGTTAGGTTGGTGAAAATCATGAACTAGTGGTGTCAAATTTGAGGAATACGTCCGTTTGCTTGGGACAATCGCTGGCGGATCCTTTGCGCGCGTCGAGCTTGTTCAGATTCTGTGTCCTTGTGCTGTCCTCAAACGTTCAAACCGAGACATTACATTGATTGTTGTCTCGTCCCATAGTAATTGAATACGCAACCCACCACAAGGACGACCCACCGTTGCCTCCAGAGGAGGAGATGAAACCGAAGTCCTCTGAAGATATTGACGAATGGGACCGCGAATTCACAAATGTCGATCAAGGCACCTTGTTTGAACTAATTCTTGCAGCAAACTATCTCGATATGAAGGGTTTACTCGATTTGGGCTGTAAGACTGTTGCGAACATGATTAAGGGAAAGTCAGTTGAGGAGATTCGCAAGGTACGTGTCCAAGTAGGCTTACTACGCATTGAACGCCAATACGCGGCATTTTTGTCGCCGGTGGACGAGATGACCTTGCTAACAATTATCTCGGACATTAGACGTTCAACATTGTTAACGATTTCACACCAGAGGAGGAGGAGCAGATTCGTAAGGTGTGTCAACGGGTCGCTTTTCATCTCATATGCAAGCAAAGAATGTAACCAGTGCTTTCAGGAAAACGAATGGTGTGAGGACCGCTAAAGTTGGGCATGACCAATGTCGAATTGATCATAGTGGAGTGGAAGTGAAGGACACTGTGAAATATCAGATCGATCTCAAAATCCGAGTAACTAGGAGAGGCTAGTGCCATGCGGAGCAAGTTCTCGTAATTATATTTTTCGCCGAAATGCTACATTTGCGTGCAGTGGTGCGTCAGGTTACAGTAGAATCCTGTCAGTAACAATTGAATATTTTCTTTTGGTTGTACCGAACCATTCCGCCATGTTGCCAGTTATACAAGCAATATCAATGCTTGATGAGATGGCTTTTTGACGCATCATTTGAGGATTCCTCCCAAAGGAGCAATAGAACTAGTCGCTCCATGATGAGGTTCCCTGCAGTGGTTAAGGATCATATCATGATCGCATGACGCTCCAGTAGACTATACGCTTCTCCACAAAGTCCACAGGACAATCTCAGAAAAAGACGGCATTGTGTGGGAACCTCATCCTACCAATGTTGTTAACTTAGACTATATTGTCAAATAATACAGTCGCGTAACCTCTTCTTTATTTCCAAATCCAACTGTGTCGGTATATGAGAATATCTATCATGACGGTGATTATTTGTACAAGGGCTTCTCCTTGAGATGAATGGGCGTTTGTCCCTCTGGTGTATCCGGAATAGTCTTCGTAAGACCCTAAAGCGAGACAGATAGTGTAAGAAAACAAGTTACAATACGCCGGGAGAGATCCTACACGCCCGGGTGTACTTACCAGCTTTTTGAATACACAATCGTTAAATTCCCGTTCCTCCTTGCGGCATTGGAAAAGTTGATGGTTGTTCACATCCAAGCATTCCCAGTGCCGTGTCCATTCCTTGTCACAGTTTTCCTTCAGTTTTCGGATCCTGCCCAGCAGACAATCAGAACAATCCTCAAAATAACAGAAAGAAACCGCAAGGACTCCATCGTGTTCTCCCTTGTTATACATACAAGTCCAACGCACAACGAGTAACCTTCCGCCCCTCCTTCAAACAATGGCGAGGATCTTGGGACTCGTTTTTACATAACATGTAATCTTCCGAGTAAGCCTTGCAGTAGCTAGCAAAGTGAAACGACATGGACTCCAATGGCGCGGACGTACAGCCGACTTCAGGTACCGGAGGCGCGACATCGGAAGAGAGACCCTCCTTCTCCACCCAAAGACCCTCAACAAAAACTCCTTCACGATGGGTGGTCATGGCGGGAACGTGCCGAGGGGTTTTTAAAGACAGTCTAGTGAGGAGCGTAAGCAAGTCCTTGACGATGAAAGGGAACCTCTGGGATGACTCATACAGACGTGTTCGTTTCTAAGCAACGGCCATTAGCCAGATCGGACCGCTCGGACACCGCAAGCGTAGCCCCCTCCTGCAAGACCATACCCCCCGCAATTTCACCGTCCATCGAGCAATAATGTCGGCTGAATACTCTGCAAAACTATCGAGTTTTACGTCATGGCGTCCATTTATTTACTCCACCGTGGTTCAGCTTAGCGCTCTCTCTATCATCCGTCGCGGGACGGCGCTGATCTTGCCCAGAGCCGCGCCTACCTTTGCTCTGGCGCCAACTACTACCTTTGGATTCGGATACTCTGCTGAAAAGGTCTACGGAATTCTGGATACTTTGGGCGGTTTTGGAAGGACGTTCTTTACTGTTCTTGTGTTGGTCAACTTTGCGTACGTATGATGATCTATCCAAACGCGACCGTCAATGTGCAATAACTGAACCTTTCTCACTAGTCTTATCCTCGCAACTGCTTTTAACCTTTCTATCCTCACCACCCTTGGGTTGAAGGCTTCTGGCCTGTCAAAATCGCCTGCATCGCAATTGAATTTACTTCCATTTGCCGCGGCCGCGTTGCACGCTTTGGAGAACATTGTATTTCTTGCTGTTGCCGCGTCTCCGGGTCGTAGCGATCTGCTAGCTGGTCTGGCGGGTACGGTAGCCGTAGCACGAGACTTGGTGGGTACAGTAGCACTTGGAGTGGTGGTTGTTACACTGCCTGTATTCCTCGCTGGCTGGGCCAAGAGTATTGGACGCGATGGAAGGCAGAGAGTGCCAATTGTGAAGAAAACCCATTGATAATCGAGACATTCATGCTATTGAATGGCGGTGGAGACAACTAATTGGGATGATAGGCGGAATGTATCGAGTGTACACTAGACTGTGTATTTAATCAAAATAATGTAGTTCTGCCATTGTCAAGGTGTTGTTGTGCTTTTATACAGTATCATGGTCCCACAACACTTGTGGTGACATAGCGATGACGAGAAGACTGATTAACTCAGTTGCGCTTTCGCTTCATCCCGTACTAGTAACCTATATACGCATGGTATCTAACTCTACATCTATACACGGGGAATCTTCCAAAATTGGCAGAGTGTCCACAGCTATTAATTGGCGTCCAATGGACCTACACCATAAACCTGCATAATACTAAGAACGCCAAGGTGAGTACCAGTAATCTCCCGACAAAAATATCTGGAATACTGAATATACCTGGGTAGCACCGAGTTTGCCTTTAAAAGCATTTCCGCAAATTCCTCCTCTGGATCCGAGAGAGCCACAATGGCACCCCCTGCGCCCACCGACACATCTGGCGTGGATAGAGTCAGGATTCTGTATTCCGAACGGCTCTTAGGTGATCAAAATACGTTACCATTTCCGCTAAACACTGCTGTTCGAATGACCACACTGAATTCGGCCGCGCCGTTAAGTGAAAAGTAGCCAAGAACTCCCGAATATGGACCACGAGGGGTGCCCTCCAATGATTCCAGGATCTCTACAGTACGCAGTTTGGGAGCACCGGTCATCGATCCTGGGGGGCCACAAGTTACACACAATCACAGCGGAAGCTCAACGAAATGTACGAACCTGGAGGAAAGGAATGCATAACTGCGTCAACAGCATTTAGGTCATGTCGGAGCTGTCCTTGTACGGTTGTCACCAGCTGATGCACGGTGGCATATGTTTCCACCTTCATCAATGCAGGAACACAGACACTTCTTGGCTCGGATATAAGATTTAAGTCATTTCTAATCAGGTCAACGATCTACAGCGAGAAGATGTTGGAAAGAATCGATGCTCGTTGGATTGTATACAAAGTGGACGTACCATCAAGTTCTCTGCTCTGTTCTTCTCATCCGATTCTAGCGCACGACGTCGCCGTTCATCCTCCTCCCGTACTTCCTCATCGGTCTCGCCGTTCACTTTGGTCGCACGGGGTACTGTTCCTTTGATAGGTTTCATGCTCATCAAGCCATCCTTTTCAATCCGCAAAAATCGCTCTGGAGACGAACTAGCCAAAGCCAACCCTGATCCGAATCGCAAAAATGCTCCATATGGGGCAGGGTTACGTTTTCGCAGGTGCGTATACATCTTAAATGGATCCGACGAGGTTTCCGGTATCCGTGTGCTGATTTTTGTGGTTAGGCATACTTCGTATGTCTCACCGTCGGTGATCTTATTCAAAGCTGCGTGGATGTTCGAGATGTATTGTTTTCTATCATGGGCAAGCTGAAGTCGATACAGCGCTGGGCCAGATCGATGTGCTGATGATGATCGCCGTCGCAAATGTTTATCTGCAGCAGTTGGCTTCATTACTGGTGAAGACGGCGTTGAGCCGCTCAGGACCGAATGTTGCAACAATGCCCCGGTCCGGAGAGAGGGTGTTTGTACAGACAAGGTACTGCTCAGTTGGATTTCGGTGAGTCTTATTATGGTATGGTCCATCCAATCCCTTAGTTCTTTGGCAGAGTCGGCGCTACTATCACGAACTCCCATAAGGTACATCGATTTCTCAACATGATCGAAGACAATCACTTGATCAGCAAAGATAAACGCGGAATCCGGTAGTGAACCAACATCGCCGTTTCGACAAGGTCCACCCGTGTTTGGCAGCTCAGCAAAGAAGGATCTACCGCCAGTTTGTAAGCTTTCTTCTTTCATCTCATAGCCGAAGAACCCCACCATTCCGCACGTGAAGTTGAACGGTGGTGCTTCTTCTCCTTCCTCAAGTATGATACGCGTTGATCCAAGTCCACGAGACTGCAAGCAACGGGACATCCATGTGAAAAAACTTTCCTCTGGTTTAAGAGTGACTGTTTCTGTAATTGCAATTTGCGGCCGTGTGCCGGGCTTCTGTTTATCAGGGCGAGAAACTGTGACAGTTCGCCATTTTGCCGAGTATCTGACGCAGAAGCTGAAAAGCATAAACATTGGTTATCAGGCGAAGCTTTCTCTTTGCGGTATAACACAAACTCTCAACCTTAAAGAGCTAGAAACGCATCCCATCACGGAAAATCTGCTCAATTTCTGCTCAATCTATTTTCGTCCATTTAGCATCACTTACACAACAACAAAAGACCTGAGTTTAACCGCACCTTTGCGGAATCCAACCAGAAGCTGACATCCTCTTGCGAATACAGATGTTCAAACACTTCCTCGGTATCCATGTACACATCTGCAAGTCTTCGGACGCATACTTCGGTGTTGGATATACTGCAATCAGTCACATTCGGACAGATGAGCGCATCAGGTATGACAGATACTGCTTTCACTTCTGGAGGTAATGGCGGTCTCAATTCAATCGGATGACGCTAGAATGATCTTTGTAAGTCACATTGTTTTCAAGCGACCAGAAGCAGCAACAATTTACCTTCGCTAGTATTTCAACAGCGAGCTTGCGAAAATTTCCAATAATCGATCTGCCTCCTTCCGTGCATATGGACTGAAGAGGAGCGATTTGGTCAAATCTTGCATAGGTTTCCGTTGCATCTCGCGTCTTACCTCAGGATGAAATTGCACACCCCAGATTGGTTTGTCAACATGCTCAAGTGCCTGAATGATGTCTTCACCCTGTGGGTCCGGAGTCCACGCGGTCACCTTCAAGCAGCAGGGTAGATCTGCGGATCTATGTTTGATCAGACGCATTCAATCTGAAAGCTAACGGTGCTGTCTCACCGTTGTTTGCTACAATCAATGAATGGTATCGCACGGCTTGAAACGGAGTCGGAAGCCCGTCGAACAATCCCACCGACTGGGTAGCTGGCTTCACCTCGTGAAATACTGGACTCAATCGACCATGTATAGCTTCGCGAGCGTGGGTCACCTAGCGTTACAACCGGTAAGAGCAAGGTCCAACGTGTTAAGAAACGAACCTTGAATATTCCTAGGTCACATACCTTCCCCCCGAACACTGTTGCCATTCCTTGGTGCCCGAGGCAAACGCCAAGAATTGGTATTGAAGCTTCTTTCAGGAGTCGTCCACATATCCCAAAGTCCTAGAGGGTTCGAAACGGGTTGATTGGCAACCATTATCATTGGGAGATAATATATTCTGCACTTACGCCTTCCCGCTCTGGTCGTCCCGGTCCAGGTGAAATTACCACACAATCAAAATGAGGTAGAATCTTATCCCTGACTTCTTCCCTTTGTAATTCGAATAGGTCACTCAACTGATCTCATCGCACTTGAATGCTATGCATGATCTAGGGAAGGTCTGTGACTTGTACTTACCAGGAAAACTGGTTATTCCTAATGACGACCGGCAATTCCCCAGACTCCCCACAGCAGTATTGAAATAAGTTGAAAGTGTAAGAGTCATAATTGTCTACTATTAGCGTTCGTAGTTCAATGTTGTCCATGCTGTCTTCAATAGTTGGAGTAGCTCCTCCTAAAATGTCGAGGACTGCACGCCCGATCTCGGTGTAGATCTGGCCCAAAAGCCCAAAAGTTGGGTCGAACTTTCGCAACTAAGCCACGGGCATTTCAGCTCTGTGATGACATAATCCAAATAACTTTTTCAGAACCAAGTCGGAGAAAAAGGTGTCTACTTCGGTGAGATATGTCAAAGTGCGTTCATCTATTACAATAACAAGGATATTACACTACGGAACACTAACAAAAAACCTGAGAGGACCGATCGCAACAGCCATTGCCTTCGGTCCTCCCAACCATAATACAATGTACAATTAGAATGTGGAAACAGACGAGTGAAATCAAGCAGTCTTCCCATACGAATCGAAAGGAGATAGTAATCAAAAATATCAAAGTGGCAGGCATGATCTTAATGCTTCTTCAAGTCCCTACTGTTCAGTGAGCCTTGCGAGGTTGCCGCCCGTGTGGGACACCGGGCTCCTTTTCCTTCCCGAGTTCGCAACTCCCGCGGCTCCGGAGCTGGTTCTGTACTTGTCTTCAAGCTTCTATTCCTTCGCTTAAGACTTGCGGCGCTAGGCTCGCCACCAGTTGAGCTTCCAGTGGACTGCACAGATGTGCCCGAGTCCGAATCCGACTCACGGCGGGATGGCGGAACGAGGATATTACCAACAGCGCGAACTTGTACTTCTCCAAACCAATCTATTCGTAGGACGAGCCCAGGTTCGGTATCTGCAGCATCCCGCGAAACCGCGCGCATGGGAATGGCAGGTTTGCGCTTCGAGCGGCAGTCTTGGGCATGGAGTCGGGCTTCTTTCCGCAGCGAGCGAGTATCAGGGACTTTGACCGGAGATTTGCTGGCTGATGTACTTTTGCTCTTTCTTGTTGCTTTTGCCATGTTCGTGAATATGAGGTGGCAAGGGGGGGTGCGGGGAAAGGACGAGGGAAGGTAGTCGCAGAGCGGAAATTTCAATTCCAAAGTGAGAAAGCGCGGCACACAGAAAATAGTCACGGCACACTATGGTTTAGCAGCGTTGCTTTGAGTGTTTTGCGGATTGAGCGTGACAACGAAAGGTCTATGGCCGTCGTCTGTCTTGGACCAAATACCACAAGAGAAAAACAAGGTTCCGCGTTCTTGACCTCGAAGGCGTCATGTGATGAGCAAAGCCACAGAGCTTATGGCATCAAATTCCTTCTCCAGTTTAAAGATACTTTAATTAAGGTCCTTGGGTGCCAATCTGATCTGAAAATACCATTTGGCCAGTGCTAATATATTTTAAGCTGGTAATGTGATGATGGACGCAATGACATCCAAAGTCTGTAAATAATATATTACAAAATTGTACATGGTTTTCCCACATCACCGAGTTATATCAGTGACTTATATCTGTACAAGGTCCTGCAAGCGCAACTAATAAAATCTGAACAGTGTAGTTCCATTCATCATAATATCCTCCTGATTTCGCCGCATTCCTATTCAAAGGTTCACGCAGTAGCAAAAGGACGGGTTTCCCGGGATTTCCAGAACATAAAAGCGGTAAGAGCAATGATGACGTCCATAGTTGCTAGTAAGGCGCTCGGAGAATCGGATACGGCGGCCTGAATCTCGTGTCGGTGTAATGAATTCGAAGTGTCATATATGATCACAAGAGGTTCGCGTCTCCCATGACGATATAAGTGTTCCGTAATGTTCTGCAATAAAAATGCCAGAGCAATCCGCATAAGCACAATGATCGCTACAGTGCGCTGTATAGGATGAAGCCGTGAGATGACAGTTATCAGATTCAAGGAAAACTGAACGCAAACACCTACTCGCCCTTGTCGCTCGCTGGTAGGTGGTGGGCTGTGCGCGCCCCGCATTGCACCAAATCCGCCGGTATTCCGCTTCTTATGTCCGATATCCCACTCGGATACCGCAAGATGATACAAACACATTGCCAACAATGGCAAATACAAAACATTACTCCAGACCTGCGCGCAGAAATAAATTTAGAATTTGCGGGGATAGGAATTGTAAACAAGGATATACAGCATACCATCCATGATGCAAATAATCCGACAGGAGCAGCCAATTGCAAGTATCGTTGAGCAATCCTCTCATGGCCATGTAGTTTATGACTTAGCAAGGTCTTCAGCGTGTGCATGACGATGTTCTCATCTTGAAGGCGGACAGAATTTTCGAAAAGGTCCTCCAAACCAGTGGTTTGCTGTAGCCAGTCAGTTAGGGAGATACAGTTGGTGAATTCGCATAAGAAGCGCCAAAATCAAACATTTACCTGGAGAGGGAAGAACGTTTGCGGCCTGATCGCTGACGCCATCCTTTCTTCGTCGATATTTGTCGCCTTCATCGACGCCGCGGGTGTTGATGTGATGTGAAATGTGCCAAAGGCTGGTGTGCGCCCCGCATTCCCCTGCTCGTAATGGTTATAGGGCAGCTTTGAGCCCCTCCCAGCAAGAGAATCAAGCCCACAGCCTCTACGCTGACTATCCAGATACAATGTACCATGAGCAGTTGTGCCAAACGAATCCGTTTGCTTTCCATACAGTCCACCGCCGAATCCTAACCCGCCATCTGTTGTAGTTGCGACCATTCCGTGTTTGATAGGCCACGTCCGCTCGTTAAGAAAAGCAGGCGGTGTCTCGAACGTATTCTTTCTCGCATCGACAAATGGATTACTAGGCGCACCGCGACCAAAGGCGCCCAATTCGCCCCAGCCCCCATTCCTCGATTTCAAAATATTGGACGGGCCTACGTACGACGAGAAAATTTCTCTACCCGAATCGCCTTTACCTAGCGTCCTGGAAAGAGGCATTGCTCGTGTCCCTGACCGTTGCTGGGATAAAGTAGGTCTTCCAATTTCCCCGCTTGGCCGCTGCGTAAAACCCTGTCTGGCTGTTCCCAGTCCGAGTCCTGATAGACCCGCCAGGATCTCATCTTCAGGATTTTCGAATTTCCCTGAGCGGCGATCATCATTTAACCCGATCTTGTTATTTCCACCATTGCCCGCTGTAGGGCTTATAAAAGCAATTCGATAGCTGTCTTCCGATACGTCAAGTCCCGAATCCGACCGTTGGAAGGAGCTGGGTTCATGTTGCGGGTCTTGTTTCAAGCTTTGGTGATTGAAAAGGTTCGGTGCGTAGTAACGACGATCTTTTTCAGCGGCCACCGGGGTATCGGCTCGGCAAAGCATTTTGCGACGCAAACGTTCCCGAGGATGTAGGAAACGGTAGACCACTTTGAGCGACCGCCATACTGCCTGAAATTCTTGTGTTACCAGAGGTGATACCACAACATGCCATGAGACTGGACTTACGAAAACACTCAACCACATGTAAGCTCCTGATATCGTTGGATACCATTCCTCACGAAGATATGTGTGCGCAACTTCCAACAACCAATTCGCAAAGAGAACAAGTAGACAGCACATCTGATGCATTAAATCCATTAGCACACCTACACAAATTTGACACTCTCGGAGATAATAATGCTTACCAAACCCTTTCCGTTAATCCATTTTTGTTGCACCTTCAATATAGTCTTCCGACTTCTCTTCAGGTACGCGTCGAATTCTGCAAATATAAAGCAGAATATAGCAGTCTCCGCGACCAGGCGGTATCTGCTACTTGCGAAGGCGTTGAAGCACAATTCCCCAAAATTATCACTTGAATAAACGCATTTTCGAATGGAAGAAGGAAATGCGTCTTGAAGAAGATTGGAAATTCGCCAATCATCGTAGGACTTCGTGAATGCATTTCCGTACTGATGCTGCATACGAAAGACTTCGTATGGACGCAGAAAGCCATTCAATCCTGGTAGAAGGGTGATGAGCTTTTCGCGCGCGAACTCAAGTGATGCGGAGTGTACCTTCAGCGGAGCCCTCATAGAAGAGTCGTGCCCAAGATGCCAGAGAGAACCATCCAATAGCGGCTACACTTATCATAAACGTGACGCCGACTGCATTCGTGATGAGAATCGCTGATCGGAGTGCTGCAGACCGTAAAACATTCCGAACCGTAAGATGCGTTTTCCTTCGCCGATCGACAGCTGCGGTGGTTTTATTCTTCATATATGCACCAAACGTCTGTCTATGGCGGTTCTCCAGCTTCACCAGTTCATTATCTACGCGCCCGCGACAGAGAGCACAAACCATCGGATATCTCCGGTCCAGCCATTGCTTGTATTCAGCATAGTTGGCAAGTTTGGCTTGATATTCCGGATCGTCGTCCTCCGGGAGATAGTTAGATAAAGTATTAATGATCATTGTCTGCCGTCTGCTGCAGTCAGGACAGAAAATGGAATCTGATTTTATGGCATTTCTTTGCCATTGCGCCGCTGATCACGAAAAAGGAACATTAGTGTTGGTCCTTTGCATCATCATAGGTAAGTAACTTATATAAGCGCACCTTCCACGGTTCCCGTGCGAGAATTGAAGCTTTCGTCCCGCATTTCTGGCAGTGCAGAAGCGATATCCCCATTCTGCAATTTCGTTGGACACTTTGAGTCAGAGGACTACTCAAAATCCTTTCTCCCATTTACCTTATCGTAGATATTCCAGCAATCGCATAATCGGCAGAACCACTTTTCAACATTTCCATCTCTATCAAACAAAGGTATCATCTTGCCTGGGTCTCTGCGTAAGCTTGGGGGCGAGTCGGGAGGTATAATGGGTTTCCCGCGAGCTTTCGGCCCGGGGAGTGTCGACGTTTCACCGCAGTAAAAGCACGTCAGGTGGACAAGCCGACCTGCATGGTCTCGTAGCATACGATCAAAACGTGTGAGACTATCGTGATAGAAAAAAAAAGATCGCCGTCAGTTTTCATTGTCAAGTAAGACAGTATAGTTGCAGCTATAGTGGCATTGCGACTATCTTGATCCCCTTAACCAGCTTATTCTCTATAATTAAAGCCGTACAGACTGCCTAACTCACCCGAATTTGAAGGCAATAAATGCCACCGTGAGGGTGATCAAGGACGAGATCCATCCATAACTCATGTTGCCGAAGCCAAAGAGGGAAGCGGACGCAGGCACAATGCCGTCAGCACAGCGAGGTGACTATGACTGGCCAAATCAGGAACGTGGATTTTCGCAATAAAAGTTGAAGGGACGTAAAAGAAGGTTGAGAAAGTACAGATGCCCAGATCTAGAGGTTGATCGTTGAGGGTATTACGTAGGCAAGGAAAACCCTCCAGTGGCTGCTACTGGTATTGCAAAACACGTGATTCAGATCCGCTTCAAGGCTTGAGGATTCAGTTGCCAGATTTCCATTGGCGATCTCTGTGGAAATGGGTTATGTTGAGCTGTGGGACGAATATCAGGAGGCTGTAGAGCAGCTTTACCTGAGCTCTCCCTTTAAGGTATCAAGATGGTTGGGAAAGTTCGGCAATCGCTGATTGTGCAGTTTTTCTCAACTTTCGTGATTCTATTGCAGACTCGTTACGTTTCCAAATATCGGCATAAGGACGGAAAGCTGGTGCTGAAGGTCACAGATGGCCCAACGGTGAGAGTGGGCATTTGATCCTTGAGATTGAAAGTATTCCTGACCTCCCCTTTTCGCCCTGTCCGATCCAGTGTCTGAAATTCAGAACCGACCGCCTGCCTGATTTGAAGAAATTTGAACGCTTGAACTTATCATTAATGGAAAAAATGCAAGGAAGAAAGAAGCTGGATGCTATGGAAACTGATGGTAGGATCAATCTTATTTATTATGTCGTAGCCTGTCACTCATATCTATCAACAGTACCAGAAGTCTTGACGGCAACGTCGCCTAACGATACACCGGTGCAAAGTCCACCAGCGCCAGCTGGGAGAAAGGGCAAGGGGAAAAAGAAAAACCGCTGAGAATTCCACTTCAACGGATTTAGTGGTGCGGCCTGATCGACGTGCTCTTCACTGCGGTGCGTGGCCTAGGACACGATTTTTTGCGGGCGTGGTAGCTTCGTGGCTTTAGGGATGTCCTAAACCGCATGATGGGCCCATCCTTGACAGCATCTTATACTGCGTCCCTTATACATCCGGCTTATGGCGAGTCAGGTTGGTCGGGAAAGATGTGAGACAGCAGCTATTCATATCTGACACTTCTTGTCGGGCAAGCGGTATATCATAATTAGGCTTCTCACGTACAAATAAATAAATATTCACAAAACTTCACTATCAGGCACCGATTGCCTTATATCTACCGCTAACTCTATGTGACATAGACGCTTATCTTCACCTCCGTCCACCATTTACTGTGACCGTCGTCTTGTCGCCGTGACATCCTTCTAGATCCCGTCTCTTTCCCTTCTCGGAAAGTTTGGTTTTCAAAGCAAGTAGCATCCATGTGGCCAACAACATTATGAGCACGACGAAGCCAAGAGTGGAGAACATTACGACCATGATCGAACGCGCCAGTGCGATGCGATACTCGGTAACCGGACCGGAGCAGGATGTGCTCGCCATGCAAAGCTTGGACAGTACTTGAGCTTCATTAGGATCCACAGTCGGGTAATCAGACGCAGATGCGCCCTCCTCCCACCCACAGCAACGGAACTCCCGCATAATGGTGCCTTTCGTGTCGTTCGTTGCACCTTTCCACATTTGGTCTGCCATACTGGTGGCAAAAGATGCGTCCATTTCTCGCATTGCTAGGTGGCCTAAAAGACCGTAGACTCCACAAAGAAGCAACAAGCTGCATATGAAAATCTTGAGGCATCCAGGGGAAAGACGGTATAGCCCACAACAACCGAGGAGGCCAGTACCGAGAAGTAGCGGGCACAAAATTGCGATGCCTGGATGTAGCGGGATTAGATTGCTGTAAGCGGCGCATAGCGTACGAACGGTAGAAACCTATTAGAAGTTCTATCGGGAAAACTTCAGTCTTCGGGAAGGGTGAAGTGTTCAGGAAGAGCATATATGCCAGTATCCCGGCCGCAAACGCCAGAACAATGAGCAGAAAATTGGCTGAAATCAGTAGAAGACGGGGTATGCGGATCATCATGAGGCAGATAGTGGGAACAGCTGGGAAAAGGTTGCTGTGGTAGGATCTTCAGCAGCGAAAACGAGAAACGCGCAAAGGACGCGCCGAGCCCCATTAGGTAAGCGTCCCTTTTCTGGCACAAATTAAATCATTGGATTATGTTGCACATTTGCTGTCAAGGACTTTTAGCTACCAGGCCGTGGTGATCCGAGTTTGGGCTCAAGGGTTTTCTCCCGTCGTCTCATTGCTCGGAGCAAAATGCCCCCCAAAGTACGAAAGTATAAGAAGGATCCTGCTCTGGACGCATTCATGGAGTCAGAAGCGGGTGTCCAGGTACAATTTCGGAGGACGATCCTAAGACGACAAAATTTTTTGGGAATTCTAAAGCCGATCTCTCCGAATTTATGATTTTTAGTTGTTCACTGCTTTGACAAAATGTGCCGACGGCATTCGCGAGCTAGCGGAGTTTGTTCAGACTGTCCTTCCGCAACACATAGCACCACCCGTTGTCTCGCTGGCTGAAGACGGAAAGAAAAAGAAACGGCAGAAGAAGGAACGAGATCCTGACGCGCCGAAAAGACCGAATTCGCCTTTCCTGACGTTTTCAAAGGATGTAAGGGCAAAAGTGATTGCTGCTAATCCGGAGCTGAAGGGTGCCAAAGTCCAGGAAGCGATTGGACAGATGTGGCGAGCACTGGATGAAACCGAAAAGCGAGTAAGTGTTCTCACAGCAGCACCGAGGTATATTCTTGGGACGAAAAATCCTAAACCTATTGGGCATTGCAGCGCTATATAGAGAACAGCGCAGTGGCACGTGAAGAATACAAACAGTTAACAGGGGAGCGAGCTATTGCCCCGACGACCGCTGCAAAGAAATTAGCCCCTCTTCCTGTGACACAGGAAGACAGTTCCGAGGCAGAATCTGAAGAAGAAGAAGATTCTGATGAAGAGGAAGAAGAAGAGGAGGAGGACGTTGTGGCAGCTGGTGCAGAGCTCAAGCTTCCCTCTACTTCCAAGTTAGCCAATGGAAAGCAAAAGACAACGAAAGCCAAAGTAGTTCCCAAGAAGAATGTTGTCAAGGCAGAGCCGACACCACCTGCTCCCATTGCTCCCGCAAAAGCTAAGGATGCGACTCCAAGTAAAAAGAAGAAGGAGGCCAATGCAAACGGAACACCAGTGACCAAAGGTGCCACCCCGGCCACTCCAAACACGAGCACACCGAATAGCAAGAAACGTAAGGCGGAAGCCCAAGTACCACAGACCCCTGTGGACACGGCCGCTGCAGGTGAAGCGAAAAAGAAGAGAAGGGCCAAGAAGAAAAAGAGTATCTCTGAACCTGAAGCGATCACGCAACCCGTAGCTCCTTCGCCAAAGAAGAAGCCAAAGCCAGCCAAAGCGAACGTCTGAGACCCTCTGTGGATTCTGAACATCTGTCGAGTGGGCAGTGCTAGCTTTTTTTTTGCACATTGCTGTTTAATGCTACTTGTTCTAAGGATAGTATTTGTCGTTCGAACGAAGGTGATTGTAACCACTATAGCATGAATCTACACGCCAGTCCCTATGTACACCTCTACATAAATGCCCCGTCAGATTCTCTCTCAATCTCTTTCAAAACTGCCAAAATTTCCTGCTTGACAGCATCCGGGTATAACCGCCGCAGGTGGGTAAAATGAGACTGCAACTGTACCACCAAGTCAGGACGACCCACCTGCACCAAGGATAGTGCCAAGTGCCGCACAATTGATTCAGTGAAGCCGTGCGTAGCAAGAGGTGCAGTTTGAGCGGGTTGAAAAGGATTCGGGGGCTCTTTCATTCGCTTAATGACGCCTCGATATGAGATGGAAGCATCCAGCGAAGATGTCGCGGGAGCAGACTCAAAAGCACCTCTCTCTTGTACGAGGTTGTCCTTCTCACTCGTTGCTTTAACTTGTTGATCGCGCGCTCTACACCAGCCACTTAGAGCGTAAATCACCAATTCAGCTGCTGTAACAGCGTTATTAAACTGCGCCAGCTCTCCAATCATTGTCGCCCAAGTGCGCTGATTGAATACCAAATCCATATCGATCAATCGGCGTCCTTCGTCAATTACTCTCTCCAGCCAATGCTTCGCCTCTGATACATCTTGATGTCGACGTTGCTGCGCCAGTTCAAAGCATGCCCTCGCAAACATATGAAAGCACTGACTATCGACCGATATCAACGGCTCTCCTCTTGAGTGTGAGGGATTATCGGGGTCGCCGATGGACTGAATGCGATCCCATATCAAGACTACCTTCTTCGGTTGTCCTGCGCGTCCAAAAGCGAACATTATCGACGACACTGTTTTTAGGTCGGGTCGTATGTTCCGTTTGTCCATATCCGCAAGGAGCAGCTCAATCTGATGGGCTCCAGCTTCTGCCTTACCAAAAGCGGTGGCAAGGGCAGAATAGATGTGGTTATTGGGTGCGATTCCGAAATCAAGCATATCTTGATAACAGCGTAAGGCACCAACTGTGTCAGACCTTTGTCCATAGTCTTGAATTAGGGCGGTAAACGTGGCTGTATCTGGAGGAACCTGGGCTGCCAACATCTCCCCGAGATAACGATGCGCGGTGTCTCTGTCTCCGTTTCGAAGAAATTCTACGATGAGCGCATTATAAACATATGCATTCGGAGCCAACTTTGCTGCCGGTACGTCTGCATCGTCTGTGGCTCTGTCAACTTGCGTTGACGTTCCTTTCTCTCGAGCTGCTTGGTACCGAGCAATAAGCTGTTCGAAAATCTTTTCAGCAGTTTCAATTTCTCCCGCTTTGCAATGCGTATTTATTAGTGCCGAATACGTGTAAATGTCCGGCTCGATCCCTGCTTCCATCATCGTCCGGAGCCATCGCTCAGCGTTTTTGGAGTCGCCTTTCCTAGCGTACACTGCAATCATGGTGGTGTAGACTTGAAGGTCCGGCTGAATTCCCAGCTTCGTCATTTGAAGACATCCCGCTTCTACCGCTTCCACATCACCTCGGCGTGCAAACATGGCCAACATATTCGTGAAGACTTCCACACCCGGCTGACAGCCTGCAATTAGCATAGACTCGTACCAAAGCAGGACCTTGTCTGGGTCCTCATACGGTGGGCGCGAATAAACATTAATGAACAGCATGTACAAAATTCGGTCCAGTTTCACGCCGCGCGTGACCATCTCTTCGAAGCAATCAACTGCTGCAGCTGCATCATCGAAACTAAAGTATCCGTGTATCAGGCTCGTATAAAGCACTACATCCGGCTTCACTCCCCGTGCCTGCATCTCCGTATGAAAGTAAGATAATGCAGGTTGATCTCCGGCTTTGACACACGCTTCCACTAGGGCCGTGAAGATAGGGGAGTCTGGCTTGGCTTGTGGAAACTTCTGCATGTCATGGTATATAGATGTTGCCTCCTCTAACTGCCCTCTCTCGCATAGTGCCCATATTAGGGTACTGAAAATAGCGGTCCGGTATTTGAGTCCATCGTCTTTACCCTGCTCGTAGATATTCCGCGCCTCCACTATTCGGCCCCGTCGAATCAGGGCACCTACGACTAAAACAATTGCACGAACATCCTTTCGCAGGTACTCTGACGTAGGTCGTGTTAAGTGGGCAACTGCTTGGTCCAGACTCTGCTTCACTAGGTATTCATAAATACGCTTGGCGAAACGGCCATCTGCGCATTCCTCAGTCAGCTCCAATAGCTCTTTTATCATCTCCACGCTCGGCTTAGATCCATTAACAATCATCTCATCAAAGCATTCTCGTGCTCGCCTAAAATCACGCGCTTGGATCAGGACCTTCATTATCGCTAGCTGGGCATCGCCTGCACTACTTCGAGGGGCTGGGAGTTTTAAGCTTTTACTTTCGTCCATTTGACTGTAATATTCGCGTAATATAGGCTCATCTTCGTCCAACATATGGTGCACGGAGGTTGTGTACTGCCGGCGTCTACAGCGCGGTGCGTTGCTGAGTTTCCGGTGCTCAAAGTTGGATGAAGATGGACGGGATGGTATCGAAAACAGAACAGAGCCCGTTTTTGATTTCTCAACATGGTATACAGAAGATCTTGTAACCGTCCCGCTGCCAGGCCGATGATTGGACTGATGATCGACAGGATATCTCGAGATCTGGCTAGATGAGCAGCTTCGATGACAATGCTTCGACCCATTCAGGGGCCCAGTATGTGCAATGCCTGATGTCGTCAGTTTCTTTAGACATCCTCGCGACCGATTCGTCCGGAAAAGCCATGCCAAAAAATCCATTATTGGGTCCACCTCCCGCCCGTCCCTCGGCCCTCTTCCGCCTGCCCGCCGACGTCTTCTAGCGTGATCTTTCCTTTCCTTGATTGAATCTGACTTTCTGCCAGATGGTGCAGTAAAGGCAATGTATATATGGTTTCTAGCTGCTGAAAGAGACTTCGATCGGGCAATGTCAATCGACATAACCGTGCCAATAAAGTTTCCCGTCCAAGTGACCGCGACTATCTAAAAAGAAGCAAGTACAACCGGTGCCTTCGGAAGCTTCAAAGCAGTATTTTCTCAACTGCTGGTCTACCGCCTTTCAGTATACAAAGTCATTGCAACTCGGTATCATGTTACGGGTAAGTCAGAAGCAAACTAGCCTCACAGCGTGGTCTTACCTGGCGTTGCCATAGCAGCAAGACTGTGAATTGTTTTTGGCAGTACTCGTCGCAAACTACAAAACTAGTAGACAACTCCGACGGTTTACATGGGCATAACCAAGCTATGCCTGACTTGGAGACCATAAGCCAAATTCGGAGTACAAACAAAATGACGGAAAAGCCGTCACGAAAGCGAAAAGCTGACGACAGGCAAGAAAGCCTGGCAAGAGCGGTGCGCAAAGAGGCACCGCAGCCATTGCGAACCGAAGGAGAGAACGAAGAACCAAAAAAGAAGAGAAAAAAGAAGAAGAAGGCTGCGTTCACTGCAGAAGTTAGCGCTGCCAGTGCTGCTGCTCTGCCAAAAGACCGGGGTTTTGTCGAGAATTCCGAGCAAATTGCGGTGGTGAAAGATAATGAGGAGCTCGAACTGGAAGAGCTTGTCTTTGGTGGCGATGTGGAGGGCCGAATGGATGAAGTATTTCAAAAAGTGGGGCATGAATTTGACGATATAATAGAAGATGAAGATAATTGGCTGGCATCAGCAAGGGTAGACAATGATGAAGAGGATATTGAGACAAAAGAGGATACGATAGAGAGTGGGGAAGAACCCGAGGTACTTCCCCTGAGTGGGCGCCATGACCGCGCATGTGGAAGATATTTATACTAATGCCCATTACAGAATTTTGGGTTTTTCATCGATACAGATGGTAAAGGGGCGGAATCAGATCTGCCCTCGCAAGGCGTAGAGAAAAATCACATTGATGTGGATATCGAGCCAGAGGATGAGTTGGATCAATCAAAGACATTGTCTGCATCGGATTTGTCTTCTCTTCCACCTGCGTGGGAGGACGACGACGACGTGCCCGTAAACATTGTGGACACCAAACGACTGCGTAAGCTGAGGCTAAATTACTCGGAAAAAGTTCTATCCGGAAGGGAATACGAATCGAGACTGCGACAACAGTATGTACCACTTTTTCTGGATAATTCAATTACATACCTCAGATAACACTGGACTGCGTGATCTGCAATCAATAGATACGAGAAGATCCATCCGACCCCACAATGGGCATTGAAACCATTCCGAGAGCAGAAAGCTGGAAACTCTGGAGATGACTTGCTCAGGATTTTACGGACTACAACCTCGATCGTTAGTACGAAAAGGAACAACGCAACACTGAATCCAGATTTGCTGGAGATTGTCCGTCTGAAGGACGCTAATCAGGCGGCTTATTCACAAGTAGGTGAAATGTTGGCTGATCTGTACTTGGTAATGCATCGCTTAACTTCGTGGTATCTATATAGTCTGTGGTGCAGTCCGTCAAGTTCCACCCTAAGGCACCCGTGCTTTTGACGTGCGGCTATGATCGGACTTTGCGGCTGTTTCAGGTACGTAATTAGGTGGCTTCCAGGTGGTTCTCACAATGCGCTCAGTATGTATATTTCAGGTTGACGGAAAGATCAACCCAAAAATTCAATCCGTACATATCAAAGATCTTCCCATTCATCGCGCAACCTTCACCCCCGACGGAAAAGAAGTGCTTCTTACGGGGAAACGAAAATTCTTCTACTCTTACAATATCGAAGCTGGTGTCATCCAGCGGATTCCTGGTATCCGAGGTAGATATCAGCATTGAGATGAGATAGCATGTTTCGCTTCGATTGCTTACTTACAAAATTCTGGCATGAGGTCGAGACGAAGAAAGTTTTGCAAACTCGTACGTATCGCCGGATAATAAGCATTTTGCTTTCCTCGGCCGTGACGGCCACATTATTCTGGTCTCCAAGGACACCAAGCAATGGGTCGCTACCATGAAGATGAACGGATCAGTCACTGCAATCGATTTTTCAAAAGATGGAAAGTTTCTGTATTCGTTTGGAGGTGAGTGGTAGCATGACATTACATCTTCACCCGAACTTGCAAGTTGATCTGGCTGTGTAGGGGACGGAGAAGTGTACCAGTGGGATCTGGGCTCGCGAAAATGTATTCACAAATTCTATGATGACGGATGCGTGAAGGCGACCACTTTGGCCGTGTCTGGAGGAGACGAATACCTTGCGACCGGGTGAGTCCGTCTCCTGGCAATTTTTATCGCAATGTGTGGCGATATGCTTATAGCCTACTGCATGGATAGGTCGGACTCTGGCGTAGTCAATCTATATGACCATAAAAGCTGCCTTTCCAGTTCAAACCCATCTCCCCGAAAATCGATTCTAAACCTTACCACAGCGATCACAACCCTCCGCTTTAATGTTGACTCGCAGATCTTGGCGATGGCCAGTCGAGATAAGAAAGATTCCCTCCGCCTCCTGCATGTTCCTACTCAACGAATTTTCAAGAACTGGCCCACATCGCAGACTCCACTTGGATATGTAAACTGCTTGGATTTTTCACCAGGGGGAGGATACTTGGCGTCCGGAAACGACAAAGGAAAGGTCCTTTTGTACAGATTAAGTGCATATAATGCTGTATAGAGATTACTCGTGATTTTGAATAAAGGTTTACGTTGGCAAAAGGAAACAGACTGCGTTCCTGTGTAATACCGATGAAGACTGTACGCCGAGTAGGCTAAAATAGTATACACCAAATGTCTGCTCCGTATCTGTACGCATCGCAGGTTCCTTTCAACGTGCGGTCATCAGAGAGCATAGTGATCTTCGGTCCTCACCCCAGATGGGGCTCCGTCGGATAACGGTCCGTCAAATGAGTGCTGACGACTGTTAACCAGGAC